GCAAGGATAATGCGACTTTCATTTGAAGAAGAACTCATGGTCGTACGTAGAGGAAGGTTGTTGTGAAGGTGAAGAGTGTAGAATTAAGGAAAAGTGGGCGGCTCGCTATGATGGGCGACTCGCTATGCATATACGTTAAATATAATAACCTATTATATAACTTAGAGCCAACTCTTCAAACCTATCAACAGTCTCAAAACTATAAAATGTATTCCGTTGGAGACGCGTGGTTGGCGTTGCCTTTGACGATGGCCACGACTTCGCGCATGTGGATAATGCTGTGAACAAGCCCACCGAATCGCCTCTTCCGCCCCTTTCGATCCTTGCAAAAGCTCGGCATGATCTTCTATCCGGGGAGACGCTGGCAGATGACGACGTAAACGCCCACGTATGCATGGCGTGTCACGGAACTGCTAACAAGTTACGCCGCGCTTGAAAGTCTCTGGGTTTCGACTTTCGAGCCAGGCCGCTGCCGGTGACGCGCATATGAACAGCGTCAAAAGGCCAATGGCCTGCTGATCGTCTTACATGAAAACCTGCACTGGCACTGAACATGGCGTTCTGGGACCGGGATGCTTCCATGTTTCCTACCTCGACTCCCTTGTTGACGGGGGACTTCATTTTCACGAGCTCTGCAACCAGAATGACCGGTTGTTCGCAGTGGGTTAATGGACAGGACCACGTGGGTGTCAAACATGTTGGCAGACTCAACCACAACTTCTTCCGCCCTTGCCACCCAGCCTCCTCCGAAATACGCGACGACTCTAGCGTTGGAAATCTTGTCGGGAATGTTCTTTGATCTCATAAAGTAGAGAATATGGTAAGGAAGGCGAAGTCGAAAAGTGAGTCGGAGAAGTTGATCCGGGCCCAGGGACCCACGTCCAACATCGAACTAACAGTGCACGCCACAAGGGGTAGTTGTTCGGTGGAGTTTGACGTATCCGCAAGCTCGATGGGATGCTCGGAGAAAACCCACTACGGCATAGAGGCAAGCTTTTACCACGTTAAAGCTGACAAGAGGCATGGGGCGTGCGTGCTCCTAATAGCTCCTTACTAAGAGTACCTTCCCTGTGCGTGGATGTGTGTGGCGATGGCGAGACAGCTACGCTCCGCCATACATAATCTAACGCAGTGGTGACTATACCTGTACCACAAAATTGAGAGGAACGGTCTTTCTGTATAACAAAAATTCGTGACATAATGTTTCGTTGTCAGACAGGTAGTCACTTCGGTAAATGATGAATCAGCGATTGAACATTTGTGAGTAGTTTCCTGGGTTGGAGACACTAAGCTCAACAATGCAACCAAGCCAGGTGACGCGAAGGTCCTGCTCGAGGGCTGCTGCGCGAGCTGCGGAAAGATAAAGCGAGAGAAGGGGAAAAATTGCAATTTTGAAAAGTTGCGGGGAGTCTTGGGTTTAACTTGTTGGGTTTTGACCTTAGGTTCTCCAGGTATCGGGAGGACTCCCGAGTCTTGGCGGCCGGCGGTCCCACCAACACTGTAGCTTTGATATTTGATACCGGGTTGTCGGAGCCCTAAACTGAGGAACATGGCAGAAACATGGCTTGTTTTTGTTCTTACCGCCGGAACTTGGTTCATTCCGAACGCCGCTGAGCTCATTTGATGCGGGCGTTTGACCGAGGTCTTTTGGTTTATAACTGACCGGTTCGCACCCTCTACATCCCAAGTCGTTACAAATTCAACTTACACGTCTCCAAGTCGCACATTTTCAAGGCTTCATTCCTCACAATGAAGGACGTTAGTGCTCTGATTGGGCTCTCAAGCCGTCATGGATTACTTATTCTCGCAGGATTGCCTCTGGCTGCTGCTCTTCTGGTACTGCGATTCAGCGTCCACTTATCCACCAGAGGAGACCTCTCAATTCAAGGCTAACAAAATCATTAGGTACTTGTGTACACATTTATCTACATCACTTACAACATCTGGTTTCATCCGCTACGAGAATATTCCGGTCCGATTTGGTGGGCTGCGACTCCTGTGCCCCTGACGCGAACTTTCATGACGGGAAGGTCGCATGAGACCTTGCTAAAGCTTCATAAGCGGTACGGCGACGTCGTCCGCATTGCCCCCAACGAGCTGTCGTATCTGCATCCCGCGGCATGGAACGATATTATGGGCCACCGTAAGGACGGACAGGAGGAGAACATCCATTCGCCCGAGTTTTACAATGTTGCGGGGAGTGATAACATCCTCTCTGCCGACCGGGAGCGCCACGCAAGGATGAGGAGATTGCTATCGCATGGTTTTTCTGCAGCCAGACTACGCGAACAGGAGCCCATAATCAACTCCTACGTTGACCTTCTCCTCCTTCGTCTGCGCCAACTTTGCTCCCCCAACGGTAGAACCAAAATCGAGCTAACGTCGTGGTACAACTTCACCACATTCGACATTATAGGTGACCTCACATTTGGTGAGTCCTTCCACTGCCTCGATGGGTCCAACTATCACCCTATGGTGAAGGCCATCTTCGACAGCCTCAAATATGACGCCTTTCTTGGTACTCTGGGGCGTTTCCCGCGTCCTATCGCCAAGATCGCGCTGATGTTGCTTCCTTCTGAAGTAATTAAAGCCAAGATATCCAACGCTGCACAGGCTCGACGCAATGTCGATAAGAGGCTGGCACTGGAAAAGTCCAGGCCGGACTTCGCCGACGCGATGACAAGAAAGGCCGGCTCTTTTGTAAGAGGACAAGACATATGCTCAACCCCCTTCCCGGTGCCAGACTAACGAATAATGCCATTCCAGATCATGACACGAGACGAACTGTATGAGAACTCAGAAATCTTGATGAACGCGGGATCAGAGACCACTGCAACCGCCCTGTCTGCAGCGACATACTTCCTCGCCACCAACCCAGACGCATTGCAGCGACTCACGAGCGAGATCCGCGGGGCATTCGCAACTGAATCGGAGATCAATATGCTCTCCACTGAGAAGCTGGTGTACCTAAAGGCCGTCATTGAGGAGACACTCAGGGCGTATCCTCCTCTGCCCACTGTACTCCCGCGCATGATCCCCCCCAAGGGTCAGGAAATGATGGGTCGATGGGTGCCCGGCAACGTGAGTGAACGGCCCCCTTTTTGTGTTGTCCTTCTCTCCCTACGGCCTGAGAGGTAATCACAATAAACCGACTTAAGCTAATGAACTCTTATTCGTTCGCAGACAACTGTGGGCGTCTGGCAATGGCCCATGTTTCACGACGAGCGCAATTTCTCTAAGCCCTTCAAGTTCCACCCCGAGCGGTGGCTTGGAGATGAGAGATTCGCAGGCGACCAAAAGGAAGCGTTGCGACCGTTCAGTCACGGCCCGCGGAACTGCCTCGGAATGAAGTGAGTTTTCCCATGCCCGCAGACCACCTAGTTTTCAACAATCATTGAGCGACCTCATCCAACTATCTTACCTGGGATGATTACTGGATTACAGAAGCAGCTTGCTGATGTCACTCACAGTCTGGCCTACTCCGAGCTCCGTCTCATCTTGTCCAGGATGCTCTGGACATTCGACTTGGAGATTTCTGCCGAGAGCCAGGGTTGGTTATCTCACAATGCGTTTCTCATGTGGGACAAGCCGCCGCTGCACGTCTACCTCACTCCTCGAACGTCCTCAGTTTAGAGGAGCGAACTTTGGGAGCCTCTGAGCAGGAATTTGTGTTCCAGTACGTCTATCAGTTTGAGCCTCTGGTCGCCTTGCTGAATGTATCTCCCGACCGAAGCGATGGGTATGAGATTCGTAAACGCGACTTTCCAAATCCAAGACTTGGCACGGTGAAGGTGTAAGAGTTACAGAGGTGCCTAGATTCGCCACGCTTAAAATTCCACATGATCTTCTCCTCAATCCGCCATGGAATTGCGTTGAAATACGTACACTGTTTGCCGGAATTTCTCAAAGGGATGGCTGCGTATTTCGTTAAGCTACCTGTATCTATTTGTCTTGCAGTCCAACCTTGACTGCCTTGCGCTGATGCTTGCCGCGCTCGGGTAGCAACAAGTAGCAGTTGGCCCGGTGCTGATCCCTGTGATAAGGCTCCCTCACTATGGTTTGAGGCGTAGATGAAGCGATATCTTGTTCCAGCGATGTGGACGATTGGCGTTTTAGAGCCCCTGTATAACGAGTCCGTGTGGAGACCGATGTGCAGAAGACTGCTATTTGTCAAGCACAGTGTCCCCTTACCAAGCAAGAACGGCTCTCACTGGCCTTAATTAAATGCTGTTTTGCTGTGTTGAACAAGTTTTCAAACTTTCTTCAGAATTCTCTCAGCTTACCTTCACTGCGAAATACCTCGTTGGGCCTCAGGCTGATCGCCTTGGCCTCTGAAGACCTGATTTGTTCAACGCGTCCTACACGACACAGTGCCCACTCGCGGATGTCCCTGATGAAACGTGTTGCGGCGCCCCTCTTGACACCGTTGTCCATTGATAACTCAGCGTCTTGGTGCTCGTCCACTTGTTCGAGATCAAGACAATGTTCGACCATAACCTCGCACGCCTTCTGATGCGCTGCCTTGAACGGATTGTCCAGCACTTGTGAGCGCAACTGAATAATTGCCAACTACCAGGAAAGTACAGTTTCACCATTTGGAAAGAAGGGAGAGCCCCGGAAAGACCTCATCGACCCCGAGTTGGGCGCCAAGTACTGGGAATGGTGCGAAGCCCAGGTCAAGCCCTTTTCTTGAGCTGTCTCGGTACCGCTGTTAAAACCCTGAGGGCCGCGGAGAATAGTGGTAGCAGCCCCTACCTCGCTAGCCAATGCAGGATGAAGTCTTGTCAGTCTTATCATGCACAATATGTACAACAGTGGCCCAGTTGAACTTAGTGCATTCTCCCAGTCGTCAATGGGCAATGAGCATTTTACGAGATGAGTGAAGGTGCAAGTGAGCCAGCCGATCGGCTTCGTCCGGGTAGACAAACTATGCTGTTCTGGTTGACGACGCCGGATGACCCAGGCAGACGATCTGCTAACGGCAGGGTCGGGAGGCGCTAACTACAATTGTATTTCGGTTATCTTTTGGAGACTAGTTTAAAAAAAAAAAAATTAGCGGTAGTCTTTGGGGTTGCAGAGGGTTGCTTTTGTCTCGCTGATGGCCTTCTCCGACGCAATGAAAAGCATGTCTGTAACCCACTGTTTGCCGATTGATACAGGCCAAGAATGACACTTCTTTTCTTGTATTTAATGTTTCAAATCGCCTGACGGCGTCTGAGAAATAGAAGCTTTGGCCGGGAACTAGTTGTTGGGAAATGCTGCTTACCTTATCAGCGACCCATGCCCGCTACCGCTGTTTACCACCGAATTATTGACTTGGCGACACGTGATGAGACGCTTCCAGATTCATCCTCATCTCAGGGGCCGCAATTCTAGAATACGAGTGTCCGATCCCAACAAAACCTCACGAAGATCATAACAGAAACATCTCATCTTCGAAGTCTGACATCTTGAAGGTATTTTCACTACCTACACAGCCTCGCAGCTCGGCAACAAAAAGAAGCCCCCACAGCAATCACGGAGGAGCACCAGCGAGAGTCATGGCGGCCCCAATGGCGGCCGTGAGGCGCAAACCCCTGCCGGGCCAACAGCTTCCCGGCCCGCCGCCGATGCCGCCACCTCCCGATTTCGACCCCTTTCCGCAACGTCGACCGGTCCTTCGCGGAGCGCGGTCGACGCCGAACTTGAGGGATTCGGCGGTCCCGTCGATCTACGATCCGCCACCAGCCTACGAGGAGTTTCCGAGTGTGGGCGCGAGTGGCAGGCTCAACATCTTTCCCCCTAGCCTAGGGAGACTTCCATCACCAGCTCCGCCGAGCCCGGGACCGTTGTTTCCCGGACCGCCATCATGTGCAGAGTCTTTCAACGAGCCGAGGTACCGACCTTACCGACCTCCAGCAAGTCCGGTATCTCCGGTCTCTCCCATGTCAACGGGCCCGCCTCCGCCTTCAAAATCAGAAGCATCTTCATCCGCATCTGATTACCAACCTTCACAGCCAAGCGGCTTTCATCCTCCCGTCAAGTCAGGAACGTTCGCAGTCCATTCCAATTGCATGCCTCCACCACCACCACCTTTCCCACCTCCGTCGAATGCGGCGACATTCCCCGTAGCTGCACACGAGCGCCCTCCAGCTTCTCCAGTCTTCCCGGGCCCACTCTCGGCGGAGACATTCCCCTTAGCAGGGCCTCGGCCACCAGTCTCGCCAAGCTATGCCCCCTCTGAAGCACCTTCCGCAGATTCACAGGCCCAAGAAAAGACGTTCTGGCAAACAGCGCTCGATGAGACAAAGTACTTCGCTGGCGGACTAATCAGTCACCCATTTGAGTATACCAAACATTACGCCATTCTCCGCCATTCTACTGTCTTGGTCTGGTATCGCGGTCCTTCAACCTCAGTCACTGTCACTATCTTCTCAGATGCGCCACTACCTCCTACGCGCACAGTATGGCTTCAGCGAAAGGGCTTCTCAGGGAACATGGGCATGAACCTCAAGTCCCTAGTCGGGGCAAACGACTCTTGGCTAGATGTCACCCCGTCATCACAAGCTTCACCAACGGATATGGCAGAAGGCGACGAGAGGGGTTGCCAACGCGACATCAAGAAGTTCCTCAAGAAAGCCTCGAAGAACCTCAGCAAGCACATGCCTCGAGAGACCCACGTCATACGTATTCCCGCAGCAGCTGATGATGGATACTTCCGTCTTGTTCTCTGCACTGGTGGTGGCGATAGTGGGAGTGGTAAGAGGAAGGTCCTTTGCCCCAGCCCTGTTTTCCGCATTGCTAGCACGTCAACGGACGCGAGTGTGGTACGCGGGGCAAGCTTTGCCAGTATGCCGCTCGAACTCGGTATCAAAGCCGGCTCCATTGTTGCCAACACCGTTGTAAATAGGTACGTGGGACCTGCTGCTGCTGTGGTGCAGTCACGTACGAAAAAGCTCCAGACGGCCAAGTTCGTTACGAAACACGCTACGCATATTGCATATGGCAAGTCTGCCATCGATAAATCGGGTGTCAAGACGACTGTCACGGAGTACGAGGCACAGTATGCCACCACGAGAGGCGGTGGATACGCTCCATGGCAGGGTGATGATGCCGGCTTCGATGAAGCACCTCCAGAGGTGATTGGTCCCGACTCTGGACCTATGGACCCGTTCCCTATCAAATTTGATGGAAGAATCGTTCGAGGTACTGGCAGAGGCGGCATGGAGCTTGGTATCCCGACGGCAAATCTCAGTGGCATACCCGAGGATGTCAAGATGCGCATGCGAGGAGTCTACTTCGGTTGGGCCCGGGTTGTCCCAAGAAGCGGACTGGAGCACATTTCCACCGATTGGCACGAGAGCATCATCACTGTCGGGCCAGCTCCATACGCTACTCCACGCGTCGCGGCTGAGAATGTCGCGACGGTGCACATCATTCACGAGTTTGGAGGCGCTCTCTTCCTGGAGACGAAGCTGAAAGTCATAGTCATGGGCCAGTTGCGGGTATCTACGCCCCCAGTCGGTTCGGATGCAGCTTTACAAGCGTACGGCACGGATGTGTTGCTCACCGTTGCGAGCTTGAGTCGTGATAACTGGGGTCCCATCGAGACGAGGGAGAGGATGCGCACAATGAGGAGCGAGATGAGTCTAGCTGATCGGTATGTTGAGGCGAGGGAGAAGGTGCAGAAACAGGTCGACCGGATACCTGTTCATCTGGCCGGTGTCAGGACGGAGGGCGCCGCATTGAGAGACAAGGCCTATGGAAATGGAGGAATATGGATTCCGAGATAGAAAGCATGTCATTCCTGACAGGCATTCACTATTGCGAGCGCGCATCTAACGATTCGAGTTCTCGGGGCACAAGGGTCTCCGGGGCAGCTCATGTTCATACCAATTAGACGTTGTAATTACTTCATGCATTTCAAATCTTGCATACAGACCCTTCTTGACGCTCGGAGCTTGATTCCTGGGTATGAGGGAGTTGAAATACTAGAGATTCTAAGCTTACCCGTCTTATGTCACGTGCAAGTTTGTAACTAAATCTTCGAAGCGGCTTTCAAATTCCGCTTTGATTTCCAACTGCCAAGCGATCTAGTCCGATCTCGTCCGCCGAAGCATAAGGCAGTAGGCTCCTTGCTGCCTTTCCAACCAACTAAGTGCGCTTTGACATGCGATGTTAGTAGTAAGGCATTCGACACTAATTTCTAAGCATCTCACCTCAAGCCCAGCAGAATCTTGGCAATGAGATCATCGGGAACACCAGCCGTTCCTTCGAGATGCAAGAACGTTAATCATTATTAATAGTCGGTTTGTTCTTAGTCGTATATAATGCAGAACTTTTGCTCGTCTTCGGTTGCTGGCAGCACAATCGCAACACTACATCCTAAGCTGCACTCATCATGTCGTCTCACATCACGGTTCTGCCCGCTTCGACTCAAGCAGGCAAGGAAACTATTCGGTTCCTCCTACAATCCGAACAGAAACCTTTTGTACGCGGGCTCTATCGAAACATCGACAAAGCACCCGCCGAGTTTACCAATTTCTCCAACTTTCAGGCAGTTCAGGGAGACATCGCCACCGGAAAAGGTCTCGACTTCACCGACTCAGATGCTGTGCTTTACATTCCGCCACCAACTTGGGATGGAACAGACCAAGCAGAATTCGCTCACAAGACGTCCACCTTTGTTGCAAACGCACTGAAGAGGTCCCCAAGTGTCAGGAGGCTGGTCATCCAATCGGCGTTAGGTGCCCAGCATGAACCGGAGAAAATTGTTAGTCTTGACTGGAGCAAAATCCATGATGCGGTAGTCGCTGAACATATATAAAGGGCACACTCAAGCTCAACAACATCGCGGACAATATTCTTGAAGACGCAGCACCGGAAGTGATCATAGTACGACCGGGCTACTACTTTCATGTTTGGCAAGAGGCCTTGATGCCGATGCAGGAAGACCCACCGAGGTTCGAGTCGCCATTCTCACCTGCAATTTGGAAAATTCCCATGGTATAAGCTCACAACGTCCAGCGCACGAGAGTACTCACTGACATTCTCGCAGCTTAGCACCAAGGACATTGGCCAATATTGCGCCGAGACACTCCTTGCCGACGCCATCGACCCAAGCAAGCGAGACATAAGACTTTTTGGACCCCAGCATTACAGCCCACTCGATGTAAAAGAAGCCCTCGAGGTCGTTACCGGAAGAAAAGGCGAAATGATTCTGGTCCCCGAGGCTGGACTCGCGGAGTACTGGGGTAAACAGATTCCAGAGGTCTATCTGCCGGAGTTTGTCAAGTTCATCAAAGCACAGTTGCCTGGTGGAGTAATGGCTCAAGACTATGAAGCTGACAAGGACACGGTCAGATGTCATACCAGCTTGCAGGAAGAGTTGCGGGAGATGCTTGCACAGCATGAATGAGCGCTGTCGCTGTCTCGCCAGACCTTCGCAATTCAGCTTGCCCAAAGTGTTGCGACGAACGTCGGCCATTTGCAAGATGTCCGATGCCGTCCGTATTCATCCGAATTACGAAGCGGTCAAAAGAACAGCGAATTACTGTCAAACTGATTGTGGGAGGCCTAGCGGCCGGAGGGATGAGCTGGTCAACCTACGCCGACAGTGAGCTTCGAAGTCGACGATGAGAAAGCAGTTTGATCTACCCTAAGTATTTTTAGTTATCCAACGAGCTGAGGGATCTCAAAATGACATTGTGATGCGTTGACTATCCTATCCGTAAACTTTGCTTGCTACGTTGCCCTACAGACTTTGTAAACAAGTAGGAATTGGAGCGGTTCCCCTCCCACCGGCTATGGGCTGCAGCTTCCGGACCCCGAAATAGTTCGCCTCGTCCCATTTTGACGTGACCCAAGAAATAGGCGATCCTTGTCTTCCGCCTGGGATCTCCATTTTGGTTGGTCAACAAAACCATCATATTGACATTGATTGGCTGGTCTTCACGCTTGGGACGGATGCAGCTGGAACTAAAGCGAGCGGCTGCAGGTGATCACGCGAAGATCAAAGTAACTTCCCGTCCACGAGTTACATCCCGCGGATTTTAAATCGCGCGACTGATCAACCACCTGCGTTTTGTAGATTTGACCTCATTTGAAAACGTCTCCTAGGATATTATCTGGGGTATCGGCTTACGGCTTTACTTGCGAGTCCGGCGCCGAAAGTGCCAGCGAAATCAGTCAGAGCATGGGCTAAAGATTCTCCCACTTCTTTACGTATATGTTGCAAGGGAACTCACATCATAGAAGATACTCCTCACTTTCTGAGTTTATCGCCTCAACCTCAGCACCGGGTGTTCAGAATGCACGCAATCGAAACTGGCATGCTCCCTTGGGCGTGTCTAGCCCTTGCCGCATTCGCAATAATTCGAGTGAGTTCGGAAACCACAAAATCTCGATAAGAAAGAGGGCTTTGACTAGAATGATGATCTGACTATACGTCCAGTCACTCTTCTTGGGCCTACGTAACCCCTTAAACCATATTCCTGGACCATGGTACACTCGACTCACACACTATGTCTTGAAATTCAAGACTATGAGCGGCTGCCGGATCCACTACGTGCATGCTCTGCATTCCCGCTACGGACCCATCGTCAGGATATCGCCGTTTCAAGTTGCCGTTGCAGACCCCGAAGGATTTACCGCCATCCACCGCATTGGGTCGGGTTTCGTTAAGACCCAATGGTACGAGGACTTCTCCGGCGGATCCGGTATTGGTATTGGGGTCTTCGCCATGACAGACACGAAGAGACATGCAGCGCGACGCAAGTTGTTCGCTCGCGCTTTCTCCACTGCCAACATCCGACAAAATTGCGAATCAGTTGTGAGAGAGAAGGTGGTCAAAGCTGTCGACAGAATCAAGGCTGAGGCATTGAATGGTTCTGCAGACGTGCTCCACTGGTGGCTGCTCATGGCCTCGGATGTCATCGGTCAGCTGGCGTTTGGAGAGTCATTTGAGCTTCTCGAGAGTGGCAAGGTCAGTGACACGCAGCTTTGCTCTTACTGGCAACTACAACAGCCTTCATCTCAATGAGACTTTTGAGTTCGCTAGCTAATGAATAACAGAAAAACGACTACATCGAAACGCTCCACATGGCCGCGATTAGCGCAACAGTCAGCTATGAGCTGCCCTGGCTTCACAAAATATCTGGATATATCCCCATTCAAGTATTGCAGAGGGTTCTCAACTCTGGCAATAAAGTCAGTGAATATGGAGGCCGGGCTGTCTCCAACTTGATGAGACACAGAGACAACAAGGCAAACATCTTCGCAAATATGCTGGCTGAGTGCGACGCCAACGAGAAAGTAGATCTTACGCCGCAAGACATCAGGATCGAGGCCAACAACTTTATATTCGCAGGTGCCGACACTACATCATCGACACTAACCTACCTCGTCTGGGCTGTGCTCAAGAGACCTGATCTCCAAGCTCGACTGGAAGAGGAGGTAGCGGCGGTTGAGGAGTCGTTGCTGCTGGAAGATGCTTTTCTGGAGAAGTTGCCCCTCCTGAACGCGGTTGTCGAGGAGACTTTGCGGCTCTACACTGCTTTACCAAGCAATCTGTCGCGCGTAGTCCCTTCAAAAGGCACAACTCTGGGAGGCTATTTCATCCCGGCCGGTTTGCAGGTTGAGACACAAGCATTTACCCTTCATCGAAACGCCGAGATCTGGCCCGAGCCACTCAAGTAAGTCGCGCATAGCCTATGTAGGACTACGAATGCTAACCAAAAAAGATTTGATGAGACAAGATGGCTTAATCCAAGTGGGCTAAGTCCCTTGCAAAAGAGCACATTCTGCCCCTTTGGCGCGGGGACGCGCGTGTGCGTTGGACTCCACTTGGCTCGCATGGAGCTCAGGATGGGTGCCGCATTGTTGTTCAGAAAGTGCCCTGGCTTGAAGCTTTCGGCATCAATGAAGGATTCCATGATGGATATGGAGAACTTCTTCATTATTGCGCCCGTTGGCCACCAGTGTGATGTCACGCTTGACGCTTGAGAAAATGCGGTGATTTCGCAAACATAGCATCTAATGAGTTCAAACAATAGAAACCATTCCTCTCCAGGCATACGATACGCTCAGGAAACACCATTGCACGACTTGCTGTATTACTAGGCTGTCAAGATTGTATCGAGAATAGTGACACACTTCTCTATGCACTACTTTTACCTCCGATACCTAGTGCTATTCTTTTGAAGGTCCTCAACAACAAGACTTTGCAGTCCTGACCCTGTGATATTGTCAAGGGGAGCAACAAAGGCCATTTGGCTCCAGCTGAATTGCGTGTTGCGACCGCCGTAGACGAATACCTCAAATCGTCCGGCAAACACCCCGTTAATCCATGCTACGCTGCCATGCAAGACATCGGTCTCAATCCTTATCTCTGCTGGTGGTGCCGATACCGTCACCGGATGATGTGTCGAGGTGCTCACATTCACCCAAATGCGTCCCGGATGTCCAGGATCAAGTTCAAGCGCGTCCTTCTCGTTCACAGATCGCAGGGGGTATAGGTAGCCATCCGCATTGAAAACAAGGCTTCCATCTTTTCCAAGGGATAGTGTGTTGTCTGGGCCTGTGAGAGTGAAAGGACCCGTCGCATTGAGTATTAGGGTATAGTTCATTCCCTTGCTTCCATGTCCAAGATGCACCTCTTCAACGCCTTGTCCGGAGCGGCTCCACGAGACGAGAGATCTCATAGATCCGGTGGAGGGCAAAATTCGATCCAGATTCTGCCCAGGTGCAATGGGCGAGAAGACATCGATGCTGGATGAAACTTCGCCGTCCACAAGCTTCGGACCGCGGCTGCCACTCCAAACACGGGCACCAACAACTGCAATTCCTCGACGCATTGCATAGTATGCTTCAAGCTGAGTAGATGCGTCTGGCCCGTTGTCATTCCATGCTGCCAAAATGGCGCCTTTGTTATCTGGAGATGCGTCCGGCACTTGCTCAGTCTTGTTGAACGGGTTGTAGTCGGCCGGTGTCCATTGCCAACCCGACTCGTCGGCGAAGTTGAGCACACGGCTCTCGTTGAAGAATTGTGGATATCTAGCCGGAAGAATGGGCATGTGATCGTTCTTGATGGACATGTATGCCCACCAATCTTCTGAGTTGATGATTTCGTATCCAGTGTTCGCAAGGAGCACTGGGTCCGACTGCCCGTATTGCCAATGTTGGATGATAACATCTTTCGAGATGGTGAGATTCTCAGAGGGCTCTTCTGTTCCCCAGATACGGATTTTCTTGCCGGTTGTGGAGTTGATGAACTCTGACATCTCGTTTACAAAGCCGATGTAGTCGTCAGCGAGAGTAGCGTCGTACTCGTCTGCGCCCACATGCACTTCCTTAGTCTCGAACCAGGGGAGAAACTCAGACCAAATACGCTTCACTGTTGGGATAGTGTCCGGGTGCGATAGGTTCAGTAGGTCGCGTTTTGCCAGAGACAGCTCTGGCTTCCACTTTGTCAGATACAGGCAGTGGCCAGGTGCCTCAATCTCGGGAATGACAGTGACACCCCTTGCAGCGCAATGGCTTTGCAGATCGGCAAAGTCCTCTCGGCCCAGAGTCTCATTCTCGCGACCATGCAAGATAGGCAGTAGTGACTCATCCTCAGGTCTCAATGAGAAGTGCGAATAGACGTCTTGCCATGATTCGTTCTTTCCGCGATTGAGCGGGTAGTTGTCGGAGAGATGGTAGTGAAACTCGCTCAGCTTGAAGAAAGACGCGTAGCTGCACAACTCTTTCAAGAATCCTGGTGCATACCACTTGCGCCCGGCGTCTAGCATGAAACCGCGTGTCTCGTATGCCGGTGCATCAATTGTCGTTCCCACAGGAAGGCTTCCATTATGGGCAACGAGAAGCTGCAAGAGCGTTCTTGTTCCCCACCACATACCCCGGGCTCCGGTGCCACCGATGACTGCGGCGGTAGGCGAGACAGTAAGCGCATAGCCTTCCGATGTGGGCTTGCCGTTTTGATAGGTTATGGCAGATGCGTTGCCGGTGAACGAGCCGAGAAGAATACCGCTAGCGTTGACATTGGCGATGCGATCCACACGCTGCAAAGTCCAGTTCTCGCCTGTGAGCTTGCTGATGTCCTCTCGGAAGAGTGTGGCAAAGTCGAAGCCCCTGGGTGGTATTAATGTGAGGCCATCCATATCGGTTTTGCATGCAAGCTCGTTTTCAATGAAAATTGTCTTTGGGCTAGTCGCCGGCGACCACACCGCTCCGGGTACCGCCGATCGCGAGGTTCGGAGCGGGGGCGGGAGAAGTTGGAGCCCCCAGGTCAATGCCGGAGCGCATAGCAGCGCCGCGATGATTCCGACAACCATTGGATTTGATGCAGTTCCGTCACAGCTCAACGGAACTCCAATTGGCAACTGTATTCGAAAAAGGTGTGGTCGGTCAGCATTTTGACAGATCAACACTACTTGTATTGCGTCTGATCTCTCTCGTATCTCGGGTTTCCCCTCACGTCATTTAACCTAGATAAGAGAGACCCCGCACAACCAGCTGGGATCTTGATGTAACAATGCATGTTGTGCGATAGTAACGTCACGCAACGATGATCATTCAATCGGCGCAGGGATGCCGACGAGACCGCCAATCTTTTGTGCCAAGGGCCCTTCTGCACTGGGAGTGCGAAGGAGTCGCTTAACCGGAGAAACAGTTGATGATGGCAAACGGTACTGGGTTCCACAACTGCACGTCCCAGGAAACCGAGAGTTGGCTTTGAGGCTTGCAAATGGTCAGAACTCAACGTCGCGATTAATCATTGAATTTGGCATGAGAAGTCACATGTGCGAGTGGCAATTGTAGCAATACGTCAGGAACGATACTGAGCGCAAACAGTGTAGCCATTCATGTTGCAATTAAAGCAGTTGAAGTATTCAAGACAACAAGATTGGGTTTTATTGAGATTACAATTATATGAAAGAATATTTGGCAATGTTAGAAGTGAACCGGAAGATGATGACAGCTTTCAGGGTTATGTATCACGAAGATATGCTGCAGTATTTCTTACAGGTGCGCAGTGTCAGCCCAATTACTCGGAGCAAGACCAGCAAAGCGTGGAGTTGGCACTGGAGCAAGAAGTATCCATGGTGGCCTTCTGAGGGTAGGCGCACAAGATCTGCTGCTGAGCAGTGTTGTTGGAGGCCGTTACAACAACCGGCGAAGATTGAGGTTCAGTGCCATTCTCAACCCAAGCTCGAAGCTGCGAAAACATCTGCTCGGGTTGGCCGCCGTTACCTCCCCAGCAGTGTTCAAGGCCGGGCACGCGGTAGTACTTGTAGAACGAGGTGACGTTCCCGACAAAGTCTGCGACCTTGTTGTAGTAGCGAAGTGTGCCTCCCGGAGAGATGCTTTGATCGGCCTGAAACAGTTAGTATCACCACAATGCAAGGGCAAAAGATGACAGAAAGGCAACTTACAAGTCCGTGGTAGGTCATCAGCTTTCCGCCGGCGTCTCTGAAGTCTCGCAGGTCGGCTTCGTCGGTCTCCATGCTGGAAGCAAAGGTCAACTTGACAGCGCGGTAGATGGTGTCAAAAGTTCCATCAGTGATGTTAGGAAGCGTTGCGCTCGGGTCTTTCATAACGAAGGCTTGCCAGGGGAAGAGGATGTTTGCACGGCCAGCGCTGGTGCACACCTCTCCAGTGCAGCTGGTCGGAGCAATGACTGAGAGATCGCTTCCGATTTCATAGCCATCGTACAAGAACTTTCCATTCGAGAAGCGGGGTCCGGTCCATGAGGCGTTGGCAACGGCGGCGGCGGCTTGGGTGATTGCGAGTGTGGTGTTGGTTGTAGAGCAGAAGAAAGAGTCGCCGACGTGGCTGAAGGGATCGAAGGCGGCCCGGCAAGCTTCAGGGTCGCTGATGAGTCCATCCTTCACACCATCTAAACCGTCACAAGCAGCAATTCCGAGAGTAGTGAGAGCGTTGAGCTCGCAGTTGCGAGGGAACTGTTGCGTGTTCTCCATGTAGAAGCTAGGCCAGATAGAGTTGATGTAGAACTCGGCCCAGTTCAGCGCCGGGGCAGCCGCCATGATGCCGTCGTAGACATCTGGGTACTGCTGCGCGACCTTCATGCCCATGCGGCCACCTTGAGAGCAGCCATTCCAATAGGAATAGAGAGGCTCTTGACCGTAGTAAGATGAAATAAGTTGCTTCACAATGACAGCCTGATGAAACGATTAGTCAGTGCGGCGGAACAGGACGCAGAGCCAGATACTTGACTTACCTCGTCTTTCATGGCGACTTGGCCAAAGTTTTGCAGCGCATTCGTGTCGAGAACTCCGGGGCTCTTCAACAGCCAGTCGGTGGGATTTTGAGCGGTGGGGATCCCAGCATCGGTGGTGACGGTAACATAGCCACTGGCGACCGCGTTGGTCATGGCAGCGTAGCTGAGAATGAAGCGACCCGGCGTCCAGCCGCCACCTCCAACTGCCTGAAGTCGACCGTTGTAGTTCTCTTGGGTTGGCAGCCAAGCTTCCACAATGATATTGTCGTCCTGAGTTGTGTGGCTGTAAGTCACCGTGACGTTACAAAAGGTGGCATTCTGCACGTCAAGAGCCGGCTGTGAATACGTCCAGCCCTTGGGTACATTGAAACTGTAATCGGTGACAAGGTTGGCTTCAACTGAGTGGATTTGAGCTCCGAAAAGGGTGGTGTTGGTAAACGCTGCAGAGGCGCAGCCCGTGGCGTTGACGGCGAGGGCGGACATGACTGTTGTAGTGAAGGGACGCTGCAAGTTGTCGGAATGGCAAGCCATGCATGCTCTGGCTTCGGGGAGAGCTTTAAATACTATTAACAGTAACTGGATCGCCGAGATCTTCATCCTGAGGACAGTGAGTAAAATGAAGCATTGATCGATAAAACTAATGTTTTTGTCATCCGTTGTCTAGACTCTCGATTGTGAGAGGGCATCTTCCACTGACTGAGGGTCGCCGGCGTGGCTCATCCACTCCAAAAAATTCCGTATTCAATACGAGAGCGGATATGGACCCACAATTGAGCCGGCTCCGTGCCGGCACTCCGGAGACCCCGACGTAGCCTATGTCGGCGCTTGCAATCAGGGCGTCATCATTGGTTTCAGGCCCAGAATTCGGAGATTTTATGGCACGCATGGGGTTTTTTTTCTTTCTTTTCGCCTGTAGCACTATATTGGCCTGTCTCCCTCCCATACACGACCTTTCCTGAAGCCGTTGTAGTGGCATTAAAATCTTCAGGTAATATTGGTAATCAGAATGTGGCACTTGGAGAGTTTACCGGTTGAAGATGGGTCTACAATTGTATTTGCACTAAAAGACTCTAAGTTCTCAATATCAATCATCGTATCTGAATTCCTGGCCAACAAGCTTCTCACTCAACGCCCACAGCCTCTTCGCATCAACCTCGCTGGTTGCCCACGAGTATACCTCCTCCAAGTCAGGATCAGCGACGTGGCAGTCAGACAAAAAGGCACCGTTCTGATCCTTGATGGTCTCATCAAAAGAAGCGAAAACATGAGTTGCTGCCCCTTGATCCAAGGTCTTGATCTGCATATCGGCCATGCCAAAGAGCCACTTGTTCCCGTAAATGTGGTCCATCTCCGTCAGGTCTGCCGAAAAGGCGGCTTGGTCTTGTAGTCCATGTGTTGCGAGATTGGTAAAACTCACACCAGGACACATACCGAAGGACAGGAGGCCCTTGCCGCCGAGCTTCCCAGCCAGCGCCAGGGCAGTAAGTGCATTGGCCGTCTTCGACTGGCCGTACGCCAACCACCTCTGGTAGTTCTTGCCCTCGTTGAAGTTGTAGTCGGTCCAGCGAATGTTGCCGACGCGGTGGACGCCACTCGACACGAAAACGACCCGGGGAGCTTTGGCGGCAAGAATCTTCTTGATGATCAAGTTGGTGAAAAGAAAGTGACTGAGATGATTCGTTTGAAATTGACTCTCGAAACCATCTTCTGTCAGCTTGTACGGCACAGCCATAATTCCAGCATTGTTGACAAGCAGATCAATCGCAGGAACATCGGCCCATGACATGACTGTCTCGGCAGCTTTGCGGACGCTGCTGAAGGACATGAGATCCATTGGAAGAAGCTTGACGATGATTTCCGGGTGGGCGGTCTTGAGGGCATCCGCAACAGGCTGCATCTTTGAGACGGACCGACTGGCTAGAATAACAATCCCAGGCTTGCCTGCGACCGCTTGTGTGATGAAGCTCTCGCCAAGACTTCCAGGTGAGGGACCTGTGACGAGAATGGTCTTTCCGGCAATTCGAGGTGCATGGAACTCTACGAGCTCGCTAGCAGTTGTGTTGGAGTTGCAAGTGGGTGCCATGTTGACGCAGTACAATATTGGATAGTTGGTTGGAAAGGAGTTGTGGTGAAGCTTGAATGTGTGATGAACACTGGTAAACTGAGTTTTTTTGGAAGAGGCACGCAACATCTTTTATGTTCTTTCCAGATTTCTCATTCTAAAGTTGTTTTCCCTTGCATGGCTCATTGCTGGTGCCGTTAATGTTGACCGTGACGATGGACCCACCAAATCGGCGTGAAATCCAGCCGTGCTCGGAGACTTAACGTCAATGCAACTATTCCCAGTAGCGGACTTCACGGTCTCCGCTGTGCGCCACTTTCCCGTCCCTTGGACTTAACGTATTTACGAATGGGACACTCCGTGACATGCGTTTGACCTTTCGTGGTAGCTTTTCACATTAGGCGCAATCAAAATTCGCATCTGTGTTGAGTTAAGTCGATACTTCTAGCTTGCTCTTTGTCAACGGCGGTGTAAGTGAAAGTGGGGCGCTGACAACAGGCGCACCTTTCGTGTTTCTGAACCTCACGTCGAAGCTTGGTAAAAATTACATCGAGAGACGTCAGCCAGCTCTTCCAATAAGGCAGCCTTATTGATCCTTCGGCAAGCTATTGCCCAAATTTCACGACACAGAATGCACAAATGCCGATCAGAGGAACAACTGCCTAAGTCTGGGAAGATCTGCCTAACTAGCCAAACTCTGTTACGTACAGCACCACAGGGTCAGTGCTGAAGCCCAACTGAACCCACACACAGGAGAACATTGCCTAAACACTTTTTAGAAGGAAACTCCGCTAGAAACTAGTCAGTACAAAGTCCGCACACCTTTCATGGTAATGCTTGCAACATCATACTCGTGAACGACCTTAGAGATATTACAAACCACGTCAATGAAGCTATCTTACTTTCGGAACAGGCTTACTAGGCGAAGAAACCGTCCGTCCGCCGTTTCAAAAGGCTGTGTTGCGGAATGGACTCAGAGTATAAGTAAAGCCAAGTTGATGCCCAAGATCAGTTGTCGTCCATCTCATACTCGGCCAATCTGCCAGCATCAACTGAACACACCATCTGTCATCCAAACTCATTCAACCATCCTCCATCAATAAGTCAACATGTCTTCCTCCAACTCAATCCGCTTCGACAACCGCGTCGCCATTGTCACCGGCTCTGGTCGCGGTCTAGGCCGCCAACATGCTCTTCTCCTCGGAGCCCTTGGCGCTGCCGTGGTAGTCAACAGCACCACATCCACCACAGCTCAAGCAACCGCCGACGACATCATCAAAGCGGGCGGAAAGGCCACAATTTGTATTGGCTCCGTCTCGGACGAATCAGTTGCCCAGGCCTTGATCAAAACGGCCATCGATACTTTTGGCCGCATCGACATCATCATCAACAACGCTGGAACATTTGATCCCAAGCCGTTCGAGGAAACTACTGCAGCCGACTTGCGGGAGATGCTCTCGGTCCATGTCGAAGGATCCTACAATCTCACTCATGCAGCCTGGCCTCACATGCAGAAGCAGAAGTATGGCCGCATCGTGATGATCACATCTCACACCATCTTTGGAATGACCGGATCTGCGGCGTATGCAGCTGCCAAACTTGCCCTCGTAGGCATGGCCAAGACACTCGCCATTGAGGGAGAACCGCACGGCATCCTGGTCAACTCTGTGGCAACGACGGCATTTACTGATGCGGTCCAGAAGAACACACCCGACGCGGGGATGCAAGCATTCATGAAAGCCAACCTGCCAGCTGAAGATCCGGCGCGGGCTGTTGTTTGGCTCGCACACGAGGAATGCAAAGCCAATGGCGAGGTCATTGGGGCTCAAGGTCGGGTTGCCAGTCGGATCTTTTTGGCTGAGACCAAGGGGTTCCAGGGATCCCGCGAGGGAGAGTGGAGGATCGAGAGCGTTCGAGATAATTGGTCGCAAGTTGTCAATGAGAAGGACTACGTGGTACCTGCCAACACCAACCAACTCGGTGGTTTGCTTTTCCAGAGGTTGTCTGAAGCTGCATCCTAGGCATTTAATGTGGTTTCTGGCCATAGTGCATATACGGAGTGCATTATGTAGGTTAACAGCATTCTTTCAGACTTCTTATTGTCAAATAGAATGATATGGAAGATTTCGTACTTTATTGAGTCCTACAGATATTATGATTGTCGCATTTGTTAATAGTCACCGTTCATTTGGCACTAAACTCCTTTATTTTGCGACTTAGGTTCCAGAGCGCATCAAATTGGATTTCCAATGAGAAGACGGTTTCACAAATTACTCATATGGAATTGGAATGACCAAACCTGTGTAATCTACGCCCCAAAGGCGGCCTATCATGTTATCAATTTTCACAATTATTACCATTATAAATAAGATTGAATCGTCGCCTAACACAGCCACGTGCAACTACGACCGAAAAGCGGCTCATATGATAGTCTTGCTGTGATTGATATCTCCAAAGCTGCGATTGATCCCACACCTACGTTGGCGCCAAAGTCTCAAAACACGGCGTTTTGGAGGATAAGTCTTGCTTTATTTAAGTCCAAAGACACAAAGCTGAGGAGCAATCATATCAAAAACCATACCTTCTTGATTGCTGACAACAAGACAACACCACAGCACCAAGAATTAGCCAGGGCGTGAAACGCTTTCGGGATAATCTTCAATCATATTACCTAGTGACTTGAAATTATTTGGAAGTTGTATTTAGGCGTCTTGATTGGCTGATGGACTCACAATATTAAGAATCACAGTGTCCTTTGAGAATTAAACGCGATGCTCTTTTCGTCATCTTGGTCTGTCTGAAAGTGATGGCGATATTGAGCACATCACCGGCCGAGACTTTCCAAGGTGGTGGGCCTGCATATATACCTCAGAGTAAACCACACACATGCAATTCTGCGGCCCATAATAATGCCACAGCCTTTAAACATCGAATTGCTAGAAGGAGGCCTGATATCTCTATGACGAATTTCGCAGACTTCTGCTCAAGACATCCGCAATTTGGACCGCTCGAGGAACGAAGAACAACCTATAAACTAGATCCCACTTCCCGCACCGATCCACAGTCTGACCACGAACAGCCGCTAAAACAAATCGCAAAGTTTCGAGTTTTCAGGTTAATCTATTGGAATTAAGGCGTTAAGCAGTCTAACAGAAGCTTTTCGTTCTTTATTGCGAATGCCTGTCGTTTCTTTACCTCGCGACTCAGTCGCGTTGTGGGATCCAACAAAATGGCATGTTCGCGAATGGGATGTAGTCAGATCCCAAAAAATCGTCTGTGCAGTTATGTGCTCCCCTAAGCAGTCTGTACTATGTAGACGGAGAGCCCGATCTGCAACGCGCCTAACCTGGAGATGTTATTTAAGAGAGTGTCGACATACCGGGGTTACCGTTGGACAAGGATTATGGACATGGCCAATGCTGCGCACAACGCGTTTAACGAATTTTCAGGTTTGCGCCTTCTCCCAACTTACTCATCATGACTTCGACTTGGTCATGACCATGCGAAGGATTCGCATCGGGGGTTTCCCCATTGGTCGCTCAACAGTTCTCACGATGGGGCTAGAACGATGTTTGCCAATGCGGACGAAACACCCCCAAGTCGCGCGACTCAAGCCAATGCGAGCCCCTTTACGAAGACATGCGACCTTGCCCACTGGCAAACTCGAGCCCCCCGACCGTTCTCGTATAGCCAAGCCAATGAAGGTTACATTATTAATTAAGGGAGAGTGGAATATCGACTAATCGGGACGGCGGTGGAGATGGATCCACTTCTCTTTCTGTGTTGGTCGTCAAAATCCACCTTCTCCGTTTCTAAACTTCGCGATTCGAGTTTCGCGCCAAAGAGCCGCATTTGTTGGCGCGAACTGTTCAGGAGCGCAGATCTTGCTGCGAGATCGAGTGATCAGCGTGGATTTCGAGATCAGTTCTCTTGGGGCGATATGTCCTGTTCCTCATAAACCTCATAAGCTGCTCCATGTCCCGGTTCGGCCTCCTCGGACTCTTCCCCTCGCCTAATCCTCTTTAGACTCTCTCAAGTTTCGCAGCACGGTGCACCTGAACGGTTGCCATGGACCCGTCAGGGTTGACACGACGGTGGATCTTCGGATGGATCCGCGGCCGGAAGCTCGTTCAAAACGGACAACCTCGACTGGATTGAATCGGTTGCGGCCTCTCGATCTGGAAACTCGCTCGTCCCTTGCCAATAGCACAACCCGTTGTTGACAGGGGAATTTAAGGGAATTACCAGCGATGCGGGACCTCCTCGCTTGATCGCGGCGCAGTCACGGCGACGAGTCGAGCCATTTTGTGCCTGGTCCTCGTGGTCGTCGCCGCGAATATAATCGGCGAGATTCTGCCGTCACTTTTTGCACTTGCTGGTCTCTCTTGCATCTGCAACTGCGGCAGTTGAATTCAAGGTCATCACTCGTTCTGCCTTGTGCTGTTGTCGTTCATTTGATCCCTGCCGGTTACAATCCTCCAATCGTTAAACAACCCCAACTTTCTTTGCCTCTCATATTGTCTCTTTTTATCTTTTCTTGTTGTGGTCATCAAGTTGAGCCATAATATCTTAATCTTTCCAGTCACCCATCATGCGCTACACATCGACTCTCTCTTTGTTGGCCTCTGGGGCTATTCAAGGCGCCCTCGCCTTGGACGCCGCCGGATGGCGCAACCAGAGCATCTACCAGATCATCACTGACCGTTTTGCGACGTCTGATGGTTCGGCCCCCGAATGCGACACCCAGATCGGCAAGTACTGCGGTGGTACCTGGAAGGGCATCACGAGCAAGCTCGACTACATCCAGAACATCGGTGCCACTGCCATCTGGATCTCGCCCATCGTCAAGAACATTGAAGGATTCATTGAGAACGCCGGAGAGGCCTACCACGGCTTCTGGACTGAGGACATCTACTCCCTCAACGACCACTTCGGCACCGAGGCTGACCTTAAGGAGCTCACCGACGCCCTCCACGCCCGCGGCATGTACCTCATGGTTGACATCGCCCCCAACCACGTCGGTCTCAACCAGAACCCTGGCGACTACTCCAAATACATCCCCTTCAACAAGCCCGAGTACTACCACAAGGAGTGCTCCATCAACTGGAACAACCTGAAGTCCGAGCAGATCTGCTGGCTCGAGGGTCTGCCCGACCTGAAGACCGAGGACGCCTACATCCGCAAGGTGTACGCTGAGTGGATCAAGGACTTCGTTACCAAGTACAACATCGACGGTCTTCGCGTTGATACGGTCCTCGAGATCGAGCCCGAGTTCTTCAGCGTGGGTGGCTTCAGAGAGGCTGCCAGCGTTTTCCTCCTTGGTGAGATCAGCCACACCAGCCTGGACACCCTGGCCCCCTACCAGCAGGTCATCGACGGCTTCATGGACTACAGCGCCTACCACCAGCTCGCCGACTCCTTCAAGAAGGTGAACAGCGACCTCGAGGTCGTCTTCACCGGCACCAACGAGATGGCCGCCAAGACCAGCATCGACCCCTCCCTGCTCGGCTCCTTCGCTGAGAACCAGGACCAGCCCCGCTTCCCCTACACCAACAAGGACATGGCCCTGGCCAAGAATTTCTACGCCTTCACCCTGCTCCGCGACGGTATCCCCATCATCTACTACGGCCAGGAGCAGCACTTCTCCGGCAGCACCACCCCCAACAACCGTGAGGCCCTCTGGCTCGCCGGCTACGACATCAACTCCGAGCTCTACGGCTGGCTCCAGCAGGCCAACAAGATCCGCGTGCACGCCGCCAAGGCCAACGCCAACTTCCTGACCACCGAGCGCACCCAGGCTATCTTCTCCTACGGCAGCGACGACCAGAGCCAAGTCATCGCCTTCCGCAAGGGTCAGCTCTTCTCCATGTACACCAGCGGTGGCGTCAACGCCGCCAACAACGCCATGTTTGCCATCGCCCGAAACGCCCACCTCTTCGCCATCGGCTCCGAGGTTATCGACGTTGTGAACTGCGAGTCCTTCACCGTTGCCGACAAGGGCCGCCTCTGGGTGCAGATGCCTGCTGGCGGTCTCCCCCGTGTCTTCCTGCCCAAGGACCAGGCCGAGGGCCTGTGCAACGACGTCAAGGCGCCCCTTTCCAGCGCCACCGTCAAGGTTGCCGTTGACAAGAACTCTGGCTACAACAAGCGCTCGCTGCCTTTCGTCACCAGGACGATGGCTTAAGTGCAAGACGTGGTCATGCCTGTATAGATATGTTCAGATACGAAGCGTTATATGTCTAATGTTTAATTTTAATCAATACTCGTTCATACAAAATATCTGATGTGACACGCCGCACGACCGGCGCCGTTGCTGTTCCGCCGGTCTATTCGGCCAAGTCGCGCGTTCGACTTTGTGCGAGTGTTTGCCTGCTGGCAGGAACGTATGGGGTTTCTGTACTATTTTCCTTAACCGGTAGAGGGTACAGGTTAAAGCGCCTGTAGTGTTTCCAGAATTGTGCCCGCGGTTAGGTTGAATTTTGCCGTAGTCTTTTTGCGGGGGGGCTGCGTCGTAACTACAAACTCAATCTGATGTGACACATTCCGTATTCTGGCCATGATGACTTTAGGTCGTCCAGAATATTCCGCATGAACTTTTGCGTATCGTTCGTCTACCAGCTGATCCACGTGAATGCATAGCCGCTCAAAGCCGCACGTTGTCTCCATGATTCTTTCCCCGAAAAACAGGGAGATCATCCTTCTTCCCTTCTAACTTTTCTTCCGCAGTTTGCTGCCTGGAGGCGAACCTTGTTGACTGCCGTATGACTCTGACGGAGAGATATGTGGAGGGTCACAGCGTAACCTCAACGTCTAACCCAGTGCATAGGGTATAAGAAGGGAGGTTTTGTACCGCCTTGCCAAGCTGGCAAAAGCGGCCCCCCCATCAAACGTCGGATATATGAAGCAAAACAATAGCTGCATCCAATTATCCCTCCTGAATTCGACTCGACCAACTAATTTCAAACCAATTATCGACTTCAACATGAAGAATTTCGCGCTTATCATTGGCTTCCTCACTCTCTTAACGCCAACCCTGAGCCTTGCAATAAACCACGTTCCCCGTTCTCCTCTGCCAGAGCCCGCGCCTGGACTTTTGGACCCCTTCAAAGAGCTCGCCGAAATCTTGGCGGGCACTCTGACCGGAAACAAAGATTACAAACTCAAGGGTTTGTCTTAGGCTGCTTAGTTTCGGTATGTACTGACTAAACCTGGCAAAAGCCGCGGCTCTCTGAGTTCCGTGATTGGAATGCTGACTTTCGGGGCTGTCGCATAGGTCGTAGAGGCTGAGCAAGATCTCAAGAGTAAAGATGTGTGCGATCACTGTTGGTCTGCGATCACCGGCTTGATGGACAAGGTTAGAAAAGTGTAGACAGATGACGGAAGTAAAGCTAAAAATGCCTGCCACCAGTCAAATGGCGTCGCTAGCCCGGAGATTGAAATCAAAGCTCTTTCGGAAGACACATTTCGACCCACTTGATGTGCCTCGCCAGCGCAAAATCGATCAGATCATTCGCAGAGCCGTCAGTTTAGCGCGTCGAATCCCCGCTAGGGATTCGACCGCTAATAGGGTGCTGGGTAAGCGCTGGAGCCTGCTTCTACCTGCGAAGTTTTGTAACACAACAACAACACAAACGGAAAAGATTCCCGAACCAACTCAGCATGCCGCGAGCCAAGATGAAGTGTCAGCCAATTGATTCCAGCCAGAGGATATCTCGCCCCAAGAGCCTGCAGCCTCAAATTGACCATAAGATTGTCCTGTCCCGAATCACGAAGCGCATGGCCTTGAAAACCCTTTCCCCCTTCCTTCAACAATTTTTACAGGTCATTGCAATTCCATAACGCCTTTCCTCAATGGCCATTTTGAAATTACAATTTTGGCTGTTTTGCCTTGCCATTTTGAATCTTGCTGCGGCAAAATCGCAGTCAGCGGACGATGTTCAACGGCTCATCACGGAACATAATGGTGACTCGAAGGCATTATCGACGATTTCCGCAGCATCATGGGTGGACTCTCCCAAAGTGAGAGGAACCGTCGATATTCTGTTGACTTGCGTGGTTACTCTATTCGCTTGCGTCTGGTCGGTGCTTCATCTGAATGTCCCTGTAAAGAGAGGGCGTTATGCGGGCTTTTTCGACAAGCTTAGGTGGACCGTGATGACTATTCTATTTCCCGACACGGTGCTCGTTGTTGCAGCATATCAATGGATTGCAGCTCGATCACTGCGGAAAGGGCTTAAAACACTGCAGTTGAGAAAAAGGATCTCACGCCCCATCTTATGTGTCAGACTGCCGCTCTTTGGTTTCTACTCACCACACGCCGCTGATGAGAGTATTATGGACAGGACGTTCCGCTGAACTTTTGCTTCTTTGTCGAAATGGGTGGCCTTCAAGTGGACTTGGACCGTGAGGGCATTAGTCTCGGTCCATCCTGTATGGCGTCAGGCCCAGAAAGGCTGCCGCTATCTCCTGCCGGGTTTCTAAAGCTAATCGAAATGGAACTGCTGGATCTCGAAACAATGATACAGCGTGCCAATGCCACTGAAAAGAGCAAAGCAAATGTCTTTCAGAAACTCTTGATTGCTACTCAGGTTTTATGGATGTTTATTCAATGCATTGCTCGAAAGTTGGAAGGCCTTCCAATTGTACTTTTGGAGATACATACAATGGTTCATGTGGTGTGCGCATTGGTTGTGTTAGTCTGCTGGAAGTCGGTAAGCTGTCACGATTTAAGTCGCTAGTGATCAATTATTGACCAACAAGCCAGAAACCTCTTGACCTCAATACTCCCGAGATTTTCGGCTCGGAGTCTGACGATGTTGTGGGATTCATAAGTCTTGCAATCCAATCACAAATTTGCCCCCAGCAGAAATTCGTTCTTGGAGATCTACAGGACAGCCAAAGTCACGCCGGCGACAACGATGATACAGACGTAGCTTCGAATACCGCTGGAATCCCACGAGATTTCAACCAGAACGATCTTGAGATACAGAGAGAAACTCCACATTCTCTAGAACTACGGCAAGATGAGACCCTTCCATTTGGTCTCAAACACGAGGATGGCCCGATTTTGTATCTTCGGCCCACCGACATCCGTCGCTTGCGACGGGCAACACAGTTTCTCCGCGATCATGATGGAGCGAACATACAACTTTACAATCAGGCTCTTCCTAGGTCTGACTTCGACTCACTTTTCTCTGCAGGGGGCAACTATGCTTTTACCATTGATCTCCGATACGGCAGCCCTCTCTCGTGGCTGATTGATTCGTGGCTACGTGCTTTAGTGGTTATCGTCGGGCCCGGGTCCTATAGGCACGAAGGGGGTCCGCTACAATACGACTATCGAATCTCGATGTCTACACTGTTTGTCACACTGATATACAGCGGACTACATCTGTCAGCATGGAGCGGCAGGTTCCCCACACAAGTCGAAGAAACCTGCTGGAAAACAGCCAGTATCATACCTGTTGGAAATGCCGTCCTTGCGTCATCATTCATCTATCTTGAAAGTCGGGGTGCGTTCGACTCTATCCCAGACGCCGCCGATTCCATCATCGCAGTTATAATATATGGTTTGTTCGCAGTTGGGACATTGAATGGGATTGCGCGTCTTATTCTGACTGTTGAATCCTTCGCAAGCCTGCGCGATCTCCCAATAGGCGCCTATTCAATGCCTGTCTGGCTGCAGCTGTTCCCTCATCTATGATATCACGTCGCTTGATATAGGATTACTGTAATAAGAGTGCCGCGGAAGTTAGGAAGCATTTCTTGCAAGGTTTCACTTTTCATCACCACAGAAACACACGGTGTTAGCAAAACTGACTGATGGATAATAAATATTAGATCCTAAAGAAAACTCAATCTAGAATATTAACAATATTCTGGGCGGCACGCGTGCATATGCAGACTTCTATTATCGTACATATTAACTGGAAACAAGAAGACGAAGTGCACAAAGCCGACAACCGCCAGCCACCATTTGTACGAAAAAGAATTGTCCTCGGAGAGGCTCGAACTCTCGACCTTTGGATATCTCTATCTTAGATAGAGTCATACTGAATAATATGAGACCAACGCTCTACCGACTGAGCCACGAAGACCGCTTGATACTCACTGCCCACTCGGTAACGTCTCATGAATCGAGGCCGGGACGGTCAACAGGTATAAAACACTCCAAGAGGCAAAAGATTGACCAGCCTGGGGGTCGAACCCAGAATCTCCTGATGTCACGATCGAATCGTAGTCAGACGCCTTGCCATTGGGCCAACCGGCCAGTTGTTACTGGGATGAATCCCGGCGGATGTTGGGGAATCTGGCGGAGAGTGAGATCAAGAATGTGCGGCATGCAGAGTTTTCACGATGGAGGCGGGTGGATGCAGAAAGCGGACCGTCGTTTGCGAGAGAAATGAGATTTTGCGGTTGGCGACGAAAGTGTGGATAGAGGCGTGGCTTCGGCCCCGTCGACGGCGTTCGGGGTGGAGCTGGGATCGGAGAACACGGTGCTAGCGCCGTCGGCGGGGCGTGGCTGAGAGTCCGAAGATGGAGCCGGTTGGAATCGGCCTGGGAAGAGATTAGCGGGACGAATTATGGCGGAAAAGACACTCAGCGGTTAAGCTTGCTGTGACTGGTAGTTGGAAGGTCATTACCTGCCCGGAAGGGCGTTGGGGCAGACATGCGTGAGGGCGAGATGCTAGGAAACAGTTGGTAATCAGTCGAAGTCGTTTGCTGTCGGGCTGTTGAACCATGTTGTTGCCTAGCGTGATACTTTCAAAGGACACCCAGCATGGTCCATGAATCTTCTCGGAAAGATGTTGAAGATCGTTGGCTTGTACTCACACAACGGGACTTTACCCAGCTCCATCCCCGGTGATCTTAGCCGGTGGCCGATGGGTAACCCGGAGCCGAACCCGCACACCCCTTCAGACGAGACAAGTCACTTAAAACCGATCTTCTAAGGATTACAAAGATCGATGGCAATATGGCATTCTGATTGATACACGTGGTCGATAAAAGATGGTGTCAAGTTTCATCTCATCTAGACACCAGTGTGTCTCATCCCATCGCCACCAAGGCATGCTAGTCTAGAACAGACGACGATCCGCCCGAGAATGCAACCTCACTTCGGCCAAAACGGTAGAACTCAAGTCTAAGTTAGCCCGACTTATGAAATCCGTGTGCCAGCCTGGTTGTTCGTCACGGATGTCTCCGTCATTCAGGCTCGCCGGGCGTCGCCGTCGCGGGCCGCCCTTGGCTCGAAACGGAGCCAGTCCTGCAAGCACTTTCACTAACGTCTCGTGATGCGACCCTCACACTCAATCGCGACGGCCTCTGAACGAAAGGCTGCGCAAGTCGAAAAAAGAGGGTGGCTGAGGCGCCGGCCGGGCAGGCAGGCACTCGTCGATCGGCGACTATGTCGTGAGTCCAGACAACCCACCCAGAACTCCCATGTGGCAGCTACTGCTGCAGGGGTTTTATCTGCCCTTCCCGCTAATTAATTGCCCTCCCACCATAACGCTGCAGTCTGGCCCAACGCGGAAGGGATTGAACACCGGCTCCTGTCGGCAGTATGGCAGCTATTTCCTCATTTTGCTGGTTGCCAGCACAGAAATGGAGCAGACATTGTGCGCTGCATGGTGGTGCGCGAATCCAGAACGCGAGTCCGGGGGATGGTTTCCAGGGAAGGAAGGAGATTTTTGATGCATGTTCGGAGAATTCCACTCAGGGAAAGAGATGCGTGCTGCGGGGTAATGCTGACGGAGCACACAATAAGCATATCGCTGCATGCAGGTCCCGGGGTTTTTTGATGTCTGGTGTGTTGAAGGTCCGAAGACTTCGGACAGGATTGCTGTTGATGAGTGCGTGTGGGAAGTCTGATTTTGGGGGCCTTTGACTCTTTGTCTTCTTTGGAAGTGACATCGTGTGGGATGAAGCCGCGTGTTCGGACGGGGCCGCTGTCAATTGAACTCAATCCGGGTGGGTGGACTAAAACTGGTGATACTTCTGCTGTGTCGACTTTGTGTTGGTGTATCATCATTTCTCACTTCTAACGAGTCTGAAATGCACTTAATCGTCCCAAACCAAACTTGATTGTCCCAAGGTTTCGGAGTCGAAAGAACCAAATTCATCTCAGTCACATCATCATCTTGTGGCCGAGGCCTCCCAAAAGCCAAGACTCACTTCTCCTTACTCACAAGCACGCAAGTGAATGCATTTGTTTCGTTTCTTGTACTCAAGCACCATTCTACCATTTCGGCAACCCAGGCCTACGATCATAACAGGCGCGTTATACCCACGATGCTGAAGAAGCTGGAGCCTGTGGTCGTTCAACATGGGATATCAAAAGCGGGGGTTTCATATCAGAAACCCCTGCAGATTCTCTCTAGACGCATGTATCCCCATCAGGAGGCTTGGGCCGAGGCCGAGGTGAAGTTCGACGTTATCGTCCGATAATTATTCCGGCAGCAGAATAAGATGGATGGGTGGTTCACTCATTAAGGTGAAGAGTATGTAAATGGAAACTCCCTATTGGTCTCGCGCCGGAACACTCCCGACGGCAGGACGGCAGGAAGGAAGGGAAAAAAGGTGTGGATGGGGCCGGGATAAAGAGGATGGTGTGGGTGATAATGCATCGCTTTTTCTCCTTCGACATTTTGCCTCCTTCTTCTTTGGGGGGGCGCTGCGATGTGGCAACCATGAGGAGAATGGGTGCGGATAGTTGAGATGATAAATATACGATTCGGAATATGCCATTCTTGTGAACTTATGGTCTGTGCCTCTTTCACTACCGATTCATCGACGACATGGTGATATTGTGACGAGTCGTGCGTACCATGGCTCAGATCCCGGAAGACGCCGTGGGCACGGTCGTTGGGGTCCTTATTTACTCTGTCATATGTCTGTTGGGGAGTTTGATGGTAGTATGGCTTGCTTGGCAGCACGGTGAACGGATAAGCTGTATGTTGCGTTGAACGTGGACTGACTTCCGACACTGACCGATGGATCTAGATGTGAACTGTTTAGCATACTTCACGACGCTGAGCACGGTTTGCTCCATCATACAGCAAACGCGACTCGTTCTGTATTGGGAGGACATCATGACCGCTCGGTTTGATTATGCGGCGACCAACGTTGCCAGCCCTGAGGCTGTGATATCGAATGCTGCGATAGGGGAAGATCTGGTGCTGTATTACATTCGTAAGTCTACACTGGAGTCACGTTGGACTACCACTGACATGACCAAGAATACTACTGTTACAACGTGCTTGCGTTGTTTGACATGTTCTGGTACGAACAATCGTGGGAATGGGAACGATAAATGCCTGATTCTGACCAGAAATTCAATAGGGCGTTCGCATTGGCGCAGTCCGTCTGGGGTCTGAATGAGAAGCCGAAGCTCAAGAGGCCACTTCTGATCATCAACCGAGTCGGCAAGGTGTTTTCACCCTTGTTCCCTCTAGTTACGACAACCTGCCTGCAAGCTCCGTCAATACGGAACAATTTTGGAGGATTCTTGCTGCTCGCCGGACAGCCATGTAGGCTATCTGTTTCTCACGAAAATTGGACGAATACTGACAGCAACAGTGCTATGGAGCATCGGCTTTGGCAGCGTTGCGACATTGGCCATATTGATACGATACATCCAATCTCGACGAAGGCTGCAGAAGCTGAACGTCGGGTATGGCCAGCCGTCATCTTCGAGAGGAACCAGCGGGCACAAGCCCCGAAAGACAAGTATTTACGACAGATGGCTCATGCTGCGATTCATGATTTCGTTTGTGATTCTGGCGTAAGTTGTCTGGCACCTCGCCCGCGATACCACGGAGAGAACTAACGCTAGACAGTATGTTCGAAGTCACCATCATGTTGTTTTCGACGAGCGCGAGAAAGAACATTGCCGTGGACCACGCCCGGCTCACGCCAGACATCTCCGCCAAGCGAGCGCGGCAAGATTTCCTCCTCTTCATGCCCGGAGTCACGGCATCTCTGCTTGTGTTTCTAGTCTTTGGCACCACGAAGCCGTTCATCGAGTACATGCGCAAGTGCCTCTCGAGACTCTTCACGAGACGGCCCAGGAGGAGGACCGCGTCGACGGAGGCACTGCCTTTGCGGTCCATACGCAGCCAAGACACCATGGCGGAAAGCTGCGGCGTGGCCACGCCCGAGATGTCTCACCAAAGGAGCTTCCGGGGGATAGTTGTGGATAGTCCCGGTGGAAGAAGGACATACGAGGTCTGGGTGTACGGGGGTAATCCAAATGCGAGGATCGTGGGAGACCAGAACTGCCCATGCCATTCCGAGAAGGTATGACGCCATGAGACGGGGCCTCAGCCGTGTCTTGCATTGCGTCAGGGGTTTCCAGCTTGTTATTAGACAGACAGACGTCAAAAAAAGTAATCATGACCAGAGAGGCAGATATCCCTGGCCGGTGAGACGAATCTGGTCGGCGAAGGGTGACACGGCACGGAGCTGAGCGAATCACTTCCGTTCGCAGCGAAACATGGCAGCGTTCTGGACCTTTGGATTAGCGTTGCAGAGCGCTGGAGAAGCAGCAAGCTACGGGGAGCTTCCCAGACAGCGGCCGCCAGTCCCCTGACTCTCGCCCAATCAGACGGGCCCAAAGTGACCTGCTACAGGGGGGAGGTACCCACTAGTGACATAAGGCTGCTGCGAACGGCCGAGCGCCTGCACTAACAGGAACCCCTACGGCGCGTCACCACGCTGCGATAAGGCCGATAAGGGATCACACACCTGACGAGCTCCAACCTTATCGCGACATCATCCTCGTCCCCTACACCATCCCATCTACCTATACTACCCGCCCGTCCTCCCGTTCCTCCATCCGCCCTGGGTTTCCCTTTCGCACCCTGCTGGACCTGACCGCCTATTATCGCAGACCTCTTTTCCCTTTTCTTCTAAATATGCATCGATTCAATTCCTGACCATCCCCGTGAAGTCAGCAGAATCCTTTTGGCACCCACCTTTTTCTTCTTTCTTTTCCCCATTCAACATGGCGAACTCGCCGTCGCAGAGCCGGAGCGCAGCCTCGTCCACCTCCGCCGGCCGAGACTCCCTTTCACATTCCAGAGACCGCCGCGATCCCGCCTCCTCCGACTCCGCCTCCAACGCCGCCGACCCCGTCCCGGTTGAGACACTGGTGGAACACCTGCTCGCCGCCAAACGCTCCCTCTCGTCCATGACGGCCGTCCTGCGCGCCAACGAGATCGCCACCGACGCCCGCCAGGCCCACGAGGAGGCCGTCGTCCTGTACGCTGAGAGCCAGTTCCTGAAGCGCGCCATCGCGGAGCAATTGGCGCTGCTGATGAAGGTCCGCCGCGGGCTGAAGAGGACCTACGATGCCGGGAAGCGCGACTTCAAGAATCTCGTCAAGACGATGGATGCGACGAATGAGAAGCTGCAGGATACCATGGCGATGCTCAAGAACACGACCGTCGAGTCTGTGTTTAGGCCGCCCGGGGAGGAGCGGCGGAATCTGATGGATTTCGTGGACGAGAAGAGCGTCCACGTCATGGTCGAGGCTCTGAAGCAGAGCCTCGGCGAGCTGCAGGTGCGTCGTCCATCCGTTTGCATCCATGCACACGACTGACTTTTGATGTACAGGCTATCCAAACCTCATTTGACGGTGACCTGCTTCGATTCGACGACGACCTACGAGCCCTGAAAAAGACGATAACGACGACACCCTTACCCCGATCGCTGTCGAACTCCTCCCATCACGATCCGATCCCCGAGCTGCTGGTGTCGCTCGTCGAACACTCGCACTGCATGGCTCAGCTCCTCACATCCCTCACAAAACACTTTGACCTCTGCGTCACTGCGGTGCGGACGACCGAAGGCGGCGCGGCTCTCGCACGCCGCAGGGCGGCAGAGGTGACGCAGTCCCAGGGCGGCGACGGCGTCTCGATATCGGGCGTCATCGCCGACCAGGAGTCGCACATGCCGGACCTCGAGCCCATCACGACGCAGGACCGCGCCGACATGCTGGACATCGTCGTTAGCGACGCGGCCGAGGTCGACAGCGTGATCCAGGAGATCAACGAGCGGCTGCACGCGATGGAGGAGGACTTTGCGGCGCTGACGGCGCAGACGGGGCAGACCAAGGCCGCGTTCCTCGGCACGCTGGACGCCTTCACGGCGCTCGAGGAGATTGGCGGCCGCGTGGCGAGCTACATCGCCAGCGAGGCCGAGTTCCTGCAGCGCTGGGAAGACGAGCGGTTCACCATCTACGGCAAGCTCGGGGAGATGGACGACCTGAGAGACTTTTACGAGAAGTACGCCGGCGCGTACGACAATCTGATCCTGGAGGTCGAGCGGCGGCGGCTGGTGGAGGACAAGATCCAGAACATCTGGCGCAAGGCCAAGGACAGCGTCGACAAGCTCGTCGAGAACGACAGGCGCGAGCGCGAGGGCTTCCGCCAGGATATCGGGGAGTTCATCCCGACAGACCTCTGGCCCGGTATGGACGCCGGGATGAAGAGGATGGAGCTCGTGGCCGTGGTGGACGACGGGTCCGCGGAGGAGGATGCGGGCGGCGGCGGCGGCGGCGGGTCACGGAGCACGCCGGCGCTGGACCGCAGCGTTGTGGATGCGGCGCGGGACAGGCTGGAGCGAAGCCAGCAGCGGTAGTAGCGTTGTAATGTGTAGCGCTTTGTTCCGTTATGTGTTTTTTTGTGTTAGGATTATTCTGGATGGGTCGTTCTCCTCTCTTTTCTGCTTTCATTTTACTGGCGTTCATAGATAGGATGATTGGCCTTCAGCTAGGCTCAGGAATGGAATTGGGTTGGGAAATCGGCACGGCGGCGATCTGTTTTTTTACGGGCTTTTATTTCCTACCTGGCTGGCAATGTCGTTTTTCTTCGTTCACCGCTTTGTATGAGTTTGTCGTAGTAGTGGTATTCTTAGCCCTTGTAGGATCGACAATTTCACGTCTCTGGTTGTCTAAGAATGGCACGAGGCCTTTTTCCCGCGACCGCCCCTGCCGTCTATATCTCTTGCGTAGGATTGAGGGACACCACGGTCACAGTTGGGGGCGCAACCGACCCGGGTTCGAGACATCCGAATAGTGACAAAATGTAGCAATCCAATGACAGAAACGATGGCAGCAATACTGATTATGGTGACGACGATACTGGCGACGACAACGGGAAATGCATAAGGAAATGCAGTCGCCGGAGCAAAGTATAAACAATCGGTCATTGGTCACCATATTATTATCATTAGTTCCAACGCATGCGCGATTGTCGCGCGCGATGCCACAGTGACAGACGATGCGCTGCGACAAGCCTCAACCTGCGACGGTTGACAAATGGGGGCCATCAGCAGACAAAAGCCCCGACGCAGGCCAACAACAAGTTTTAGGCTCGAGGGGACGATTCTGTTATTCGCCGCATGTCCCTGCAAGAAAACCTGCAAATCATGGCTTGCTGGTGGAGGAAACAGGATGTGGGCGAGGGATGGTGCATGGCCTGGGCCGATTTTGCGTGCTTGGCTGGGCTGCGGGCGACCGGGGTTGCGATGCCGATATCCGAGGGAAATGTCTCGGCCGGGCGGTGGTGTTTCGTTTGGCATGCAACAGCAGACGCTGCACATTGTGCACCTTGTTAGACGTCATGTGTCCGTAGGAGTAGATGCACAAAGCAGCTCGAGGCAGCCGAGTGTCACGGCCGGTAAGGTGCGCAAATGTCTAGCGGTTCATCTCATCTCATCCCATCGATCGACGTCTGTCCGAGATTGGACCTCGTTAGACCCTTCAATAGACCGTAACCATCTGCAAACAGCAGGTTATGTAAGCCAAGATTCGATGATTGCTGGTGCCGCCAAGACTGGGATCTTCCCAGACAAGTCTTGACACGTGACTCTCGGCAATTCGACGCGTAACCTGTATGAGCAGGCGGGGCGCCCTTTCCACCCCCCCTGGTGCGCTTTCCTCAAGTTCAGCTTGCATCGACACAGCTAGCAGACGCAGCAGCCAACCCCGTGCCCGCAATCTGCTTCAGTCTTTGGGCCTTTTTCTGCCCGTGCACGGCGAGTGGTAACGTCATTGGACAGCTTGAATTCGGCAAGGCCGCAGGGGCCACGGGGGGGCCCTGGGAGGTGAAGCTTAAGCCTAAAAAGTAGCGGAAGGTACAAGGGGGGACGGGTGGGCAGCCGGCCGGCGCCAAAACAGCTCCGTCATTGAATCTAAATCATTCCACGCGCCAAACACCTGAGACTGTTATTTCCTCTGCGACCAATTTCTTTTCTCTGCTAGCTGTTTACTTACCTCCCATTGCTTCCATCGTCGTCTTCGTCTCGCCATATTCCCCATCGCATACCCCGATATACAACAGCGAAGACAGTAACGACAGGCGGCCCCATCGCCAACCGTCCACCGGTGACCAATGTCGCAACCGTACGGCGAGTCAGCTGGCTACTACGGTGGCCAGCAGCAGCAGCAGCAGCCCTACGATCCCAAATACGCGCAGCAGTACAACAACGGATACCAGAACAACGGCTACCAACAACCGCACCCGCCGCCGCAGCAGCAGTTCGCATACGACGGGGGCAATGGGTATAATGGCAGCAATGGCTACGGATACAATGCGCCGCCGCAGGGCTACGACCCGGAGAAGTACACCTTCGAGGAGGCCTTCAAGGTTGAGAAGCCCAGGTGGAATGATCTTTGGGCCGCTATTTTGGTAAGCTGCGATGTTGTCATCTTCGGTGTTTATTTCATCGTCCTTCGCTTTCGCCCTTTGCCTTCGTCCTCTATCGTCACTCACTGACCGACCGTCTGTAGTTCTGGCTCGTTTTCCTCGGGTTTGCGGCAGTCTCAGGCCTCACCATCTCTGGCTACAGCCAGACCAAGTCCCTGAATGGCGGCGGCATCTATGACGGCGGCAACACTTTCGGCCTCTCCACTAACACGATCGTCCTCTTCGCCTTCTGCCTCGCCGTCGCCGTCGTCCTGAGCTACGGCTACGTATGGCTTGCCCGCCTTTTCCCCAAAGCCTTCATCTGGGTCACGGGCATTCTCAACATCGTCTTCGCCTTCGTCACTGCCATCTACATGCTCTCCAGGAAGTACTACTCCGGCGGTATCGTCTTCCTCATCTTCGGCGTGTTCTTGGTCATCGCCTTCATCAGCTGGATCCCGCGCATCCCCTTCTCGGCGCTGATGCTCAAGACCTCGATCCAGGTCTCCAAGAAGTACGGCCACGTCTACCTCGTGTCGTTCCTGGGAGGCATGCTCGGTGCCGCGTTTGCTGCGTGGTACTCTGTGACGTTGGTTGCGACATACTCCAAGTACCAACCGTCGGCGAACAACCCGCAGTGTAGGAACGGCCAATGCAGCCAAGGAAAAGTGATTGGTATCCTCGTCTTCATCACGTTCGCCATGTACTGGATCTCTGAAGTCCTCAAGAACGTCATCCACGTCACCATCTCGGGTGTCTACGGCTCCTGGTACTTTTGCGTCAACAACTTCCCCAAGGGCGCCACCCGTGGAGCTCTTAAGCGCTCTCTGACCTACAGCTTCGGCTCCATCAGCTTCGGCAGCTTGATCGTCGCCATTATCAACTTCTTGCGCCACCTTTGCTCTGTCGCGAGGTCTCAGGCAGCTGGAGACGGCAACATCGTAGGATACATCCTGTTCTGCATCCTGGGGTGCCTGATCTCTATCCTGGATTGGGCCGTCTCGTTCCTGAACAGATACGCCTTCTCGCACGTTGCCTTGTACGGTAAGGCGTATATCCCCGCTGCGAAGGATACGTGGAAGATGATCAAGGACCGTGGCATTGACGCACTGGTCAATGTGAGTTGTTGCCCCCTGTTGTAAATCAGCGAAGCTCTCGTACTAACAGGTTCAGGAATGCCTCATCGGCCCGGTTCTCTCCTTCGGCGCCGTCTTCATCGGCTATGCATGCGCTTTCCTCGCGTACCTCTACATGGTCTTCACACACCCAGCCTACAACTCGACAGGTGCCTACACTCCTGTGGTGGTTGCCTTCGCTTTCCTCATCGGCATGCAAATTGCCAACGTCTTCACGACTCCCATCTCAAGCGGTATCGACACGATCTTTGTTGCGGCAGCCTGGGATCCTCAGGTCATGATGAGAGATCACCCGCAGTTGTACGATGAGATGGTCAGGGTCTACCCAGAGGTCCAGCAGGCTATTCACGCCTGATTGACTGCGAAGATGGATATAATGCAGCTTTCCAGCTGGTTAGATCGAATCATTGAAGCTGCAGACTGAATGGGACTGGGCTTGTTTAAGGCGAAGGCCGGGGCGTACGGGGATACCCAACATTGACTTCAGTTTGCTAAATTTGTAATAATGAGTACTGGTACTAATCAAACTCTTTCAAACCCGTCCGTGGGATTGCTTTCTCGCACAAAACATGTGTGGAAATGGCTGTATAGAACCTCGAGGCAAGTTGAAGCTGCCGCACCTTCGCCTCCCGTCAACTCCAAATTTACCTTTCTTGATCTGCTTAGTAGTACCGTCTAAACCATAGTGCGTTCTACCGACAGCTCGCCAATCGCACTGCCCTCTCCATTTAGTTCACGAAGTATCTTACCGAAAGACCTTCCTCGTCTGTGGCAGAGTCTCTGTGCTGCAGTATTGGTTTCTTCCGTCCCCGACGGTTGCCTCAACCCGTCCATGATCTTGCCAATGCCATTGGGCTAAGCCCCGTAGTCAGCATCCATGATTTACCAACTTTTCCACATGAACTTGGTTCTACAAACTGGCATCTCCCTGTCCTGGACGATGGAGTAGACCGTCCCGAACGGCGGCAGGGCCCAGGTACCCCGACACGGGGGATGTATACAATACACAATTGACGGACACGCCATGTTCCGAGATCCGGCCCTAGTCTACGATGTCCCTCATGGGGATTGACCGTATGCGTTGCCCTGTTGACCCGCTTCGAGAACTCGACTGTCTCCTGTCAAGGTTGTCATCGGCACGGTTCTTAACCTTATATGCGAGATATCTGTTCGTTGGCGATCATTCATGGCGGCGAGACGCTAACTCGGCCCTCCAGGAGGATATGGCACGTATAGTGATGTTGTGATTACGCACCTTTTTTTAATTTCTAGGGGAAAAGTACAGTTAGCCTTATTGAAGATGGCCACTCCGCCGGCCTTTGATCGTGGAGCCGAACTTGAGTTTCAGGCAATTTATGTTGATACGAGGTAAGAGCGTTGTTTTCTCCATGTAAGGACTGTGTCCCACCAGCCAGCCTCAAGTGGAAACGCTGCCTTCAACGGCCCGGCCCGAGCGAGGAGTAATGGCTTAAGGTGGGAGAAAGGGATTCGTAGAGCTGCCAAGGGATTGTGTCGTTTTATAGAAACCTCTTTTTTTTCCCTTTTTTTTTTTTTTTTTTTTTTTTTTTTTTTGGCTGCGGATAAATCTTTCACGGTTTCCACCTTGCGATATTTGCGAAAGTTGCGACGGTGGTGCTACGGCCCCATTCTTGAACTAGCTCATTCGAGGTCACCAACATCGACAATCTCAGACTTACTGGGACAAAATCAACGTGCGTAATACGACTTCCCCAGATTGCACACAACCTTCATGCTGACCACACTTGGGTCAGGGTACAATACCAATTCCACCTGCTGCTGGTGTTGCGTTGTGGCGCTTCAGCTGACCTGAGACCTCGGACTGGCAACAGTAAGATGAGCGATTCGGACAAGCGACTGGCTACTGAGTATCCGTTCTCATCATGATCCTTTCGCTTCTGGACCACGGCAGTGCGTTTGGAGCCCACTGCTTTCCGAAATCCTTCCCCTCAAGCTTGACAACCAGCCTGGAATAACCCGTCGATCTCTCGGAGCAGATCCTAGCTAGCTGTACCCCGTACACTTATGGAAAATTGTCATTTAGCGGTGCATGGAATACGGCTCCTTTTGGATTCACGTCGGCAGCCTGCCTCTCGAGCGGTATGGCAGAATGCGGGGCATGGGGTTCGGAATTCCCAGCTGGGTGTCACAACTGGTCTGTCAGACACCAACGTCGAATATGAGGGTGATCATTGACAAATCCTTGCAGATCCTACGATCAAATTGGCGTGTTGGTGCAGTCAATATCACAGTTGGGAGCGGCCGGGAGGCAGGCTGGAAGCAGGCTGCGGCTTGGCTGTTGGGGGCCGTCAGCAGAACGGCTTGGCTCCAGACTCAGCTGCACAGCGATGGACTCCTGTTGGTTGGCGAGGACATGGAGAGAGAAAGTAGAGAGTAGACCTAGTAGCCTATTGTTCCACTTTTGTCTGGGATTCCTCGCCGTCTCCCGACTTCTTTCACTTCTACTTTCTTCCTACCCACCGAACAAGCTCAGACGTTGAATCGCCGTTAGAGCGTAGTCGACAGGTCGAATTGTCTCCTTCAAGCTTGTTGCAACTGGTATCACGAATACGATGCTGAAGACGATATTCGGTACTGTTCTTATCGCGTCGACCTCCTTGGTCTCCGGGCACAAGAACTGGAACCAGTGTTACTACGACAAAGACGCCGTCGCTCCTCCTGAGCTCCTGCCATGCCAAAACGAGACGGATGTTGGTCCAAATGATTACACCTGGTGCTGCTTTGCCGGCCATAATTGCTTGGACCATAACAGCTGCTGGGACCCAGACACAACCAACACATACCAGTATGGCTGTAACGACGAAACGTATTCTCATCCGAGCTGCCCGCCCAAGGGTGATTTAGATCGAGGTAAGTTGCATCCAGTCACACTGCATTGGGCTTGATAATCAATTGACGGTGGACTCTAGGCAAGTCTCCGTGGATTGGCCTCGTCTTGTGCAAAGACAAGGACAGGGAAAGCAAAGACCAACCTTGGGTCTGCAATCACCCGGACACCTGCGGCAAAAACTGTCCCCTCGAGCCGGGCAACGCCGACGCTACAATGTCCGTTTGGCCTTTTACGATGATCCCTCTGCCGCGTCTGAACAACCAATGCGGAGACCTAGGCAAACTGGTCACTGCGACTTTCGCCCCCGATCCGATTCCCAGCAAGGGATCCGTACCTGATGAAGCGACCGACATAGGCTCGAAGCCTCAGGCAACTAGAGTTCCTATCAAAGGCTCCGATGATGGTGGATTGAGCACAGGCGCCATTGCAGGTATCGCAGTCGGGGCAGCGGTGGGCGTTATTGCTATTCTGGTAGGCGTCTTCTTCATGTGGCGGCGACGCCGTGCGCAGAAGACCCAGACCCCGGCACCAGCACCGGCACCGGCCCCAGCACCAGCGCAGTATCCCCAGTCCTCTCCGGCCCCTCAGTATCACTCACCGGGAATGCCATCTTCACCTGATCCTTATCCTGGTTACGACAAGCACAACATCGTGTATCCCAACTCGCCCTCGACTTTCTCGGACGGGACGGGCATCCAGCGGCCTGTGTCAGACATGAGCATGAGCACCGTCTCTCCGACGCCCATGGGATCTCCACGGCCTCATCCTTCGCAGTATTATCAGCAGGGAGCCCACCCGTCTCAGGGACCCTATGGACATAGTTCTCACGCAGAGCTCTCGCATGACGCAAGAGCGGTGTACGAGATGCCCGAGATTCGGGAGAAGCCTGACAGATCTGAGCTACCGTGAAGGGAGTCATTCGAAGAGTGATAACGCAAAGTGGCGGTAGGGAAGAATGTCTACGCTTTGTGTCCGGGTGGTTTCCCGGGGGCTGCTGCTTCTTTTGTTCGGTTGGGACATTTTAATCAGACGCGTGTCGTCGTTTACTTACCTTTACGAAGATGGTCTGATGACCGACATCCATGGGCGTACAATGTTGACTGGCCACTTTAAGCAAACAAGACCTAAAAATAAATATACTGCTTTCTTCAAAATTACCGAATGTGTTTATGAGAGGGCGATATGCTTACTCTTCGCAGTAACATACCCACTAATTCGGTTTGACTGGCTCGCGGTATCTCGAAGCGAGGGGCGCAGCAGCATTTCCGCCAATGCATCTGCTATCCGCATCGCGGGGTACGCAGGCTATGAAAAGTAACAAATCAGCAATGATTAACCCCACGATGCCCCGCGTTCATCTCCGGAATACCCCAACTTTGAGGAAAGATCATTCCCCGGCCTTGATCGCCCGGTTAAATCCTGCGGGGTTGTCCTGCGCATGTGGAGGGAATCATGGTAGTACTCAGAAAGGAGCCAGTGCTTGAGGCCGTTGGGGTTGAATCCATAGGCAAGTGAGGAGCCATCGGATTCCACTGCTGCAAGTGCAAATAGCAAACGTCAGAAGAGACGTCTCCTTTGAGTGTTATTGGAAGTGGATGCTAGTGGTAACTCACTTTAAGCTTATAAGTAATTGGGGAGACTAATGTCTTTCGCTTATTACCATGTAATAATGTTTGTTCAGACTTCATCGGCTTCGTTCAATCAAGATGTACTTCTCAAAACTAGCCCTCATCTTTGTGACAGCCGTCGCATCGGCATCAGGGTATGATGTGCCGCCTCGCCCGAGCATTGTCCCGTTTCCGAAGGCTCCCGGCCGAGCGTTGCCCGTCAGCCCAGCAAGAGACCCCGCCAAAGTCTGCATCGTCTGCCCCAAAGCCGGAGGCGATTCAGCTGCTGCGATTCTCAAGGCCGCGCACGACTGCAACGATGGCGGTACCGTCGTCTTCATGCCCAATGCGGCGTACACCATATCCAGCCGTGTCGACTTGACATTCTTGAAGCACATCGACTTTGCAATCCTTGGAACCATTGTTTTCAATGATGACGTTGAGTACTGGCAAACGAACACGTTTGCGTACCGTTACCAGAATGTGAACCTCATGTGGCGGTTTGGCGGTGAAGATGTCAACATCTATGGGCTTGGACAGGGAACTATCGACGGTAAGGAGGAGGTTCCATGCAGATATGGAACCCCACGGCTAAGAAGTAGCAGGTCTCGGACAAACATGGTGGAATGCTCTTGCTGGCAACTCAACCGTCGTCAGACCTCTGCTCCTTGGCACAGATGGCCTGAAGGGCGGGTCAATCACGGGTCTCAAGATGATCAACTCTCCCAACTGGTTCAACATCATTGCTAACTCTTCCGACATCTTGATCTCTGACATGGACCTGTCGGTTGTCGTAACAAACGTTACATCTCCCGCAAAGGTTAGCCTTTCTTCCTCCGGCGGAAAAGGGGCACCGTCCGCTAATGCTATTTCCAGAACACCGACGGTTGGGATACCTATCGCAGTGATAACATTGTCATTCAGAACTCTATAATCGACAATACCGATGGTAAGTGCCTAGCAACCCGATCGAATTTCTAACCTAACGTTTTGTAGACTGTGTATCGTTCAAACCCAACTCCACCGAGGTCCTTGTGCAGGGTCTGATTTGTAATGGGTCGCATGGCATCTCCGTTGGCAGCCTCGGTCAGTATCAAGGGCAAGTCGACATCATTGAGGATATATACATCTACAACATCTCCATGTCAAACGCGTCGGATGGTGCCCGCATCAAGATCTGGCCCGGCGTCCCGCCTAATACCACTGGGTCTGAGGCAGGAGGCGGCCTTGGCCATGTCAGGAACGTCACTTACGAGAAATACCACAATGTCAACAACGATTGTGAGTACATCCTGCTGCTATGGAAAGCATGAAACCCATATTAACGATTGTGACAGGGGCTATTCAACTGACCCAATGTTATTTTGCCGCAAGCGACGAAGCCTGCCAACAGTACCCAGTAAGCGAACAGAATTGCCCTGCTGGTGGGATCGATGTGCTAACGATAGTTTTAGGCCACCCTTGTCATTGAAGACATCTTGTTCAAAGACTTCACGGGGACCACATCGAAGAAGAACGATCCCCGGGTGGGCTCGCTCATCTGCAGTGATCCTTCAGTAAGTGCCCCTACATGATTGATGGCAGAACAAATCTAACCGTGTGAAGGTTTGCAAGAATATTCAGGCTCACAACGTCAACGTCTCACCTCCAAGCGGCAAGGACCCGAAGTGGACGTGCACCAACATGGATAACTCACTTCTGGACATTGATTGCATCTGAAGCCCCGTTGCATAACAGCATAGAATCTCAAACATCGCGTAGATGATTTTAATGAGTTGCAACCTGCATTCACCCGCCTACGTATTTCCCATCTTCTACATTTTGCAGGGACAAGGCTCTCTCGGAATTCGGCTTCCATCTCACCATCCATCTCGGTGCAATGTTCGTTGGTGGCTGAGACCAAGCCGGATCAGCCTGTACGCCAAGAAAATGGCTGCATGTGCTGAGCCAGAGCGAAATGACCGCCGAGCCTCTTGGCCAGCTCGTGGAGGCTTGTTTGTCAATCACAAGCAGAGGAGGAAGAGCCTTCTCTTGCTCTTGTCCAAAACTCCGTACTGAAGATCTGTGTTTTTCACCTTCACTGATGATGGTCGTTGAGTGCATCCATAAAAGTGAAAGCGACGGAGGCTTCTGGGTCATGTTGTGTTGTCCAAATTTCGACGTAAATCGACCGGTGATCAACCAGAAGCACATGATTCTCTTGAAAAAGAATTGCTGTCGCATGTAAAGTGTGAAAAACTTGACGTCGTACTCGGCAGGGGCAGATCATAGCTTTGAAGTTGGAGGAGGCAGGTGGAAGCAGCCAAGACGGTTAAATTGGCGGCCGAAGGATTAGAGGCTCTTCTTCAGCTTCACTACGAATATTAAACCAGAGGAAACTGGCAAAAATATCTCTATTTTGAAAAGCAAACTGAATGATTGCTGTCTAGCTACTGGGAGCCTGTAGCGATCAGGCTGCTGACGCGTGTGCCCGGCCCCCCTCGTCTTGGTATCTGGCGTTTTTCTGGTTGGAGGAATTTCTCCCCCGAACTCGGGCGAAGTGCAGCTACTTGTCACCTTTTATCGTGCGATGGATCGAACGAAAAAGTCCATTGGGGCGCCAACATCCCAGACGCGCCCTACTTGCTCCCAAACAAATGCGGCGTTGAGTAGGCACGCATCCATGCGCCCGCAGATGCCCAAGAGCGACCGAGATTCATCGCCTCTGGGCCTTGCACTACCCCAGAACCCCAGACTGTGCCGCAATAGGGTGGGGAGTAAACATTCCACGGGGAAGGATCTGGGGTTGGTATAATATCCCCAGACGCCTCGCCGGTCACGGACGGGGTTGGTGTCCCCATCTCTCGATCTAACTTTCACTGACTCTCTCATCTAGCTAATTGTCTACGATTGAAGACGTCAAGATGGCGATGTCAGGGAGAGTTTACAGTTGGTAGGTTCAATGTCGCAGCTGCGATCCGATAGCGTGGGCTGATATATGTGCTGCAGGTACTCCGCCCTTTTGGCGGCAATGTGTATGGTGCTCTACGGCTTTGACGCCTCCGTGTTCAATTCCGTGCAGGCATCAGACAATTGGCTGGCTTACTTCGATCTCGATAAGGTACACATCCTAGGATAACGATGATATGCATGATGACTAGAGGCTGAGACACAGTTTAGGACGAAGACACGCAGCTCATTGGACTCATCAATACGGCATACACTATTGGAGCTATCGTAGCTGGTTTCTTCATTGGCGGGCCTCTGGTAAGAACACAACACACTTGAAGGTAACTCTCAAAGTACGTCTGACACCTTTGACAGGCTGACTTTGCTGGACGCCGGGTTGGAATGGGTGCCGGCTGCCTCGTCACCATCATCGCCGCGTTTATGCAAGCTTTTGCGCCACGACATAACCTTGGAGTCTTCATCGCTGGACGTGTCATCATTGGTCTTGGGCAGGGGATGGCCTTGAGTGAGTTGTCACGACTCGACTTTGCAGTTGGAGAAATCCTGCTAATCGCGAGTAGCGGCTGGTCCCGTGTACATCAACGAGATTACTCCGGCTGAGATCAGAGGTGTTGTCATGACATTTTGGCAGCTGAACTTCAGCGTCGGGTAAGGAGGACTCCATCGTCGTCAAGAATGAATCATAACAGGAAGGCTGATTATTTGCAGATCGTTCATTGCATACTGGATCAATTACGCATGCTCTCTCCGCAGGGAGGAACTTGGAGACTGGGATTGGCGAATGGTCGTCCTCTTCCAGATTCTTGTCCCGACTATTGTTTGCACCCTTCTGTGGACAATCCCTGAGTCCCCCAGATGGTACATCCAGAAGAATAAGCCCGAGAAAGCCCACAAGGCCATCTGCTCTCTCCGAAACAGCCAAGAAGAAGCCGAGCAGGAGCTCCTCACTATCAGAGAGGCTATTGAATACGAGAAGGAGGCTATCAGCACGAACTACACCGCCCTCTTCAAGGACCCTTCCGTCCGAAAACGCCTGTTCTTGACTATGATCCTCAACGTTGGACAGCAACTTACAGGCCAAGGTACTCTCCCCACCCTCTCACCTACTGCCCTGTTCCTGACATGAATCTTCCTAGGCACCCTCAACAACTACTCTACCGCAATCTACCGGAAGGTTTGGCCCGATACCAGAACAATCAACCTCATTAACGCACTCAATGGAACTTTCGGTATCCTATTCACACTTAATGCGATGTGGACTGCAGATCGGTACGGCCGCCGATGGCTGTTCATGGTTGGTGCCGTCGGTATGGGTCTGTGCATGCTCCTGGTCCCAGTTGTCAGCTTGGCTACCCCAGAACTTGAGGGAGGTGTCAAGTCGCAATCAGTCGGCATTGCAATTGTATTCCTCCTTTTCTTGTTTGCATTCTTCTACAAGCCCAGGTAAGCTTTGCTTCCGTTACACCCTTATCAACTACCTTGATTGTGATGCTCACGCTTCTTAGTTGGGGTGCAACTGTCTGGATCTACACTGCCGAGGTCTTCTCCATGAACATCAGAGCTCAAGCTGTCGGAATGTGCTCTCAGTCCCAAAACGTCGCCAACACAATTTTCCAACAATTCTTCCCCACATTTCTGAAGAACACCGGACTCAAGTGTCTCTTCTTCTTCATGGCGGTTAACTTCTTGCTGGTCGCATACGTCTGGTTCTTCATCCCTGAAACCAAGAAGGTGCCCTTGGAAGAGATCGACGTTCTTTTCGGTGGCGCCAACCATGTTGAGAAGGGTAGCCAGCTGGTCAGCCTCGGTCCCGAGACAACAACCAAGGATGCCGCTATTGGAGAGCAAACTTTAGGGAAGAAGCAGGACGGTGAAACCCGGCAAGTCTAGGACGAAACCTATCGGATCGCTCCATGGGTGGAAAACATTTCGGTTGCCGGATGAATCTCGCTCGATTGGGATGAACGAAGCTTCATCCGAGGATAAGCTTAAACATCATTATTTTAACTCTTAATAACGTTAAGAATTGAGTTGCCTACGCCACGAAGCTTGGTTCTGCAGCTTAACAACCGGCTAGGATGTGTGGGGCATGCTCTACCCGATGCACTATGCAGGGAATCTAGTCAGTAGAACGAACTATTGTTCAATTTTCAAATTCGTAACATGGGACACCAGAATTCCAGAAGAACGCGACACCAACAACATAAAGAGGAAACACATCCTCAAGTACTAGGCGGCCATTGGCGGGTCAGCTAATGACAGTTCGCAACCTAATACACAAACAGCTGACGAGAAGAGACTGAGCTTCAGCGGGTGCGGGGTAAATGCGGGGTCAATCTCGCGGCCATTGCCCCATTCCGTCCAGATGAGGTAACGAAACCCGCAAAGTTCCCTTCACATCTCAGTGTCCCCAAATTTCCAGCAGTCATTCGATCCGAAGATATTGCGCTCAGCAGGCGAACATCACCAAGCTGGTGAATTTCCGTGTGGATAATCTGAGACCTTTCTTGTTCAGAGGATCACCTCATCGTGGGGATGCCTGAGCATGAGGCAGGAAATCTAACGTGGACCAGCTCATTACCATCACTTTTCGACGTCTACAAGTCTACATCTGGGGGACAAGTTGCCCGGGAAGCCGAGGATGAGTATGTTTGATCCATAGTGTTGAGACATTGTCGCATATCTTTTCAGCTAATACTGCTCACTCACAGCCGCCGCGCATCAGACCATTCGGCGTCTGTCCCGATCGCTCTCAGTCAGCACGGAATCGGGCGACCTTTCGAGGATAAAGAAAAGTCTAGGCTGTTTATGCACTATATAAATGATCTTTCCATGTGGGTAAGACTAGACTTCTCTCGTCTGTCAGGAAGGCTTGGCTCATCATCATCTAGGTCGATGTTTGCGACGTCAAAAGACATTTCGGTACAGAAGTCCCCAAGAGAGCTTGCCATTCGCCCTTGTTAGCCTACTCGATCATTGCCCTCGCATCTCGAAGTCTCTGCTCTATAGCAGGAACAGACGACTCAAAACCATCGACGTACTACAGCCATGCCCTTCAGTATCTCATCCCAATTTTGGACAGCTCATTTGAAGCATTGAACGAAGAAGTGCTAGCCGCGATTGTCATCCTCAGGCAGTACGAAGAGATGACAGGTAAGGCTCTGATATCCGTCACAAAATTGCACTTGTCTAATCCGATGTAGATTCTGACTTCGGTGTCCACCTTTCTGGCAGCTCAAAACTATTGAATTCCATGTTCAGCTTGGCAAGCAAAGGAGGTTTGGGAGAGGCAGCAAGTTGGATCGTCCTTCGACAAGATTATTGGGTGGCGCTTGTCAAGTCACAGCCCATGAGCATCAACTTGGATAGCTACAAAGGCTCGAGCTCATTTGTTCGAACTGAACCAGAATGCTTGGCCAACCGTGCCGTCTTTCTTTGCGCACAAGCCATCGCCTACGCCTTTCAACCAGCGGCAATCAGGGACCTCGATAGGTGGAATAAGCTGAATCAGGAGCTAGGGCACTGGTTGATCTCTAATCCATGGCACGCGGATCCCCTCTGGGTTGAACCGCCGCATACCAACAGCGCTAACGGCTCCGCGTTCCCCACAATCTGGATGACACATCCCGCTCACGGTAGGTTGAGGTACTTTGAAACCTTTGGGGTTTTCATGGCTGACGTATGAAGTGGTTGGATATCAACACTACAGCTTGGCACGGATGGTCCTGCACATCTTCAACCCTTATTTGAGCAAGCCGAGTCTTGACACTTTCAAGAAGAGAAGGGAGTCGGAGGTGAGCTCATTGATGGAATCGTGGCGTAATTTTGGTAGCTAATGGTCGGACTATAGAAAGCTGTTCTCGACAACTTTCGAGTACTGCTGGGGCTTGCTATGAGCAACCCTTCTGTTGTCAACGCAGGGTTCACTGCATCGCATACCTTGAGGGCCTGTGAGTTATTCTGTGTAGTCTCATGCAGCAGTCAAACTAACGTTTCCAGGTGGTGTCTATCTCACCGACCCCAAAGAACAGCAGGAAAGCCTGGAATTCCTCAGGAAGACTCATCTAAGAACCGGGTGGTTGACGAAGGATCTCATCGAGCAGTTGACAGTCCAGTGGTCTCAGGATGGTAGCAGCAGTGCCTTTGGTCATCTTTTCTCAGAAAAGACGTGACAATCTCTCGTCGTTTTATCTACTACTCGAAAGGTGTTAGACCTTTCATCATCTTCATAAGTACTTGAAAAAAAGCCCATAAACAGGTATAGATACCTGTCAAGCCGCTTTTAACGCAAAGCTCATTTGTGTGACGAATATTGGCAGGAGATTGCCGGAGAAAGTCTTTGTGTCCTCCCGGCCATTCAATAAATTGGCTAAGAAATCTGTTCTATTCTATTTTGCGAAAACTTCTACAACTTGCCCTGCTTCTCAATGCGACGACCAGTCTCATCAAAGTACAGCTTCTTTCCAGTCAACAGAGCCTCTTGCAAGTAGGAGCCAATCTGAACAGCCTGCACAGCCCCAGTCAGCTTCAATGGAAGCGGGGTGTTGTCGAGGGCAGCTGCTGTGAACTCGTTCGCCTCCTGTGATTATGATTAGCCTACTACTGATGGGTAATGAAGTACGGCGAGACACTTACGGCAACAAATGCGTACTCAAATCTACCGTAGTAGTGAGCAGGGACCTCTCTTGTGATACCCTGGGGGCCATAGATGTTGACAAAGTTGGACTGGGGGTTGCCGTTGACTGTGAGCTTGCCGGCAGTACCAATGAACTCCGTAGTGTCTTCCTGACCATGGGCCATCATGCGGGAGTTGTAGAAGTAGGCGATCTTGCCGCCCCAAAACTCGACGATGCCGACGGCGTTGTCACAGTCACCATGCTCCGCCAGCTCAGGGGAGACTGCAGTGATACCCGAGGCTGACACCGACTTCACCACTGAATCGTCACCGAAGAACCACATTGCCAGGTCAATGTCGTGTACTGAAGACATGTGTCAGTATTGCAATATCATTCGGGTCACAGGTCTGCTTACCACTCATGTCAACAAAGCAGCCACCATTGAGAGCGGCGTACTGGACGAAGAAACCGCTGGGGTCATGCTTGTCGCAAGTCTGCGACCTGATAATTGAAGGCCTTCCAATCAAACCAGCCTGGGTCTTCTCGAAAGCATCCCTGTAGGATGCATCGAAGCGGCGGGAGAAGCCGCACATGACCTTGAGGTGAGGCTTCTGTTGAGCAGCCTTCACCAGCTCCATGGACTTCTCAATGCTGAGAGAAATGGGCTTCTCGCAAAGGACGTGAAGGTTCTTCTCGACAGCCTTGAGGGCCTGCTCGGCGTGGACCTTGGTGACGGTCGCGATGACGACGGCCTGAAGCCCCTGATGCTTGATCATCTGGTCATAGTCGGTGTAGAGAGTTACACCGTAGGGCTCCAGGTTCTCTCTTGCCCAAGCCAACTCAGTCTGATCCGGTGTGAAGGCCGCGACGAGTTCCGCGCGGGGGGTACGGTGGAGGAAATTGACAGCATGACGCTTGCCCATACGGCCAAGGCCAGAGGCAGCGATCTTGAGCCTTTGCACCATTATGATAGTCGTGATATGAAAGGGTAATGTTCGTCCTTGCTGTCTGGGCAGTCGTCTCAAGGGTTACCAAAGAGTGTACCGGTAAAGACGAGAAGCTGTGGGTTGCGACTTGATGAGGGACAGTCGAACGAGACGAACTATCGTCGTCTTATATACAAGATGTCAGGAATCGCATGCACGAAGATGGAGCAAATACGGTTGTATCTACACAATACTCCGCGCGAGGTTTAACCCTTTACCCCAAGATCAGTAGTCCGGGGAAGTGCGGGATTCGGAAACTCATAGCGCAAGATGCCATGGTTGGAGGCTGAAGCTGTTGCATATGGCTGCGACCAACATCACTCTACAGGCCAATCATAAACAATCGCTGTCTCGTTGAAGCCGAAAATCGCGGAAAATGTTGCCTAGAATGTCAGACACAGAGAGCCGGACACGTCTCCGTGACGATCCCGACTGCGGGGAAGTGGAGTCCGGTTGGCGGCCGAGTCATGTGGGGGTCTCTTGAGATTCCGCGCACTTTTTACCCTTTTAAGCGTATGAGGTAGCAAAAACCCGACACCAAAACGTCACACATTTCCAAGGACGCGGAGTAGTCCTGAAAATAGATGAGGCTTTCCGGGCGGATACTGACGTCGGAAAGATCTGCCGTGATCTCTTCTTTTCCGATCAAAGCCAACTCTAAAGAGAGTTGTACGGTCGGCGTTGCTTGAATTAGCCAAACAGGAATGGCTGGAGGGGCAGAATTCCTGCTCTCCAGAGTCTAGACAGGCGCCCGGCAGCAGACGAAAAGTCTGGCAATTCAACAGCCTTTAGACTGAAGGAAGTCAGAAGCCAAACCACAGGTTTGGTGCTTGGCATCGTCGTTACAGCTGATGTCAATCTCGTGTTTGAAAACTCAATCTGAACTATCAGGTAAGCTTGCCACGAGACCGTCGTCGCAACCTGTGCCGGCGACTTTGCGCGGCAGCGCCAGGCCGGGAACCCTCGGCGTTCTGCCCGCCCCGTTTCCCCCAATTTTCCCCCGCACTCAAAAGCTTGCCTGGCGCGCTGAATCTGGATAAAAAAGAGCGAAAGCCCACGGGATGCACGGTGGACGCCTCCCACCGGCAGACCGATTTACAGCCCGTTTTCTCTTGCCATTCAACACAAACCCCCCACCAAACGCGTGTATCCCGCGCACTCCGCAAGCCGTGTTTTCATCCCGCCGGATGAGATCACTGATCAATCTGGGGTTGTCTCAATGCCCGCTCCAGGGGCCGTGAGGAGGCGGGGCTGCGAGAGCTGTCGTGCAAGGTAAGTCTTTCCGCGCGCTTGAGGGTGTTGAGGCAATCCGCGGAGGGAAGCCTCCGTTTGGATGAACCAGACGCCACAGTCAGCCCTACCAACTTCCCCATGTTTGCTGATATGAGTCCGGTTGTTACACAGGCATATTAAATGTGAGTAGTGGGGTTAACACCCATCATCTGAATGGTTCCCGAGTGCTTGGTTAACCGTGACGGCTTGATGATGCAGGCGACAAAGGAGACCCGTGTGGTCAGTGTGTTAGTAAAGGGAGGTCATGTGTCCGAGCTACTAAGCTCAAGTTCAGACACATAACTGTCACTGGGTATGTCCATTTCTAGTAGAAAAGAAAACATCTTGGTTGCTGACAGTATGGGAACTCCAGTGATGGTGACGGAAACCGTGGCGAACCTCAATACGAGTTTTCCGAGACACAAAAGTGGTGTAAGATCAATAGCAAGAGAATACGCTTCATCGACGAGACAACAGATATCAACAGCATTCACAACGACGACTACGATTCAGACGAGGACATCGTTTCTGAAGAAGAACCAGCATTGCCAAGTCCACCGAAAGCGAACCAGCGACGAAGGAGGGAAAGTTCAAACAGAGTTGCCTGGGCACCCTTCAGCGATGTTAGGAATTCAAACCTCAATCCTTCAGGGCCTGAAGAGGGTAGTCCTCTTCCCATCGAGCGAGACATTCCATATCCCTTGACCAAGCTTCCCGCTCTTCACCCGCATGCTCCATACGACAGTCCAGATTCTGCAGGACAGGCCTCTTTGGATGATCTGCCTCGTACGGTCTCTCCGGTGCCACGAAGCCAGCTGTCTGGGCCCATCGGATCCATCAGTTCCATCGGTAGCAATAGTGTGAGCGAGGACCCAAGTCTTCCCGAACCTCAACGATCCTTCCATTCATCCAACTTTCCGCTCAAAGATCACCGAGAGGCGAACTTGGTACGATACTTTCTCGAATTCATCGCGCCCCCCTTCGACTATGGAGATCCACACCATCGGTTCACGACCGTGCTGCCACAGCATGCTGCCATCAGTCCGTTGCTGCTGAACGCCATTCTAGCGATCGCGGCGAAGTCAAGAGATGAGGAAGAGACGCTGGCATTCTTCGACAAACCAGCCGAGCACTATTATGCGGTAGCTTTGAACTTGCTGAGCCCGGTGTTGATCGATCACAGCGCGGAGGTAGACGACCTGCACGTAACTGCGGCGGTTCTCCTCCGACTCTACAACAGCATAAGCGGTGAGCGCCCGACAAGTAACTTGACATGAACGCGGTCGAAGCGTACTGACTCTGTCTTTAGAACTTGACCTGGCCTCTCTCGACAAACCTTTGGTAGATCATAGCACAATCTGGGAGTTTCTCACGTCGCGCGCCAACTTCACCACGAAGGGTAGTCTCTCAGAAGCGGCATTCTCAGGTTGGCTGCGGCTTGAGATCTGGCGCTCAGTGATGCAACAAGAAACCCTCGAGTTCCGGTTGGACCATCTTGACCTTGACCGCTCCCTCCAGCCTGCAGACGACGAGACATGGGCTTGGAGAATGATCTTACACACAATTGATATCATCGGGTACTGCTTCGGCGACGAAACGAACTCTGCAGTATACGAGAAGCTCTCAAACTACGCAGCTCAGTGGATGAAAGCAGCCCCAGAAACTTTCCTCCCCATATTTGTTGAGAACCCTCCTAACGAGGGCGTCTTCCCTGAGATACTCCTCATCAATGACTCTGTTGTCGTCGGGCTGCAGTTCTACCACCTCAATCGGATACTGTTGACAGCACACAACCCGAACGTGCCACGGCTGGGAAAGAACCTCAAGTTGGCGGCTCAGACACTAGACGTTGGTTTTCTCTCTTTCATCACGTACCCCGACATCGGCATGCTAAACTTTGGTGCCCTTGTCCAGAACGAAATCATCAACGACATCAAAATCATGTGCGGCATTGCAGAGTCACATGGGAGAAGCACGCCGGCGCACATGTAAGTTTCGATCTTCCTTTCCGGCGTCGCCGAAGGCCGCTGAATAACACGGAGATCCCTCCCCCGGTCGTAGAATTGCGTGTATGGGTATCGCCCTGGCCGGCGACAGATTCAGATCGTACCCCGAACAAGAAGCGCTGTGCCAGGTGTTCTCCTCGACGGCGGAGGCCTATGCCTGGGACACCGCTCTCATGTAAGTTTTACCGCAGCTGGGACTCGGTGATTTGATATTCGACAAGGCACTGAACTCTAAAGGACGTTATCTGACTGGAATGGCACCGATATTAGTTTGCAGCATCTGAAGGACGCATGGGGTTGGCCGGAAGACATGGTAGCTGAACCCACCTAAAATTTCGCTCGCTGCATAGCCCCCAGGTGGAGAGGGGAAGACGCATGCAGGCCCGGTCACCATACCACGAGTGCTATGCAATCGACTTAATTCCTGCGATATATGTGTTAAAAGTGTTTATATCGCTGGAGAAAACGAATCCTTCAGACGAAGGCGTTGCGCACAAGTAGCTTCCATACCAACGCTTTGTCCATCACTTAGGGGGGCAATGCTACACGCGGATGGCAACGTTGTAGAACACCGACACATAGTTGCGCGACTGCGGATTGAAGACATCCGCGTTACTCGAAATGAAGCAGAGTTTCTGCCAATCTGTTTGACTTTCAACTACCGACATGCCAAGACGCTCCAACGACGATGGCCAGAAAGGCTGGTTGCCCTATCTCTGTCTCTTTTTCACCGCCTAAAGATAATCTCAAAGTTTCACAAGGCTGCTTGCACCTCATTGCCCGTCTCGGCTTGAGTGAAACACTGTCAGTCCCTGGTTGGTCGATCACTAACGGCGCGATGTTGCATTGGCAGGAACAGGTTCGTCACTCGCCAGGCACGTGAAGTCGCATTCTGGACCTGTAAAACAGAAAGAGACAGTGTTGATCTTGGTCGCTTTCGGTCGTTTTTCGGTGATGACAGCCCGGCATCTCCCTGCATCTGTAATTGTCAGAGCTCCAGTTCGTCCTGAACGGGGCAGGCCAAGAGTAACATCACTCCACCCTCTCCGCGAAATGCGTAACCGCATCTCCATCTGCTGCAGGCAGAAATTAGGAAAACCTTCAGGAGGTCTCTGCGATCAGAGAGGGGCCGTGCAGACGCAGTTCGCCCCCAAGTTGCAAGCCGCGCATTGATTCGTATTTCGCCCGTGCTGGTGATGGGTCTCTCGTGGGTTCCGGGATGAAGGGGGCCTATTTCCGGACCCATCAAATGATGCCAAGAGGGACTATCCGCTGCCCGTGTGTCATCTGGGTGGCCCCATAGATGGCCCCCAAGGCCCGTAGATGGGAAACCTCCGAGCAGTTCTTTGTGTGGGCGGGAAAGGAAGAGAGAGAGAGATAGGGCAAGGGTGGGTATCTAGCACATGAAGATTTTCCCTTTTGACAGTTTGCCCAACCTCTTCAAGGATTTGCGGGGGATAATGCAGACTATGATCTTCTAGGACACCGAACCTAGACAGATGTGCAATGTAGCACGAAAGTGACCTGTCACTGCTATTCTCCGAGCACATCGCAATTTTCCGAAGCTTGCGCTCAGAATGGCAGGGTTTCACAAAGTCCCTTTTTGCGTGTGTCTTCGCCATCACCCACTTCAGGCTTGCATTCGCTTGTTGGTCAAATCTCACCATGTGGCGACACTAGACACGCGAGGAGTGCTTAGCGCGACGGAGCTCAACCCGTATCAAGTTTCTGTCGCCGCCGTTCCCCTGAACGAGGCATGTCGTACACGAAATTGCTGTTTGACACCCCAGAAGTTCGCCCACTTTGTGCCTCTGCGTGGGCAGACTATTTCCTCTCAAGTCTTCTTGTCTCACGAACTGCATTGCAAATCACACGCACTTGCGTCGACACTTGCGATCGCACCAAATGGCGAGCTTGTCTCAGGTCTTCCAGTCCACTGGGTGCACGAACAAAAGATTGGGTCGTGGACTCGTCCGGGCCGTGGTCTCCCACACAAGACTGAGGGCCGGAACGGATCTCTTTTGTCAGAGGCGTGCCGGTCTCGGGACAAGCCGTAGATCTATCTGTCTGCCCCTGAGGAGGAGAAAGCCCTTGAAGGCCCTCCCCAAAGGCGGCCCAGAAGAGTCAGGTCCGTTGTCGCTGATCTATTGGAATTACTCGCTGGGCTTCATCGTCTCGCTTCCACGGCTCCCTCCTCCTAGCCCCGGGCGCGATCGACAGGAGCAACAATTTGTCGTACAGACGGCAGTTGTCTAAGAACATGGTCACCCAGGCTAAACACGAAGGGAGCCCTGCCAACTCTCCCTGCACGGCCACGTTCCGGACGTGGCGCCCAGTGGGGGAATGTCGATTTTGTTCTAGCGTTTCCTTCGAGAAAACCAACGCCGTCGTCAGATCATTGGTCAGCCACAAACGTCTGTCCGCCGGACGTCCTTTCCGGAGCGGGACTGATTGGGGTGCCCTAGCATAGTGCGGCTTGTGCGGATGTGGCATCTCTCCCGTCCCTCCCCTTCCGCCCGAGACGTTTGCCGGATTCGGGCATTCTGCAGCAACCTGCCCCCCCTCTCCCAACGCTCAACACGCTAGTGTTCTCCAAGGTGAGTGCAGTTGCTGCAGCGAAGGAGCTCCATCGAATGGACCAAGCTACTTAGTCTGACGCCTTATGAAGAGGCCCTGCCTTGTTGCAACACACTACTACGTAAGGAATATCAACCTCCCAGGTGGAGAGAGATGGTTAAAACGGCAAACGCCGAGCCTGTCAGGAGTGATGGAGCAGGCAGGCGGACGATCTCACATTGATGGGCCAGAAGAACGTCAGGCTGGGGGTCCGCAAATGGAAACACTGCACGTCCAACACCCTTGCTGGCCCGTTCTAGTGCCCTTGTGGACGGGAATTGGTCAAGATTGAGGGAGAGAGACTTGGCAGCTGCCAGATGTCATTCTTCAATGAATATAAGAACGCATGACCCAGATCGCACTACCCCATCCTCCCCATAACCTTGCTTTCTTTGGTAGTGGAATGGGAGGGTCTTTTACTTTGGGGATCACCCCAGTCAACAAATCGCACACATGGCACCCATGGCTGAGAAGATTGAGAATCGAGGACCGGAGCTTCTAGGCGTCAACGTTTTCTTCGTCACGACGGCAATCATCGCCACGGCGCTGCGATGTTATGTGAGGATAGGGTTGGTGAAGGCTTTTGGGCGAGATGACTGGCTCATGGTGTTGGCTTTGGTATGGAAAGCGTGGTCGTCTTTTTGGTGGCTAGGATTGCTGACTTTTGATAGGTTTTCTTCATCTGTTACTCTTCGTTTTCGATTGCGGGTGTTCACTATGGCACCGGCCGTCACTTCAAGGACCTCACGCAGGACCAGATCCACAACGCGATGGAGGTAAGGGCTTCTGGTTGCGATTCGGGGTCGTCCGTAGGACAGAGCTAACAGAACTCCCAGCGCTGGTGGTACTGCTACCTCTTCTACGCCCTCAGCATGATCACATCGAAGATGTCCATCGCCTACTTCCTTCTCCGTATCGCGACGAAAAAGGTCCATATCTGGATCATCTACTGCGCCATGATTTTCACCGTCCTCGCCGGAGTTGTTTTCTTCTTCGTCTCCATGTTCCAATGTCTGCCCGTATCTCGTTTCTGGAACAAGGACATTCCGGGAACTTGCATCGACGTCAACGTGGTTATCGGACTCGCCTACCTGTACAGCGCCTTCAGTGTTATTTCCGACATGACATTCGCCATTCTCCCAGGTTTCCTCGTTTGGAGTCTGCAGCTCAAGACACGGGCCAAGTTGGCGTTGATTCCGTTGCTGGTTATGGGTTGCGTGTATGTTGCATCCCCGCCCTGATATGCCTCATTTGGATACTGACAATCTTGGCAGGGCAAGCTCCGCAGTTATCGTCCGGTTCGGTTATCTCATGAACTTGAAGGACCCAGACTTCCTATGTAGGTTGCCATGATTCATGAACATCCCCCACTCGTAAGGCTGATTACTGACTCGTGATACTTGTAGGGGCCACACTCGACACTGCCATCTGGTCCTCAGTTGAACAGGGCCTGGCCATCACCGCCGGCAGTCTGGCAACCATCCGCCCTCTTCTCAAGCTCGTCGGCTACAAGCTCGGCATGACCACCGACCCATCACGACTCCGGATGACGGACGACGTCGCTCGTCGGCCCTCCGCCTTCATGAACACGAGTCAGCATCTCAAGAGTGGCCAGGGCAAGGAGGCCCAGGAGGACGCCTACGGCATGTCCATCATCCCGTGCAAGTGCTGCGGCAACTTCAAGTGCGACAAGAGGAACAGCGGAGCGTCGAGCGCGAGCAAGAGCAAGAGGAGGTCAAGCCTCGGGTTTCCGTCACGGATGAAAAAGGATGAGCCGCACGCTCTAGCCAACGTGAAGTCAGTCAGCGAGAGCGAAGAGGAGCTGAACGCGGGCAGGGTGAGAGGGGACTCCCACGCCCATGATACGCAGGGAGTGGTACCCAAAAGTTTCATGTCCTGAATTTTGAACCAAACAAGTTTTCAATAAGGGTTGTATAACACACACCAACATGAGCAAAGCGTGCATCACACTCGTTTTTTACCTGTTTCTTTTGCATGTCATAGCGTATAACCTGATTAGTCGATATATCCGCGCCGTTATGCGGCTGTATAACGGACTTGACTAATGTCCTAATTCATAATCAAAGCAGCTTTTGAAGAAAAAGGCACAGCCAACTAGTTCTCATCCGGCGTGAATCCCGACGTATTTGTCTCGGTTAGGTGAAAGAGCTGTTGCGGCTACAGCAGAGTCCGTCACAGTAGCACCCGCAACCCAATAGTCTGTGGCGTTCTTAGGTTGCAGTAGCCGAAGACATCGCAGCAGTCGGGTACAGACATCGCTTAGAGTCATCGCAACCTTCCGTATGTGGCGCTTGACTTGCCTCTTCTGCACTATCCTTATCACTATCACTGTTACTTGCATCTTTAAGCGATGGAAACCCAGCAGACTCTGTCAACAGATGGGCCACAGACGGTCACCGAATGGGTTGAGGAGCACAAACAGGCAAAGCAATAATCGGATGGCGAAACTCCTCGTGGGTATTGTATTAAATCAAATGAGTGAACAAAAGAAGGCCTATCTACACGAACGCAACAGTTTCGCTCTTCCTCTCCAATATGCTAGTCTTTATGCGGCTAAAATTCCATGTCATTGAAGTCCTTGGTGCTTGTTCTTTACTCGTTCTGGCTGAGGATGACGTCCGCGGCCTTCTCGCCGACCATGTAAGTGGAAACGGCGGTGAAGGTACCAGGGATGCGAGGGTAGACGGAAGCATCCACAACTCTGAGACCCGCGACGCCGCGGACCCTGAAACTGGAGTCCAGGACAGCCATGGCGTCGTCGTCGGCGCCGATGGGGCAGGTGGAAGAGGCGTGGTGGCCCCAGGCAGCGTCCTTGACGTACTGCTTGACAGCATCGACACCGACGACGTCGGCGCCGGGCAGCTCCTCGGTGATAGGGACGAGCTGGCGAGTGAAAGCGTCACGGGCGAGCTCGACGGCCTCGGCCATGGCCTGAAGGTCAGCATCGTAGTCGCCGACGCCGGAGTCGAAGTAGTTGTAGAGGATGTCAGGCATGTCGAGGGGATCGGCGGAGCGGAGGGTGACGGCGCCGGCGGTGTTTCTGGGGTGAGACTTGAGGATGGCCCAGGTGAAGAAGTCGTGGTTGACGGTGGCGTTGTAGCTGTACTCGGGGAAGTAGCCGCGGAAGTTGACGGGGCCGCCGAACGTGAAGACATCCCACTCGTTGTTCTCGGTGGTGGTGGACTTGTAGAACATGGTGGCAGCCAGGCCGGGAGAGCTGTAGAGGCCGTGGTCGCCGAGGATGGGGTTCTCCCAGCGGGTGATGCAGGGGTCGTCCTGGCCGTAGAAGCCCCAGGTGCAGCCGTCGAGAGCAGTGAAGTTGGTGGGAGTGCGGCCCTGGACGGAGATCTCGTAGTGGTCCTGGAGGTTGGTGCCAACACCGGGGAGGTCCTTGACGACGGTGATGTTAAACTTCTCGAGCTCCTCCTTGGGGCCGACACCGCTGAGCTTCAGGATCTGGGGAGAGTTGTAGGTTCCTCCGGAGATGATGATCTCCTTGGAAGCGGTGGCAGAGCCCTGGACACCCTCGCCGGCGTTGCGGGAGCGAGGGCTGGCGCGGTAGAGGTACTGGCCGTCGAGGAACTCAACGCCGGTGGCCTTGGGGGGAGTGACATCGGTGTCGAAGACAACCTTGGTGACGTGGCAGTTCAGACGGACATCGAGAGGGTACTTCTGGGTGCCGTCGGCGTTCTTGGCGTCACGGACAGCAACGACAAACTCGCGAGAGCCAGTGCGGTGGGCCTCGTTGGTGGAGATGGGGATCTGGTTGTAGCCGATGGAGGTGTCTCTGGTGTCGGAGGCGGAGTTGGCATCACCGGCAATGAGAGTGGCGAGGTTGATGATGGAGTCGGTCAGGTTGCCCAGGGCGAAAGCACCGCCGGTAAGCAGGCTGAGAAGCTGGGGGTCCTCGAGAACGATGCTGAGAGGCGCAGTCTCGGTGGTGAGCCAGCCGTCGTAGCCGTGGCCCTCCTGGGCGGGCAGAAGGTACTGGTTCTTCTCCATGCGCTCGAAGTAGGTGCGCATGTTGGCCGCGGACCAAGAGTCGTCGCCGGTGATCTCGGCGATGTGCTCAAAGTCGGAGTTGTGAGGGTAGACGGCGATGAGGGCGTTGTGAGCAGTGCAGCCTCCGAGAGTTCCAGCGCGAGGGTACAGAGTGCCCTTCATCGTGGAACCCTCGGGCGGGCTGAGACCGGTGTAGACGCTGCCATCGGGAGTGTCGTAGGAGGTCTTGAAGTCACGGGCCTGCTGGGTGTCGTCGGCGTAGTGACGGACGAAGAAGTCCCAGGACATGGCATCATCCTCGGTGACCTTGGCGTTGTAGGCCGGGATGGTGTAGTTCTCGTTCGCCGACTGGTCATCACCGGCCTCGATGAGGAGGGTCTTCTTGCCAGCGAGGGCGAGGCGGGCCGCGAGAGGGCCACCACCGGCACCGGAGCCGACGACGATGTACTCGTAGCCGGTCAGGTCCTCTGCCGAGACCACGGTAGAAGAGGCGGCCAGAAGGCCGAAAAAGTGCGAGAACCTCATTGTGAAGAAGGCTTTCTTGGCGACGGTCCCTGGTAGCGAATGGTCAGAATGCGACGTCGAAACGTGGGAGCATGGCTCGGGGTGGTGATATGCTGAAGACTTACCTGGTGTGTAAGGAGTGAAAAGGAATGTCTACCTGGTTGTTCTAGCTTCCATCTCCAAGCCGGCTCATCGTGGGATGGTCGGACTTTATACGCCATGATCGACAACACACATGCGCGCAAATTGCGATTGTCTGCCTCCCTAGAATCGAAGCTTCGTTGCAACCCTTCCACGCCGTCGATGGCCACAACAGAAGACGCAGCCCCTTGTCGAGGCGTCCACATCGAGGCCTACTTCCGTCAACCGCGTTATCCGACCATGCAGTCCGGGCTCAGTTCCGCGTCTTCTCCGCGTGGCGTCCGGGGTCGGCCCGCTAAGATGCAGGTGGTGACCATTCGCCTGCGGAATTCTTCATCAAGATGGGGATGACGACATCTGGAAGGTGTCGTATAACATTGGCATCGCCTCTTCCCTTGCTGTAATTCAGGGGACAATCCAATGCGTAAAGGGGGGTATCTCGTGCGGGGTGCAGAGTGTCCTCGCTGCAACACCGAATGGGACTACTGCCAAGTGCTTACACCTCGGTGTGAAGATGACTTGCTTGATTTGGTTGATTTGCTGTTGGTGATCACTTACAACTCAGAGATGTGGTGTTGCATTCTTGAGTCAACTGGATCATCCGATGTCTTTCGTCCGTGAAGTTGAGTTTAGATTCGCATTCGCCCAGAGAGACACCCATCATCTGATGCGATTACAGTTCAGTAGACTCAGCGGGATCACCCTTCGCCGAAAGGACGACCCATGTTCCGGATGCCTGCAACCTCGGAGATTCAACGACAGGGCCCAGAATGCGTGGCAAGCGTGGAGGGCCCCCCTCATGGTGATCTTCAGTTTTTGACGACTTGCCGAGCTGTCTAGGCTGCCCCGTCTTGCCTTTTCAGTGTTGGCGGTCCACTAGTTTCGTCTTAGTGCTGGCCCCTCGCACTCCCTGGTCGCGAGGTTCGAGCGCCAAAATACGACCGCAGCCCTGATATTTGGTCACAGCTCCCCGCACATCAGTTGCGAAGCCCGTTCGTCTTGTTCGTTTGCGACATGGGTTTTCTCTCCATCCTGTCCACAAAGGCCATTCAAGCCGAGGCTAAACATGGGGCTTCAAAACTTCCCGACTTGATGCTCAACTGTCAGAGCGGACGAACAAGCCAATTCGAGAAGCTGCCCCGAACCTGAACGCCTGATAGCTGTCAGATTTCAACTCTCGCCGGTATCCCCGGGCTCTGTCTTCCAACGGTCGCTAGTCTCATTCAGCCCTTTTTCATGTGATTACGTGTATCTGTTGGGGATTTTAGAATTGCGTCCTGCATTGCATGCGCGCATCTCAATACGACGGGATCTCAGCTGAAGCTCTGTCAGAAATCGAAAACCAACTCCTTTTTCGATGTCCTCTTTCAGCTTTGACGGAAAGGGGCTGGACGTCAGTGCAGCCATGCGCCGGTTGCCAAGTGAGGAGTGTTGCGGCTCTGAGCCACGTTTTCGCATTGACGCCCAATTTTGATGTTCCGAGTTGCTCGCGTTGCCAGTTGACAAGACAAGAGCCAGCAGAATGGCCCGAATGTAATCAGAGATGCTTCTTTGCGATGGCCCTACAGAGCGCCACAGAGGGCGCTAATAGATTGCTAAAGTGGCTCTGCGGCCGGCGATTTTGTAGCCGAGTCAAGTCGTCTACAGAGGCTCCACGAAAGCTCAAGCACTGTAATTAAGCTTAACTGACTCGATTCCGGTACCATTTGTTTCTGTTTGACGGCATGCGCAATCGCTGCTGTCTGCAATTGTGTTTGGGGTGATGTCTCTGAAGACTCGTTCTGTGTATCGGTCTGCTGTAGAAGCTCAACCGCGGAATTGCCCATTTGCAACTGTCTGTGCTCTTCAACATGAATGAAAGAATCCTACATCAGGCTGGGCATCTTCAAATGACAGCGGAACAGTTCCTCTCATCTCCACATCGCTAGGTGAGGCGTTCGGGAGGGAGGCTCCGGCGGCTCATCTGAACTCAGCGATCCATGTCCGCTCTGCCGTCCCACCCGAATTCATCACGAACTCTCCGAAACTCCCCACTCGATCAAGCGAGAGACATAGCCCTAATTGACGCCAGCCACAATATAATCATCTCTGCGGCGCTAACTGTCAACGATTCGGGATACCTCTCGGTCCACAACCAAGCATTCTTAGTGTAGCGGTTATCATCCCAGCCTTCCATTCGAGAGAATCTGATAGCTGGGGACCGGGGTTCGACTCCCCGAGGATGCATTTCCTTTTGCCCTTTTGGTTTTGCTGTATTGTTTGTTGATGAGTTGTTGAGTGCTGGGGGTTGCATGTGGGTGTGGGTGGTGATTGGAGGTGTGACGCGGCCGCCCACGGAGAAAGACAGTCACCCGACGGTCCGATTGATTTGGAAAGCTCTAAATTTTGAGTCGGCCATTGCCTACTGGCTGGTGCCTTCCAAAAGTAGAACACTGCCCCGCTAGAGCAATATTGACAATGATGATAATAATGACGGAGACGAGCGCCACCATCTAGGGATGACTCACGACGACGCGGAGCGGCGAAGGACGATGATGATAAATGAGTAGAAGAGACAATGACGAGGGACGATGATGGCCAACAACAGGAGACAGCGGCAGAGAAAATGACAGCATATAATGGAATGGGTGATGAGGGACACCGACGACAACGACGACGACAACATTGTAGACGGGAAGAGAACCGTAAAACGAACCTTCCGCTACTTCATGGTAGATGTAAAGCAACGTGACCTACTCAGCATTCATCTTAAAATTATTCAGTTGGAAGAGTTCTAAGCCCAGCAATTGACAGAGAAAAGCGTCATGTGCGCACTTGACATCAGGGTGATCATCAATATCATGAGCTATTCAAAAGCTAAACTACCACCCCTTCACCTTACCATCCAGCTTACAATTACGTATTATCTCTCCTTCTAAATAGTAAAAGTGCCATTCAGCCTCAAATCGCGACTACTCGCGCCAACCCACACGTCAAACTCTCCCTCGGGCAACCGCCACTGCTGCGCAACAACGTCCCAGAAACTCAGATCCCTTCTCACCAACTTGAACTCCACCGTCGCGCTCGCGCCAGCCTCGAGGTACACCCTCTCAAACCCGCGGAGCTGCCTAATCGGCGTGCCTTCAACGGGAATGCCCACGTACAGCTGCGCGACCTCATGGCCGGCCACATCGCCCGTGTTCTGCACCTGCGCGGTCACAGAGTACACCTCCTCCCACAGCTGCGGGTGGCCGCCCTGCACGGTCGCGACGCCCGCGTCCGGGAGGCCGGCGACGGGACTGCCGACGGGGGCGGAGGCGAGGGCGGAGTAGGCGAAGGTGGTATACGACAGCCCGAAGCCGAACTCGTAGCGGGGGGCGATGTCGTCCTTGTCGAAGGCGCGGTAGTCGATGAAGAGGCCCTCGGTGAAGTCGTCCTGCGGGAAGGGACCGGTCTCGGCGCTGGAGTTGAGCAGGGCGCCGAAGTCTTTCTCGGCGTGCGCGACGGTGTAGGGCAGGCGGCCGCTGGGGTTGACGTCGCCGTAGAGGATGTCGACGAGGGAGTTGCCGGATTCTTGGCCGGGCAGGCCGGCGAAGAGGACGGCTGTGACGTTGGGGTGGTCGACCCAGGCGTCGATGACTCTGGTTCCTGGTTGGTGTTAGTCATGTTCGATGAGTAATTTTGTTAAAGGGGGGCTTACCGGCCGAGTGAAGCACGACAATGGTGTTGGGGCAGTTTGCCGCGACATTGTTGACGAGGTTGTCGCTGAAGTCGTCCTTCAGGCTAGGACGGTCGTATCCCTCGGATGCCCACGCATTGATAAACACAAAGCATGCCTCCGTGTTGACGTACGCCGGGCTTGGGTTCTCAGAGTAAAAGTCCCACTTGACAATACCCCCATCCGCAATGACGCGGTCCTGGATGGCCTGGAAGGGGCTGATCACATACGGCGGGGTAGTGATACCCGAACCGCCGCCGGCAATGATGGTTCCATTGTACGTGTTGATCTCGTCGGTGCCGAAGCCAGGGCCGTAGCTGGTGCTGGCCCACGGGCTCGGGGGCAGGGCGGCGTCGTAGCCATAGACGGTCAGGAACTTGGGGCTCTTCAGGGGAAGAGTGCCGTTCACGTTCTTGACGAGCACAGTTCCGGCGGCACCGATCTCGCGGATGAGGGCCTTGTGTCCGTTCTGCACGTCCACGGGTGCGTGCTTCTGCAGGTTGGAGTAGACTCCGACCGCGGGGTAGTCCGCGCCGTCTTGGCCTGTGTAGTACCACGCAGCCAAGATGCGAGTGGCCATGTCCTCGATTCTCTCATGTGCGACGCTGCCATTGTTGACGGCTTCGACGAGGGAAGCGCCCCAGAAGCCTTCGCTGGGCATCACGAGGTCCAAGCCTGCGTTCGCGCTCGCTACGCCGGAATGCTACAACACCATCAGCACACGATCTACAACTCTCCCAGAAGACAGATAAGGACTTACCTGCGCGCCCCAATCAGACACCAAGAAGCCTTCAAACCCAAGCTCGCCCTTCAACACGCCGTTAATCAGCTTCGAGTTCTGGCAGCCGTACGAGTTGTTGGACCGCTGGTACGAGCACATCACCGACGCCGCGCCCTCGCGGATGGCGTCCATGAAGGGGAACACGTAGAGTTCGTGCAGTGTGCGGTCGTCGACATTGGAGCTCACGGCCTCGCCGAGCCCCGTCTCTGGGTTGCGGCGGTACTCCTGCTCGTTGAGGATCCAGTGCTTTGGGCACGCGATGGTGCCGGCGTCTTGCATACCCTTGGTGATTTCGCCGACGCTGATGGAGGCGAGGTACGGGTCGTTGCTTGTGCCTTCCCAGTTTCGCCCGCCGCGGGCGATGCGGCCGAGGGGCCCGCCGACGGGGCCGAGACCGACATTGATGCCCTGAGATGCTCGTCAATGGGTCTGTGTCTTTGATTGGGATGTTGGTGTTCTTACCTTGCCGCGATACTCGGCACCGAGGGCCTCGCCGTATTGGTAGGATAGGTTGCGGTCGAACGCGGCGCCGAGATGGATGCCAGCTGGGAAAGCAGAGACGAACTCCTGCGCGCGCACGCCGTCCGGTCCGTCTTGAAGGCACAGAGGCTCGATGCCGAGACGGGGGATCGAACCGGTGTTGCCCGTACAGAGACCCGTCCAACCATGGGTGAAGTTGGCGAGCTCCTCAACGGTCATCTGCGTAGTGAGGGCCTTTGCGCGCTGGTAGGCCAACGCCCAGGCATCATTCGTAGTACCATTTCCCACGGCTACGTGGTCTTAGCACAGGAACTTGCCTTTCTTGAAGGTCGAGGAGAAGATGATCACTCACGAGTGGGATAGACAGGAGGGCTCTGGCCGTAGTAAGGGTCTGTCTCGTTCGTGTACTCGCTCTGGGCGGCGCAGAGTCGAAGACCCCCGAGGGCCGCCACGACGGTTGTAAGCACGGCGTTCACCATGATGACGAGGAGAACTCAATGGCTTGACCTGGAAGAGTGCGCTGCTTGAGCCAACTGCACCAAATTCTCGAGAATCCCAGCTACTTATTACTATTTCCCATGGCTCGGTTCGGGAGAAGACTCAACGAACGGCCGCCCTCTAGTCCCCCGCTCCGCTGCAACTTCAATTCTCTAGGCGCATACGCCGTCGGCCCTTCTCCAGAACCCACCCAGTCCCATGATCACAGCCAATTTTCCCCAAAGTCCCACCGCGAGGTTCCCAATTCCAGCACTGGAATCCGAGGGGATGAGATCATCGAGGCTGCGAGCCTGCGAAGCCGGCCACTAGGACCAGGCTTTTCGTTAGTAGTCTGTCAATCCGGTAGTAGTTTGTGGGGTAGGTGTCATCCGAACGGTGCGGGGGAGGGGGGGCCAGCAACGCTTCTTTTGGCCCTGGGATGCCCATGGAGGCTCTTCGGCGGTATTCTGGGTGCATTCTGCAGAATAACCATACTGGCAGAGCACGCGGGGAATCGTGGGGAAGGCAACAGGGGTAGTTGAGTGGACTGTCCGGGGAATATCGCATGTCTGTTGGCGTGAGTCGAGGTGATGCCGTGATGTGGGAGTGCGGGGAAGGTCGTAAGATTGGTGGGCTGGTGTTGGTTGGTGACTGGGATTACGACGGGAAATACTTCGGCAAAGATGGGCTGTTTGCTCGTCGTTGGCCCGAGGCTGCAGAGAAGCCTGGATTCGGAGTCATTTAAGCTGGCATCGGCGATGGGGGAGCGGGGTTGATGGAGCTGGGTGGTTAAGTTGACCGCTCTAGGGTTGCGATGAGGGTATATCCGCTCCTTTGGGAGTGGCCCTGGTAGGAAAGTGTCGGTCTAGATTTTCGCCTTCGTTGAATTGATGTTGGGTATTGGTCAGCGACTAAGAATCGCGCGAGGTTGAGGTGGTGTTCACTCCTCGGCAGGAGTCACATCATCATGTTTCGCGAGGAACGGACCGATAACCACGTTGTGTGCCTGTACCGTGGTGATGAAATCTCATCATGGCCAAGTCGGAAAACCCGGATCGCCTTCATTCACAAAGGTGCAGGAGAATCCTCGCCGGGTCGGTCGTATCCCAGCTTCGGATAGGGAGCTGGGTACTTCCCATCGTCATCAGTCACCCAGTTGGGGTAGCCGAGGTCCTGCAGTAGTCGCATATCAGCCATATGTGCGGTTGTTTGGAGGGTTTTACTAACATAGAATGGGTTTCCAGAAGTTCCGGCCCTCTTTAACTCTGTCGCCTCATTCCACCACTCTACCTCGGGCCGGTGACGGCGTTTACACCACATGCACCTGGGATCGATCTCGTCAGGGACGGTCGCGCCACACTTGCACCAGAACTGTTCAAACCAATCAGTATCATGCCATCAAGTAATGGAAATAAAAAAGACTCACAGCGCGATCATGCTGATGATCGTGCAATAGTTTGGTGATGGGCTCGTCTGAATCATCCTCCGCCCAGCCCCCCTCAAACTCGGTGTGCTCGTTGTAATACCGACCGGCCTCCCGGTCAAACTCTCTAGCACATTTCAGACAGATCCAACGAGTGTAGACATTACAGTCACACCTCTCATTCAAATACCTTCCCTTGACTTCCTGCTCCTGCTTCTCGTCGCACGGCGGGCACAAGCACATGACATTGTAAGACTGACAAGGCTCATTGAGATGCGGCCGGCCAAATGAGTAGATAGAGCGGTTTGGCCAGCGCGGGTAGTCCCTGCATTCTTCGCAAATGTTGATGCCGCACCTGACGCACGGCAGTGCGCCGGTCTCGTCGCATTTGAGGTTGAACAACCGCACCTCAATGGGCTCGTCAAAGTCGATTCTGGGCTCTTGCCTGAGTTTGAGCTTCCAGTAGTGGATGCGGTGTGAGCCAGTGAAGTTCTGGCGTCGGGCTAGGCCGCGACCGTCGCAGAGACACGAGCGCTTGAGGCGGTCGAAGATGACGGAGGAGCCGAGGATGGAAGCGTGATTGGAGCGATTTGTGAGAGCGAGGTGGAAGAGATCTAGGGTTGAGACATATTCGGTGAGGCTGGAGAGAATAGGGTAGGAGGAGATGAGGTTTGAGAGGGATGGCGGTTCGTGGGTCATTGTCGAATCTCGGGCTGCGATGAATGGAGACAAGGTAACTATACGTCTTGTACTCGAATACTTTTGCAGCTCTGCGGGCTTCGAGTGGGTGATTTGATCAGGTTGGTTGGTAAATTGATCGTGAAGAAGTGAAGTCGGTCACAAGTGGCGGTGCTGCTGCCTGGTGGCGGAGACATTGCGCATCGTCCCATGTTTCTTGGCGGAGCCACTTGGTAGATCCATGCTTCAGCCTCTGTTGCTCGGATGTGTGGCTTGGCATGGTTAGCAGTGATAAAAAAACATCGGATTATGTGACATCATCTGGGCAGTGGCAGCCAGATCCAGTAATCGGGCCATTGTGGTTGTTATTCTGGCGAGTCGTATCGCACCCATGTTCATTTCGTAAGACAAACTCGACCAAAACTGGCTCGACCCTTTGCATCCATGGATGCTTGATAGAAACATTTGGAGACGAATAATGAGACACAAGAAGCCATTGCCATTTTTTAAGAGCTACATTAGAGGCTGCAATGTTCACAGCCCAGGGAAACGAGTATGCATATCAAGCTGCGAGTAAGGCCTCGGGATGTTAACTCGCATAGGATGACTACCCAAACTTCGCGTTTCACTCACCGTCGAAGGCTTTCCAACTCTACCGAAGCATACGTAAATTTCGTCAACAAATCAAGGGAGATGGGAGAAGTCTTTGATAAGTAGCTTGACGTGACTCAACTTCTGCTATTTCTACCTGGTCGCTATCCGGCACAAATGTTGAGTCAACGGTCAGTCGGACATGCAGAGCTAAAACTTCTGTTCATTTCTTGTTCGTTGCAAGATGAAAGCCAACTGTGGAGGAATGAATAGGAACCTGGAGGCCTAATATCTTGCAGCGTATTTTTCACAGCTGAAGTTTGAGCACGATGAATGTGACCGCGGAAGCGAGTTTCAAATCATCGAACAAAACACATCTATCGATGGTATGATCTGACACATAAATTTCCATCGAGCTTCTAAGGACCTCAAACCGTTTCCATATGAAACACCCCATAATCTCCAAAGCAGCTTGAGCCCGATGCCTTGATTTGTGCAGTCATGCCGGCTGCCCAGTCTGCTTCAAACGGATTCCTTTAGTTGCAATTGCAATATACGCTGGGAACACCAATTAGCCTAGCGAATATGCCAAAACTCAGGGCAAATACACTTACTTGGACTGAGAAACGGAGCAGCTGTCAAAGGTGCCACTCTGTCTCAAACACTACTCCGACGAATCAGCAATGAATCCTACCATGGCTTGGTGGTGTTTGTACTCACGTCTCCAGGGCACCCGCTCTTGCAAGCGTCCTCAGTATCGTACACCCCTCCAGTCCAAGCAAAAACGGCGAGGGGTGAAACGATGAGCAACAGGAGAACGGGAGACTTCATGGTGGATGGATGAGTTGGTCTTTTTTCGAAATCTTTCTAAACTGTGGTCGACAGACAAATGAGGAAAACGAGTTAGTTAATGGTGATAACTACGAAGCCAGGAGGTGCAAAAGCGACGACGGTCCGTCTCATTATATATTCATCGAAAGGAGCTCGTTCTCTGAGAACTCTAGGGCTGTGTTTTCGGACTTGATGTGATTTGCGGGTTCGCGGCGATCAACGAACTATAACACGAGCCAATAAACCTGCTACTGCAACGGAGGCTGTGCTATCCATGTCTTTCTCAGGCTCCCAACCTTTCCCGTCTCTCTGTATAAAACCGAAACTGAAACCTGAAAAGTATGAAACAAGACGATTAAGTCCAGCAAAAGTTCATCCCAATAACATGACAGAAGTTAAATTTATAGGTAACAAGCTGACACCACAAATACAAGCCTAGTAAGGGTTACATGATCATGTCTGAGAACGACGCGGCGTTGATTAATGTCGTATGAGTTGAAAGCTGTTGCAGTTGCAGTGACCGCTGCAACAGGCAACAATAGCAAAAGGCGTATTATCGTGCAGTATATTTGGCGGTGGCATGTGGTTTTCACTTGACTCGTGCTGTGCGGACATGCCGAGCGGGTCGTGGGGATAAAACATGCCTAAGAAACTTAGGAGATATAGGATTTACTACTGTGGCTTCACAACATCAACAAAAGCGAGACCGAACGCTTTTTGATATCGGACTGGGATTGTCTTCGTTTGTCTCGCTTAGACCAACTAAGCGAGCCAAACGTTGCCCCGTGCCAACTCGTGGGAAATAGGCCGCCAGAGGACAACGTGAAGCAGCGCGGCCGTACGACGGCAGTTCCGAGATGCATCGGCCAATCTTCCATGGCAACATTAGCATCTCACCGCATTTCTTTGTTTTGTTGTTGACTTCGGGCAATGAGGGCCAGACGGAGGCGTCGACATGCCGTTGCTGGGGAACCGAGACACTGGAGACTGCATCATCGTCGGTGCTTCAGGATTATCCTGCGGTTAACCCTCACGTCTGACACAAGGCGTAACCCATGTACTTTGATGCGGCTTTTTTGGCTGCGGATGCTCGCCATCAACTCTACTCAAAGAGAACCGAGTGGCCAAAGAAACCCGAGAGGATTTGCGGTCCCCAACAGCAAGGGCCTGATGGCGCGAACAATCACGCAATAAGAAAACTGATGTGATCTCAGCAGAAACCACAAGGCAACGACGCGAAAATCAGGGCATTGAGGAGTTCCCTGTCGGTTCCGATAGACCATTCGACTGGATGAACACCGTCCCGATTTCCCCCCGTCAAAATACCGGCTACCCCGAGACGGGGTCGTGTACGAGTGGAGATGACGGACGCCGGAGACCGAGATCGGTGAACCGGTGCGCTACGACGTTAGAAGATTGATGTGAGCTTGTCCGGGGTTGACCCGTATGGGGTCGCCGGTTTCATTCTTGATATTGTTCTATGGTTCTAATCCTTCGATGGAATGAACAAACTTACAAGCTTGACCTCATCTTACGCCCCAAGAAGCACTAGCAATGCTCTTGGGCTATTCTCTCCATCGCCACGACCTCGTCGCGCCCTAGAGGGGAAGGGGCACTCAGCTTTGTCATTCTCGTAGCAAAACAGATTCATTCATCAAGCTGTACTGAGAGAAAAAGCTGTTAATTCTGATTAGGCCCTCTGTCACGACATAGGAGAATAAGCCTCTCCGCGTGTTAGCGAAACAGTTGCCGTACTGACTGGAGGGGTGCGGCAGTGCTGTCGCACCGGTAGGAGTTCACACAGCGGCATCAGGCCGCACTGTACTGATTGGTGATCCTAACCAATCGCAACTGCACTTCGAAGCTGGGCGAAGAAATTAACCGAGAAGAATGGAGGAGTGAGATCGACGATCCGGTGTAGGTTGCTTCAAAGCACCATTCTGATACGAAAACCTTCCCTAGAGCTTCTCCTGCGGCCTGAAGCTTTGTTCGACTTGGACGTCAATATTGACCGTGATCCTCGCCTACGACCTACTTCATTAACCAGCTTTTATCTACTCACAGGATAGAAGATCGCAGAGAGGCCACCGTCTTGTATTGCAGTTGCCTAACCCATGGCCTTCAGAGCCGCCCTCCTCGAGCGCTGGATGACGGCAAGTACATGTAGTCTCCCCACGTTTTCTCCAAAAGGGCTAATTCTTGATTCTTACCTGTGCTGTTTCAGAAAGATGGATGTGGATAATGTAATCTTCTCAAGTTGTAGGTGGTTAGCTTCGACAAAGTGACTATTTGGGAGAGTCGAGAGTGAGGCTGGAAGAGGGTGAATTTCAAGCACTCAGATTGAAAAGGTGAATTTCAGCTCCAGGTGGCACAGTGTGTTAAGGGTGTGGTGAGACTGAACTTGACATTAAAGTATTCCAATAAGAGTTGCCGTTCACTCGTACAAGTGGACCTCAGTGCAAGGCTCCCGGGGGGTCCGGTAGGGGGCTGTCCAGCTCACTCGTGTCACCCTTGGCGGCATTCTTGAGGCACCAGACGGCCAAATCGGGAGCCAGTCTGAGAGCACCGCCAGTCACAAACGCCAGTGATTTTGCATTTTGGAGGTTTTTAATTTAGGCAGCGAGCTCACATACTTCGCCGGAAGATCGCACAAAAGCAGGCCCTTAGAACGCACAGTTGCCCGAGGACTGACTGGCCGGATCAACTTGAGAGAGAAGCGTCATCCGTGGAAAGAGCATTATCCGACGAAACCAAGAGCTGCCTCCTACAACGTTTTGAGACTGGTTTTCTACTAGTCTTTTCCAAACACCAAAGATCTGAACATCCAGTCCCGAAGATGCGCAAAGCTTCCGCCCGCCTTCGTGAAAGCCCTCGTCACCACGGCCAGGCTAGCGCGCCAGCACACGACCACCTCATGAACGACTTTTTGCCTCCACCCGAGCCTGAGACGTCGCCGCAGCCGACAGACTCGACTAGTGTCATCGGAACCGAATCCATGGTCAGTGAAGAGCTTGATAGAGTGGACGAGGCAAAGTCCGAAACGGCTGCGACGGCGATTTGGCAGCCCAAATGGCTAAGACCCATTGTTCTCGTATCTTTCGCAACCCTATTCGTGGTCTTTGCGTTGGTTCTATCTCTCCTCCTCTGGTACTCCCAGCGCCACGATGGAGTCGTCGCAGCTCGACAGAGCTTCGTGTACATATGGCGGTTTGGCCCAACAGCTGGTGAGCCCCTCCACCCTCTCATGAGTCAGTTTCAAAGGCGGCGTGGACTTGTTCTAACGTCGCGCAATGCAGTAATTACTATCATCGCCGCATTCTGGGCAAGGGTAGAGCTACAAGTCCATGCCATGGATCGCCTTACATTCCAGCGGCCTGACACTGAACAAAACTAAGGCAACGCTTGACTATACGTCGATGTTATTGCCCAAAGTCTTCATTCAGTCAATTAAGCAGGAGCATCATCTTCTCTCGCTCGTCATCGTCACGTCGATTATCCTTACGGCCCAGATTGCACTAGCCCCCGGCTTGTTTAGCCTGGCTACCGTTCGTGCTGAGTACGATGTCAGCATCCAGACGCTGGACTCCTTCGACACCGAAAAGTATGCCAACGCAAGCGAGATCCCGCAGGAAACAAGCGCGTTCTACAACGTGCGCGCGATCCGGGACTTCGACATGGCTTATCCCTTCGGTGTCAACGACGAACTCGCCTACCAAACCTTTAGATCCCGGGGAGATAAGTCTGACGGCTCTCGGGGTACTGTCCGAGAACCGCTGAAAGCCGTGGTTGACGGTCTTTTCGCGGAAGTACAGTGTCTGGAGTTGAAAAACTACTCTGCCAATATAAAGCGTGAGGAAAAAAGTTAGCCTGGAATCTACAGGTACACTTTCGACGTCGAGCTATACTTCGAAGGGTGCGACAAGGCCATCTCGGTGGAGTACGAGTGGAATCCCCCACCACGACCGAGGAAGTCGGGCCAGTGGATGATCGACAATGAGCTCTCGCCAGAGAGATCGTGTTCGAGCCTCCCGCAAAAGAACAAGCAGTTCGTTTACTACGCGGCGCAGCTCGGATCATTGGTCAAGAACTCTTCGAGTCCTCCATGGCCTGTCATTGGCAAAGCTGCCGCTGTGATCTGTACCTCTGCTGCATGGTTGTCAAAAGTGGAGGTTTCGGATGACGGTATTAGTCCCAACGTCACTTTGATCTCGAACGAGGAAAAGACACCAATTGCCGCCAACCCGTGGGACTTGGTTAGCAAAGCAACTCCACACATATTCTCCGTCAACGGCTACGATCCGGAGACCACCGAGCATGTCGATGATCCGGTTAGTTTGGACTGGCTCAGGGATGGCGCTGCTAACACATCCGACTCTTCTTTGTACGAGAACGATATTCTGCTCAATTCAACTAAGAAGGTGGTGCAGGTCATGATCCCATTTCTTGGCCACTATATCATCCGGGAAAAGGGTGGTGTAGAAGCCATGGGAACTAGGATATCTACCGTTAATAGGCTGGTAGTGAACAGGTGGATTTGCTTGTCAATGGCGGTTCTGTTCGCTATTATTGCTGCCGCCGTCCTTTCCACCATTCTGTGCTACGGCCGTTTTAGAAATACGTCGACTTGGCGGCGGGATCCAGCAACCATTTTCGGAAGCATGCTCTTTTTCCGTGAACATGCGGTACTTCTCGATCAAGTTACACTCCTCGCTTCCGAGAAAACTTCCGTGGACTGGAGCCAATGCAAGTACTCACCTCTGACTGTGAGACGTTCATTTCAAGCTCTATCTGGAGCAGTCATCATTGGTGTCGTTGCTGGTCTAGCCGTAACCCAGAGTATTTCGGCTTCGTTTGACGGGCTAGCTAGCGTAGACAAGGAAGGCTACACGCACCTCTTGTGGACGTCGGTTCCAGCCTTGACAATGCTCGGTATATCTCTATATATGAGCTCCTGCAATACGGCATACCGATCATTATACACCTTTTGGAATTTATCCACCAGGACGTGCAGTAGTAAAGAGATAGACTCTTCACTTCTGGATATGGTTGGTATTCGAGCGCTATATCGATCCATCCGCCTGAAGTGTTATACCGTCACCATGTCACAGCTTGTCGCACTGGCCTGCGGACTCTTAACCACATTCACATCCGTTCTGTTTGACGGGAAACACACACCCCCTCACCAAGAACCTGTTCTTTTCCAACAGGAAACTTGGTTTGGCTCTCGACCAGTTGAGATCCCGTCCGTAAATGCCACCACACGACAGTCATTGAGCAGTCTTCTCATGCGTCAAAGGGAAACCAGCCTCAACTATCCCCTGAATACCTACTACGATCTACTTTTCCCCGCCCTGGGAAGAATGCAAGACATGGAATTGTCCCGCACGTTGTCGGTAAATATCACGACGCTAGCCGCGCAGCTTCATTCCACATGTAGGAAGCTTTTGGGGAACGACTACAGAGTGGTGTCTGAGGCTCGGGAAAAGTTTATTGTCTCTCGACCATACACCTGCTCGAACGGCACTGAAGTCCAAACAAGAGACGTTATCCTTACCCCCAAAGACACGAAACCCGAAGGTAAAATGTATATCGGAACTTTTTTGACAGCAGATGTGACTTTTCCATGTCACCTTGGTCGTAAATCCAGCGAGTTCGACTTTGTAACCAAGAGACACGAAACCTACCTCTGGGGAGCATACTCCGATGGAACCCATGTTTCTGATTCTATATCTATATACTCTTGTACTTATGAGTGGACGGAGGTGACAACGAAGGTGCAACTTGTTCCCATTAACGGGGTCCTTACCATAGACCCGGAAAATCCTCCACAGCCTGATAAGGCCACAAGAAAGCCATGGAGCTATCCCTTCGAGATAACGAGTTCGCTCGTTTTTCCAGATATAGTTTTACATGAGAAATGGGTTTCTCTCAGGAACGAGTACGGAGTTTTGATGCAACCGTATGGAAAGTTTACCTATGAAGACCTTGGAAACCCATCGAAAGAGGGGGAAATACTAAACGGACTGCGCGGAAACGTGGCCTTTATTAGCGCACAGCTGGCGAATATCGAGAATCGATTAGATATCAACGTCAGTTCAAAGACTGGCCCTCCCCCGATCGAGGGCCTCCCGGCGGTGGAAGCAACTATTTTCGGTGAGGGAGACTATCGTCTTATACAGGACGCGACGGCCACCTACGTTCTTATTGGCATCCTAAGCTCAGTCGTACTGTTTAACCTGTGGGGTCTGCTTTCCGCTGCCCTTCGATGGTGGGGTTTTTTAAAGGGGCGGGCGCTATCCATGGACGTGAAGGGCCTCGCTCCAGATGGCTTCAACAGTTTCGCCGCTCTGGCCAGCTTGCTGCGAGACTCAAACGCGTTGTCACACCTGCCGGAGGGCACCGAGCTACTTTCGACAGACGAGCTGCATGGAATGTTTCCCCACCTTGGTTTTCACCTGGGCTGGTTCCAAGATGAGACAGATGAAAGCAAGCACTTTACAATTGGTGTGTTGGAGGATGAAGATTTCAAATTTCTGGCCCGAAAGAAATAGATCTAGGAGCTCTGGGCGATCAAAAGTTGTGTTAGGGTAGTGGGCTCTCGGTGGCTGTATGGGAAAATGTTCAATCTAGTTTGACTCGATAAACAAGACATGATAATCGTTCCATGAGGGATGAGATATGCTTGCCGCAACATGGAGTGGCAGTTGACTGAATAGTGGCCATCTTGCCATTTTGAAGAGTCCTCCAGCAATCGGAGGCGTTCCGCAACATACCATACCGTCGAAATGTTCTCTATATCAATATACTGTCACATCTGACTTCAGACGAAGCGGGCCAATTGCCGACAACTCATCTTCGCTTCGTCTTGGCGGCAGTCATCACAACGCCTTATCTCCATGGTGTGTAAATCCGAACAATGCAACCGGCTGACACGGGTTCCGCGGTGCCCACGCCGGACTGAGGGACCAATACTACATTTCCAGGATATTTCCAGGCCATATAATGTGGCCTGCCTTCTTGAGAGTTCAATGCAGACTGTGAAACATACCATAGAGAAAACTCAAAGCTTTTACAACGTCATGATGGAAACCCCGAGAGATGCACCCGGCTGACAGTGTCATCGAGCGAGATCCACGCCGAGATGAAGCGCAATGCAGCCCCGCCCCTATACGTCGAGTTGTCAACTGCCTTTTTCAGACCTTGTTATGAGCGATCAAAAAAGAAGTGAAGGACCGGAAATGGTCATTGCAAACTATAAAACACGCTGGGTTCTTGGCCATAACCAGATGGATAGAACGCTCTACACACCCAAGCAACCTCCATCATGAAGGCGAACTCGATCGCTCAACTCGCCCTCGCCGTCCTTGCCTCCCCCGGCGAGGCTGCCGCTGCACCATGTCAACAAAGCGTAACCTCTCCCTCATCCCTTAGACCTCAGATCCCGCAAAACTGACACCTCCACGCCTATCCCAGTGCGCCGAGCTCTCCTCGACCTTCGGCACTGCGCTTTTCTACCCGCGAAACGACACCACGCAGTTCTGGGACCAGAAGCAGCAACTCGCCGGCCAAATCTGCCGCGTAGAGCCCTCCGCCCCGGAAGACGTAGCCAAGGCGCTCGCCATCGTGATCACGAACGCGTGCCCCTTTGCCATCAAGGGCGGCGGCCACTCGCGCGAGGTCAACGACTCCAACGCCCCCGGCGGCGTGACCATCGACACCGCGCGCATGCGCAAGGTCGTGCCGGACGAGGATGACAAGATGGTCGTGACGCTCGGCGCGGGGCATAACCTCGGGAGCACCCTGACCGCACTCTCTAGCCTGAACTTATCTTTTCCTGTCGGGAGAGTCAGCTCCATCGGGCTCGGCGGCTTTCTCCTGGGCGGCGGACAGGGCGATCTCGGCGGCAAGCTCGGCTTTGCAATGGACAATGTGCTCGAGTACGAGGTGCGACAGACTCTGACATACCCGACATGTTCCCACAACGATTCTTGATCATTAACAAAAACCAGATCGTCCTCGCCAACGGCACCATCACCACCGCCTGTCCCACCACCAACCCCGACCTCTACTGGGCCCTCCGCGGCGGCGGCGGCAACAACTTCGGCATCGTCACCGCCTTCAAGCTCCGCGCGGTCCCGGAGACGCCCATCTGGGCCGCCACGACGCGGTTCGCCGACAACCAGACGGCCGCGGTGACCGAGGAGCTCGACAAGCTAGTCACTGCGTCCAGCGCCGACCCGAACGTGAATTTCTACACCGACTACCGCATCGCGCCCGCGACGGGCGAGTTCGTGTACACGGTGCAGCAGCGGTACCTCAACGCGACGGCGTCCCCGGCGGCGTATAATGGGCTGAACGCGGTACCGTATTTGTCGAGGACGGGGAATTTGACGTCGCCTAATTTTGCGAGTGATGTTGCTTATGGCGTTCGGTATGTTTCTCCCTGGCTGATGCATCTCACCATGACGAGCTCGAGACTGATTTAGCTGCCTCGCCTCGCCGTAGACACATCTTCGTCTCTCTAAGCTGGCACTCCTCCCCAGCAATGCTCCAACGCGCCGCCTCAATCTTCAAAACCGAGGTCCTCAAAGTACAGAACGTAAGCGGCCTCACCGCCGGCATGGACTCGCAACCCATCACGTTCTCCGCGCTGCGCATCGCCAAAGAGCGCGGTGGCAATGCCCTCGGTCTATCCGGCGACAAGGCCATCCTCGGTACGCGGCCTTCCTCCCTCACTGTGCCCATGTCTAACATTGCCATGCAGAGAACCTCATCACCATCGCCTGGGCCAACGCCACCGACGACGCGGCAATGTACGCCTTCGCGGACGCCTGGCTCGCGAAGACAGAGGCCGCGTCCCGCGAGCTGGGCGTCTTCGTGCCGTACCGCTACATGAATCACGCGTTCCGCAGCAGGCAGGACGTGCTGGGCTCGTATGGCGAGGAGAACCTGGCCCGGCTGAGGACAGTGCAGCGCGCGGTTGATCCGGCGGGTATGTTTACGAGCAAGGGGCTGTGTACGGGGTATTGGAAGCTTTTGTAGATGGAACTCGGGACGAGTCAGCATATCTTGGTCTTGAGCTGTGAGAAGAAGTTGTATGTCGTGGAACGGAGAAAAGCGGGCTCCGCAGGAAATCACCGGCTCGCATTGGCTACTTTCTCAAATCCGGAATTGTGTGATTCATCGCTCTACCTTAACACCAAAAGCTTCACATCACAACCCATCCCGCCCACCAACAGACTCCCCAAGATGACCCCCCTCAACCCCGCGCGCCTACCCTTAAAATCCCAACTAGTCCACCTCCGCGCAATCCTCTCCACAAACACAACCCTCACCACCGTCCTCGCCCGCGCCGCAGCCCTCAACCTGCCGAACTGGTACCTCGCCGCCGGCGCCGTCTCCCAAACAATCTGGAACCACATGAGCGGCCTCCCGCCCGCCACCGGCATCCACGACTACGACCTCGTCTACTTCGACGACACAGACCTCTCCTGGGAAGCCGAGGACGCGGCCATCCAGCGCGGACGGGCGCTCTTCGCCGACATCCCCGCTGAAGTCGAGATCCGGAACCAGGCGCGGGTGCATCTGTGGTACGAGGCCAAGTTCGGCGCGCCGTGTCCGCGGCACGAGAGCGTGGAGGCGGGGATCGATAGCTGGATTGCGACGAGCGCGATGATTGGCGTGCGGGTGGAGGCGGATGGGGAGTGGATGGTGTATGCGCCGCGGGGGCTGTCTGATTTCTTTAACATGGTCGTGAGGCCGAATCCGCAGATTGGGGTGCGGGAGAAGTATGAGGAGAAGGCGAGGCGGTGGTTGGGTATTTGGAAAGAGTTGACGGTTATGCCTTGGGTTGAGAAGGAAGAGCCCCTGAAGCTGGTCTCATGAAAATAATGTACATCGTCTTAATCAAGTCTACAAACCACACTCAGTCCCTCTTATCAAGCTTCATCTCCCCAAGCATCCTTTCCACCGCCTCCCGCCCCTTAACCGCATACCCCTCCAAATCATCCCCATACTTCTCCCCAAACTTCCCATCAAACACCTCCACCGACAACCACCCCGTGAAACCCGTCCTCATCACCGCCTCCAGGAACGGCACAATCGGCAGATAGCCCCCGTCATACGGCAACGGTCTATAATCATGGCTCCACCGTCCCCTAGGCCTCAGCCCCTCCTCGCCCACCACCCGCGCCTCCAGCGGCGGGCTGACCTTATACGCATCACTAATCTGCAAAAAGAAGATCTTCTCCTTCGGCACAGTCTCCGTCAACTCCCGCAGGCTCCTCTCCCAGCCCTCCTCCGCGCCGGCAGCCTCAACGCGCCCCGACGCCGTCGTCGGATCCCCCCACTCCCCGCCCGCAGACTGGAACGTGTCCAGACATAGCCCGACGTTCGCCCTCTCCACGCGACTCACGACCTCCCACACGTCGCGCCACCCCGGGGAGCGGGTCGCCCAGCACCAGTTCTCGTACGCGACCTTGAACCCCCTGCTCCCTAGCAAGTCCGCCAACTCGCGCAAATCAGCGATCACATCTTCCTCCTGCGCGTCCTTGATGGCGGGCGAATCCGACGATCCAACCTGCAACATATCCGTCCCCACGGCGCTCATGATCTCCGTCCAGCCCCTGGCGCGTTTGAACGCCTCCTCACGTTCTTTGCTCCCGCGCGGCCAGCCTTCGAAGTTGGCAAAAGGCTGGAGAACCATGATTTGCAGGTTGAGCTGCGCGCAGAGCGTGCGGACGGCGGTGCCGGCTTCGCAGAGGGCGGGGTAGTCGTCGTCGGCGATTTGTTTGTGCAGGTGCGTTTGAGCGAAGGATTGGAGGTCCGGGAAGGAGAGCTCGATGCCAGAAAAGCCGCCGCCGGCGATGGCGTGGAGCTTTTGGGGGAGGGTGTGGTTGGAAGTGCCGATGGAGCAGGAGGCGAAGGAGAGGGGGTTGGGATATGCGGACGACGTGTTTGCCATTTTGTCGGATTTGATTTCAAGCTTGTGTTCTTTCTGTGAAATGTTTGCGAACAGTGACAATGGTTGATGAACGATGGTTGAAGTCGTGGGTGAAGTAAACTGAGATATGCGCCTCATCTGTTCGATGATGTCAGCGCTGTGATGTCAAAGACATGTCACCCTGCACCGCCAAAATGCAAAACACCCCACACTGGATGGCCAAGATGTTTTGTGTGATCGATGTGAAATGTACAGTCTATTGATGCCCCGAATTTTAATCTAAACCGTTTTAATCCCAAAAAGAAGAAACTCGCCTGCTATTAATACAATCTTACCGCTTCGCCCAATGCAACAAGTTTAATCCACCTTGGGCTGCTTGTTGTTGACTTCCGCCCGCTTCACCGCCTGGATGAGCCCGATGCCAGCAACCGCGCTCGCGCCGTCGTCAGCCTGGGTGCTCCAGAAGGACTCGTGGCCCATGACGCGAATCGACTTGCGGCGCTCACGCTCGGCGACGGAGAGCATCAGCCCGGACTGCCGGTTGGCCTCGAGCTCCTCGAGGTGCTTGACGCGCGTGGCGTAGCGCTGCTGGCGCTGTTTGCGGATCTGCTCGGAGCCGATGCGCTGCAGCACGAACTTGACGACGGCGCGCAGGCCCAGGAAGATGTGCTCGCTGATGAAGATGGTGATGGGCAGCGCCCACCACGCGCCGCGGCCAATGGTGTTGGCGCCGAAGAGGTGCACGATGGCGCCGGTGGAGATGGAGCCTGCCCAGGTGAGGACGTCGAGGGAGTTGATCCATGGGCCGATGCCGTCGGTGCGGACGGGCGCGGGGCGCTGGAACTCGTTGCAGATCTTGAGGAAGTCGGTGCGCAGCTCGATGACGTTGTTGACGAGGAAGCCGATGGGGATGAGGGGCCAGACGGGGGAGAAAAGGGAGAGGTAGCCGAACTGGAGGACGATCTCGGCGATGTCGTCCTGGACGTTGTACTTGTCGAGGGTGGCCTGGTTGCGGGCGGTGCGGAGGAAGCGGGCCTCGTCCGGGTCGTCCTTGACAATGGACAGGAGCATGGCGTCCTTGGAGTGGGCGCGCTTGTAGTCGCGGTAGAGGCCCTGGGCCTTGTGCTTGAGGACGGGCATGACGTTCTCGTCGAAGAAGCCCGAGATCTGGCCGGTGACGACGAGGGCGATGACCTCGTCGCGGAGGCGGTCCGAGTCGACGTGGAAGGTGAGGTCGTCGTCCATGTACTTTTGACCGATGGCGCCGAGGAAGGACTTGGTCATGCCCTCGAGCCACGGGACGACGTCGTCGCCAAAGGGGACGTAGATGAAGGCGGTGATGAGAATGGGGAGGTAGTTTGTGATGATGTTAAGGACGAAGATCTTTTGCGTCAAGGACATCTCGTGGTAGTCGGCGGTGCGGTGGTTCTCGTACTTTGTGAGAATGGTGGCGACCTCCTCGAGACCGCTGCTGATGTACGGCAACGCGATGGCGAGCAAGCAAGTGGGGACGTATTCCTAGTGATGTGTGAGCCCATGGCTGAGATTACTTGACGATAGCAGCTTACCATCAGGTTCTTGTACGGCCCATCATATCCTTCTGAAATGAGGACCTCGATGGCGAAGACGAGAATGATGATGGTGCCAAGGGCGACGGCAGAGAATAGGATGAAGGGAATCTGGAGGAGTTGGCGAGTCACCTGCTTCCACTTGGGGAAGTAGTGCTTCTGTTGGCCGGTCTCGTCGATGATGATCTTCTCATACTTGAACTGTGGACGATTGACCTTGACCTTGCCGATGCCTTGGACGTTCCAGCGGATGCCGAGGTCGACCTCCTGGATCTTCCAGTACTCGAGGAAGACTGTGCACCAGACACACGTCGCGATGGCGTAGGTCAGGGAGTACTTGTCGAGGTACATCCACGCAATAACACCGGTGATGGCGGGGAATGAAAGGAAAACGAGGTAGGTCTGAATGAACGCAAAATAAAAGGCGACCTGGAGAGGGTTAGCTGATGACCAAGACGGCAGCGAATGGAGCTTACCTTGGATCCCCAGAGGTCGCGAATGGAGTCAAGGTCGTCCATGGTCAGGAACAGACGCTTGCTGAGATGCTTCAGCAATGACTCGTTCGTCTCCTCATTGTGAAGAGGAAAGATGGACTTGACATTCTTCCACTGTCCCGTCTCAGGGGTGACGCCAGCACCGCCAAGAGACTTGGGCCAGTTGACGAGATGGTAGACCGAGAGGATGTCCTCGGCCTCATACGCGCCGTCGACAACAGTGGTGTTGTTGCCGCCGGGGTGGTCGGGCACGATACCGTAGAGCCAGTCCTTCACTCTGCAAACAAGCGTCAGCTGGCCGGGCGGGGTCCTCTGGCAGAATGTGGAAGGCGGTCTGACCTCGACTTGTAGACCGTGTTCCCAAGAAGCTCACGGGGAGCCTTAACGAAAATGAGGAGCGTCTGCTCATAGCCGGCTCTCACCTCGGTCTGCAGACCGGCGTGCTCTAGGTCGTTGAGGAGAGTGGTGAGCTCCTTGACAGCCGTCTCGGAGTCTGCAGTTCGGTCAGTCGAGGGGCCCGTTTCGTTTCACCACAGATATCTGGGACAAAGAGACTCACCGATCTCGCTGAAGTCGTAGGCTACAACGTACTTGTCGTTGTAGCTCTGCGGCTTGCGGGGCATGCGGTGAATGGGGTCCGTCATCACCCTGGCTAGCTTATCCATGATGCCCATCTTCCCTCCACGTGAACCGCGACAGCGGCGCGGGAGAAGGCGTGATTATGTAGTGCGCGGGGCAGGCGGCAATGGGAAGAGTCGGCACGGCCGATGTGATGTGCGTGTGGTGACCAGACCCACGGATTGGGGCCGCCCTGAAAATGGCAATTAAAACAGGTCGACGTCGACGTCGGAAGAATGAACCGGAGGGGGAAAGGAAGAATGGAGCTCTGCGGCGGCGGCGGCGGGACCCCAGTTGAGGTGTGACCCAGCACGATGGCACCGTCCGAAGATCTGGAAGGGTGGTATGGTGTCACTGTCACAGTCCTGCGTGTGTGCGTGTGTGGTGGTGGTGGAAGAGTGTGTTTGGTTACAAAGGCCGAGGCTCTGACTCCTGGGTGACGGTCAGCCAGAACAGACACCAGCAGCAGCAACAAGGCAGAAAGAACAGATTGTTGGCGAGATTGAAACCTCAGCCGCCTGAGGGAAACAGTGCGGAAGCAGGCTGGAAAGGGAGAAGGCGGAAAAAATTACAGAATTGTGGCCCTGGCTCTCCCCTGAACTGGAACATCGGCAGCCAATGCGCGCCGCCGCGATGGTCTTTTGGCCGGGGTCAGGTCGCTTGTGTGTCGCTCATCAAGAGCTGAACGCGTCAGCGGACTCCACACGCCCAGAGTTTCCGCTGCCGCAGAGCCGCGCACAAGGCTTAGCTCGCCAGAAGAAGCGTAGCCTTTCTTGGGGTCGAAATTTGGAGCTGTGGCTATCCCGACGAGGCTTGTCTGCTGACCCTTCTGTTGAATTGCATTGATTGAGGTCAGTCGAAGGAAACCTGGGGTAAGGCGACGAGACGCGAACAAGACGCGCTGAGCCGAGACATTGTCCAGCCGGGAACGCGGCAAGCGAAAGTGTTATCGACTCGACAAGTACCCCAACTCTGGCATCGTCACGACAAACAGCGTTAGGGCTGAGTGATCGCAATCAAGGATAGGCCGCGAGATCGGGGCTGGTGCCGTGTTAGCCATGATGGGACGATTGTGATGGGACGGCCGGCACCCGAAGAGCGGTCGCGCCTATTTTTAGCGTGCGAATGCTGACTCAGCTGGCAGATGCGGGGCAGCGGGTGTGACATCACCCTGGCCTCAGCTCGCAGACACCGACACCTACACCGGAGGTGGGGATCTTCACCGAGCCTGTTCCCTGGCAGTGATGGGTATCAGTCCGTTCGGCTCCGGCTCAGAGACGATTCCGTCTACTTCACTTCGGATCCCACTTCTGTGTATGAAGAAAGTAACACCGCATTCAATCTGAAATCGCATTACTGTCCGAGGCTTGACGTTTACTGACGTTTACCTCTGCTAACTTCAATAGAGGTAGGTCCCTTGCTCGACGTCCCGTGCTCAAAATCCATACCCACCAACAACCAACACAACCCCCACGGATCTCAGATGTTGCAGTCCTCAGTCTCTCTCCGAGCTTCCTTGCAGAAAGCCTTCTCGACCTCGATTCCAGGCACTCCGCGAAGCGAATCCATATCCAACCCTTCCCTCGCCAACCATCGCCCATGGACTTTGAGAGCTTGTCTCCAATCGCGATAGACCCAGTCAAGCTCATTGCCATCTTCCGGTTCCAGGACACTTCGAATTTCGCAGATAGCTTCTCCTAGAGTCGATGGCTTCTCGAGACAGTCGCAAGCCGGGAGCTTCACGACATCGTAGTTCTCCAAAATATGCTCCAGACGCGGTCTCAATGACTTGCACTTGGCAGGCTCTTGTGAGTGACGATCCGAGGAGGAGTCGTATGATGGCAGCTGCCTCACGGCTGGGATGAACAGATAGATGTCTGTGAGATTCGGGAATAGGCCACGCAGATTTCCGAGAAGCAGGCGCCAACGGGCGTCACGTTCAATCTGGGTGAGGAAACGTTGCTGGCCTGCGTGGAAAGCTGACCACGGAACTGCAATTCTTCGAATTTTGTGAAGGGTTTCTTTGTTCTTAACCTTCAACCACTCGATATTTAGGCCGTAGGAATTTGCTTTGAGGCGAGACAACATGACAATGTCGTGGTGAAAGTCAAACCATACTGGACCAGAAGTCAAGTTGTGGGGATTGAGTATAAGGTTTGTGAATTTCGGACGTCGCAGAGCTACCTGTCGAGAGGTGTGGCACACAGAAAGTATGGCTGGGGGAATAGCCTCTTTTTGCGCTCCTGGAAAGACGAGAAGGTGATTGTAGTGTGTCCTCATATACCATAAGTGCTGATTAGACGGAGGCCTCGTTTTATCGTGATTTACAGGCTGTCCATTAATGACCTGCTGCTTCTGCTTTTTTAGCTGATCGAAGACCGCCTCCCAAATGAGCAACTGCAGCTCGTACGGGAGCTTGGAAAATTGGGGGAAGGAAGCCTCCATTGTGTAGATGACGATGAGGTGACGACGAACGTTGCGACGCGTCTGTTCTAGGTCAGTGAATGTGAGGAAAAGAGGCGAAAGGGATTTCTCACCCGATAGGCTGTTATGCAGGCGGCCGAATCTGCCCAAGTTGCCCGCGTTCGCAAATGCAGAAATGAGCCTATGAGGTGGCGAGAATGTGAGACACTGCCGACAAGGGAAAAGCGAATGGTTCCTGCGATACTGAGGATTCAACGCTCACAAATTTGTGAAAGGTTGAAGGGAAGACTGAGGTTTTCTCACGAAAGAAAAGTCAGAAGTGGAAAGGAAGACTGGGTTTTGCTGAGGTGCGGCTCAAAGAAATGGGCAACAGCAGACTTTTCCAGTCGGGTGAAGTCAGGTAAGGTAGGTAAGTACTGTAATCCTGCCCTCTGAGGAAGTCGCGCCTGCCTCTACTTCCTGCCTCACCAGAACAACCTTAATTTTGCCGCTGATTGAGGTGTTCTAGCTGAGAGAACTCTGAAGTGCTTTATTCCGAGGCTTCCGCCAGTCCAGGAAGCTTTCTCTTATCAAAATCATTCTTCGAACGTCTGGTAATACCTATCCTCTTCACAAAGGTTTACCTCTACCGATCTAGATGCACCGTCTTCCTAAGACCTACAGTCTAAATGGATAGACTGCACCACCCATGACAATCTAGCTGGTCTTAAGACACTCCAGCTACTTGCAGGCCTCTGTGGAGTTGAGTCAAACGTCAGTCTTGAACGAATAGTTGAGTCGGCTTCAGGACTCACTAACCACATTTGGGGATGAATATTTGGTCATGAAGCCAGAATTACACAGATACCACACCCACACAAGGATTCTTTCTAAACCGCTGAAGTTGATAAGCTATGGGTCTACGAAAATAAATTCTTTGACGCCGACAATGCTCAGTCGTCGCTTTTTCATACCAGATCGCAGTTGTTCAGCCCTGCATCCAAAGCCAGTGACTTATGGTCGAAGACCCATGAATTTCTTGTATTCTCCATTTGTAGCTGGACTCTGTCTGGATGTTGAGAGATGTTTTCGGAAATGATACATGCTGTGCTGTGCGGGGGAAACTTATACCCGAACGATACGAACGGTTCGCATATTGTAAGTGCATTACTTACCAATCAACCAGATTATCATTCTCACTGCAAGTATCGACTCCAAACGGCAAACTTCAACGGCAGTTGTCGGCGCCGCAAATGGACCCGAGCAAGTGAGCGGCCGGTGGCTCCCGCCCACTCGGCGCCAATCGAACCCCGCGAAAATAATACCCTTAGACCTCGCCTACGAAGATTCTTTCATGCCCATCGTACTAGAAATGACTTCTAAGCGCGAAGAAGATCCATTGAATGCTTCGCCGCCGTTTAGATAAGCTTTCGGACATAACGTTCGTTGTGCTCCGCGTCGACTGTGCGGCGGCATGTGCCGATGTCCGTAGCTCTTACATGGCGGTGCCTAACTTACTCATCAAGCTAGCGATGCAGATCCAAACGTGAAGGCCAATCTTGTATCGCTTGGTGAGTCGACGGCTTTCGTCGGCGCCGAGAGGGCCGAGCGGTTGTGATATCGTCATGTTTCCTGCCGCCGCATCTCGCGCGCTCGGCACCATGGACCCCCGTAATGTGTTTTCAATCAAGAATATTCTTAAACATCTGAAAAAACGCCCTTTCTCTTAAGACTAGCCATTGGCATCGCATCCAAGTATTGTTTCACCTCATGTCGTCAACCACGTCCATCAACCTACCTACCTTACGCATAACATCCCAATCTCCACAGCTATCACCAGCCGGAAACGACATCAGCATCTCAACACATCGTGGTGCAAACTGCAACATCTACCAAAATGCCAAAAAGCACCAGGAACATCTCCAAAGAGACCATCACCACCCTCTCCGGCGCGCCAACACCACCCCCAGGCAAGATCCTCCAAATCCGCTCCGGCAAAGTCAAAACCCTCGTCGCCGAACCGTCCGGCATCTTCAAACAAGTCCAACCCGGCCGCGTCTTCGTTAACGAGCACGGCATAGGCAATGACGAGCACGTCTACCCCATCCACTGGAGCCCCGACCGCGCCCTGCACCAGTACGCCTCGGAGCACTACGCCTCGTGGCGGTGCGAGGACGCCTGTCCCAAGCCGGAGCTCTTCGACTACGGCGCGTTCGGGGAAAACATCGTCGGCACCAATATGAACGAAGAGAACGTCTGCGTCGGCGACGTCTACCGGATTGGCAAGGACGTCGTGGTCGAGGTGAGCGAGCCGCGCAGCCCTTGTTATAAACTGAACCTGCGCTTCGAATGGGGCAGGGCGCTGAAACGCGTGAGTCGCACGGCGCGGACGGGGTGGAATATGAGAGTCAAAACGGCGGGTTACATCTGCGCGGGCGATGTGATACAGCTTGTGGAGCGGCCTCATCCGCGGTGGTCGATTCTCAATATCAAGCGCGTGATCCAGGGGAAAAATGTCGCGCTGCATTTGGTGGCGGAGCTGTGCAACCTGGAGGTGGTGACAAGTATGGTCCGCGACTTTGCGCAGAACCGTCTGCAGTCGACGCCGAAGAGGTACGAAGTCGTCGACATCAGACCCGTCACGTCGCGGATCAAGCAGTTCACCTTTCAGCTCCAGGAAACTTTCACAATCAATGAGCCCGCGTTTAGAGAGTTTACGTTTGCACAGATTGAGTTTGGAACGGGCGATGAGAAGTATTCGCGTTCATACTCAATTGTGTCTGGAGATTTGAACCGGTTTTCGCTTGGTGTGGCCCATGACGATCATTCCAGGGGTGGATCGAGATATCTTCATACGAAGCTCAAGGTTGGGGATATGATTACCATGGCCCCTGGCGGGGTTCCGAAAGCCGTTGAGGACGAGCAGAAATGCATCAAGGATGGGCTGGTTGAAAGACGACTCGTTATTATCGGAGGCATTGGCGTCACGGCCTTTCTCCCCAAGATTTCCGAGTGGGAGAAGAAGGACATTGACTACGAGGTACATTACGCAACACGAAGCCGCGACGAGGCTGCTTTTCTGGACCGCTTTCCCGACGAAAAGATCACACTCTATGCCAAAACCGAAGGCAAGCGCCTGGACTTGAACACCCTGATCCCGGGTCCTGACAAAGATGGAAAGCACACCACGAGAATCTACTGCTGCGGTCCAGAAGGACTAATGAACGCCGCTCAGAGACGAGCCGAAGACCTGGGATACCCAGACCATATGCTGCACTTCGAGAGCTTCGGAGCGGACTCCGCTGGGACGAAAGGTGAGCCTTTCACCGTCGAAGTGAATGAGCTCGAGTCACGACGGAGGGAGAAGTTGGATGTGCCCTCGGACAAGACGCTATTAACGGTGTTGCGGGAAGCTGGCTTCGACATGACGTTTTTCTGCGAAATGGGCGGCTGCGGTGCTTGCAAGGTGACTGTCTGCGATGGCAAGGTTGACCACAGGGGCACGGCGCTCTATCCGAAGGAGAAAAAAACCAATATGCTCAGCTGTGTGAGTCGCGGGAGTGGGCACATCAAGATAGAGCTAGATTGAGCTTAAATAGACGCTTTTCTGGATTCATGTCGTCTCCGTCGTGGTCTGGGTCAATTGAAATGATGCTTAGGTCAGAAGCGGCTTAGTTTGTGAAGAGTCACGTATTGGGTGGGACAAATCCCAGCTCTCATTCTTGGTGCTATCGCGATGAGTCAATCCTCATGCATTGAGCCGCTGCAAGGCGAGCTAGGGAGATCAGCGGCCCGTCTCACCAGCATGATCTCCCAGATCATTATAAAAGCCAATGAGAACGCCTGGCATCTGAACATCAATTAACCCCAATTCAACCCCAATTCATTTCCTCCTTCTGCTTGCTTGAAGTCAATCATCCCACTCATTACCATGAGGACCGTCGAAGAGTTCAAGATCGATCAATGGAGTACGTCAATGCCACATAATTCCATTATCTTTGAACATCTGACAGCCCGCTGACCGAACACAGATCGTAAACATGCAGTATGTGCAATTGCTCTATTTCATCTCCTGCAGGCACAGCTTCTGACTCTTGTTAGTCCGGCAGCTTGTACGGGTTACATGGTAAGAAGCGTTCTCCTTCAATTGTACTCCGACCCATACTCACCACTAAGGCTCGTTTACTGCCGCCCCTTCCATCAACGAGCTGAAGAAGCTTTCCACCAACCCCGAACTCGAGATCCTGAACCCCGACCTCAAGCTTAGCTATGGAAACCACGACGGCAAAGACAAGCTGCGCGACAGCATCGCCGCTCTACACTCCTCGGGAGACAAGAAGCTGACCCGCGACAATGTCGTCATCACGCCCGGCTCCATCATGGCCAACTACATGCTTCTGGAAACCATCTGCGGCCCAGGCGATCACGTCGTCTGCCAGTACCCAACTTACGGACAACTCTACCTGATCCCCAAATTGAACGGCGTCGACGTCAGTCTCTGGAAGATGAACGACGGTAACGCGTGGCTTCCGCGGATCGAGGAACTGGAGCAGATGATTAAGCCCAACACCAAGGCCATCATCTTGAAGTACGGCCCCCTAACTCTGGGGCAATCCTCACCTTCGTGTGCACCGCGATCTAACCTGACTTTTAGTAATCCAAATAACCCGACCGGCGCCGTCCTCAAAAAAGAAACCCTCCTCCGCGTCATCGAAATCGCAAAGAAGACCAACATCACCGTCTTCAGCGACGAAGTCTTCTCCCCGTTATTCTTCACCGACGCGAAGCCCCCGTCGATCGTGTCCCTTGGCTACGCCAACACCGTCGCCACCGGCTCTCTCTCCAAGGCCTTTGCCCTCCCCGGCATCCGTCTCGGCTGGATCATCACGGAGAACGCCGAGCTCGTCAAGGCCATCAACATGAAGCGCGCCTACACGACCATCGCCGTATCGCAGATCGACGGCGGCATTGCGTCGTTTGCACTCGACCCAGCCGTCACGCCAGCCCTCATGGAGCGGAATATCCAGCTGTGTCGCGAGGGGCTGGACCTGATTGAAGGGTTGGTGAAGCGGAACCCGGACCGCGTGAAGTGGGTTAAGCCTGAGGGCGCGGGCACGGCGTTCATTCAGGTCCTTGATGGGAAGGGCGCGCCGGTTGACGATGTCGACTTTTGCACGAAGCTGGCGGAGACCGAGAGTGTCTGTCTCATTCCCGGAGGATTCTGTTTTGGCGAAGGCGGGGAGGGTGACTTCAAGGGATACATGAGGATCATACTTGGAGACCCCGAGCTGCTGCGACAGGGACTCCCAGCCATGGAGCGCTTCATCCGTAGCTACCCGTAGACTGGGCCTTAATGTTGATCCAAAGACCCATTATTAGATGTCATGGAATGACATATGAGTCACAATAGAATCCCCCGTAAAATGATCGAAAACACCGACCATGTAAGCGACGCCCTTCGCGATGTCAATGACAGATTCTGCCGCAGGTGACCGCCCCGACGCGGTCTCACGCCACGCCGCCCTCGTCGATGCGGGGATGACTTGGCGATCAGAGTCTCATCTTACACTCACCTCGTCAAACCACTTCAATCAACTGACTCAGCATTCATGTCGGAATGGGTGCCAAAACGCATGAAGACCAGACGCCTGGGGGAAATGGTACGCCAATCCGTCTAAACCTCACCAACATGACTGTTAACAGAAAGCAGACGGCCCGATCTCGTCCAGCCCCTCTTCAACCGGCGGCGAGCCCCGCGGCGCGCACCTCTCGCGCGACGGCGACGGCAGCCTCGGGGACGGCGGCGATGATGACGACGACGACGATGAGGCGGCCGCCGTAATCGGCTCCACCGACAACGGCAAGAAGAAGCGAAAGCGAAAGCCCAAAAAGAAGAACAAGAAGAAGGCCGCTGCGGCCGTCCAGTCGTCGCCGCCTCGCGTCCCACTGAGCGAGTTGTTCACCGCGGGGGATTATCCCGCTGGCGAGTTCCTCGACTACGAGCATAACTTCACCACGTCTCGCACGACGGCTGAGGAGCTGCGGTATCTTGACCGGTACCACCTCGACGATCCTGCGCTGCTGAACGACTATCGCAAAGCCGCTGAAGTTCACCGGCAGGTGCGGTACTGGGTCCAGGACACCGTGAAGCCCGGACAAACGCTCACTGAGATCGCAACCGGGATTGAGGATGGCGTGAGGGCTCTTCTTGGAAACCAGGCTATCGAACCGGGAGATGGGTTGAAGGCTGGAATGGGATTCCCGACCGGCCTGTCGGTCAACTCATGCGTGGCGCATTACACGCCTAATCCGGGCCAGCAGGACATCGTCCTCAAGCATGAGGACGTCATGAAAGTCGACTACGGCGTACACGTCAATGGGTGGATCGTCGACAGCGCCTTCACCCTGTCCTTCGACCCCGTGTATGACGATCTCCTAGCCGCGGTCAAAGACGCGACGAACAACGGTATCAAAGTAAGTCACACCCGCCCACCCATGCCTGTGCCGGATACCTCACTAACAGCAACAGACCGCCGGCGTCGACGTCCGCATCTGCGACGTCTCGGCCTCGATCCAAGAGACCATGGAATCCTACGAAGTCACCATCGCCGGCAAGACCTACCCCATCAAGCCCGTGCGCAACATCTGCGCCCACGACATCAAGCACTACCGCATCCACGGCTCCAAGCCGATCCCCTTCATCAAGAACGACGACGAGACCAAGATGGAGGAGGGCGAGATCTTCGCCATCGAGACCTTCGGCTCGACCGGCCGCGGCAAGACGTCCGACGACGTCGGCGTGTACGGGTACGGCCTGCGCGACGACGCGCCGAAGCACGTCAACCTGCCCTTTGCGAGCGCGAACAAGCTGTACAAGGTGATCCGCGAGCAGTTCGGCACGCTGGTGTTCTGTCGGCGGTACTTGAAGAGGCTTGGCGTGGAGCGGTACTTGGCTGGGCTGAACTGCCTTGTCAAGGAGGGGATTCTGGAGTCGTATCCGCCGTTGGTGGATATCAAGGGGTCGTACTCTGCTCAGTTTGAGCATACGATTCTGCTGAGGGAGGAGAGAAAGGAAGTTATCAGTCGTGGAACGGATTACTGATCGAGCGTTGTCGTGCGACGACCAGGGGATGAACGGAGATTACGCGACGTGGTTTCAGACACGAATTCAACACTACCCAGGCGGCTAGATTCAACATCATCGTGCTCCTTTTCCTTCTTTCTGTTTGGCGGTGCGACATTGCAACTTCAACATTCGCTACAGAGGTTCAACCCACCTGCTTTTACTCTCGTCCGCGACCCCTCAAGTCTAGATTTTCCACCGAAATACAGTCATTACCGAGTGTCCATCCATCTGAAGAGATAATATCATGCCTTCATCTTACACATTGCCTTCGAATGTTGAGAAAACATTCAGACGGGTTTGACTCCGACATACCGTTCATCGGAACTTGGCAAACCCGATCTACCCACTACTCTCCGTCGCCGACCCACGCAGAACCAACAGCCGAAAGCCCCAAAACAGGGCATCGTAACAATTACTAGCAATCTGTCATGCATGAGATTTTGCGCAGCCGTTTGTTCGACTAGCATTGGCTGGCACGGGCGCAAGAAATCGCGCTAAGTCGGTTGGGATTTACGTTCACTAATCACAAATCCCGCCGCCCTGGATCGATCGCAGGACACCAGCATCAAGCCAGCTTCTACAGAAGATCCATCTGAAATAAATGCTGATTGAGATAGCTCGGTATCAGAAGTTACCAGAACACAACGCCTTCGTTACAAACCTTTCCTTCCAGCGTTCAGCTGGAAGCAAAGCAGTTCGTCCCAACACCAGACCATCCTCCCAACGTCCGCACCACCCATGGATCACTATTCAGACCTCTCGCGCAGATCACTAATCACACCTTTCCAACACTGCACGCTCATAGGCCGAGGGTGGCTGTCTGGATCAGGCTCAGATGTGATTACCAACTGAATCCATCTCAAAGTCCAAGGGAGGACCATTCTCATTTTTAAGCTTCTCCGATGACAGGCAGCCTGGGATGTGCTCCATCGCGCAATCCGGCCAGACGTAACCTCATGCCATCTGAAGTCCGGGAACTCTAATCAATAATACGGATTTCGCCCAAGTCAACCGCCGATATCAACATACAGCGCTGAGTCTTTGCGTGGTTAAATCAACGTGTGTTCCCCGTCGGCTGGTGGCAGAGGAGCTGCAAGCGATGCCCTCGTATTCCCTCTACTGAATTTAATTCGTACCTAATCATTGTTATTCTTTCTTCGTCATGGCTCTTGCCAGTTATCCACCAGCACAACCCCCTCCAGGACTTGAACCTCCGTCCGAGGACATCGAGAAGCAATCCGGAAACGACACAACCTCCCTCGAAGATGGCACCCAAGCCCAGCAACCACTTGCCTGGGACGACCCCCGTGAGAAGCGAAACCCTCGGAACTGGAGCCACCTCGTCAAAGTCCTCCACACCATGATCCCATGCTTCCTAGCATTCGAGATGTACGTTGCCCTCCCTTCACCCCTCCTCACCAAACAACCCATCAACTAACACCACCGCAAACAGCACCTTCTCAACCTCGATCACAGTCCCCGCCACCGCCCAAATAATGACCGAATTCTCCGTCTCCCGCACCCGCTCCCTCCTCCCCCTGACCCTCTACACCCTCGGCATCGCCGTCGGCCCCGTCTTCATCGCCCCCTTCTCCGAGGTCTTCGGCCGCAAGTGGATCTACTTCAGCACCTGCACCTTCCTCCTCGCCTTCCTCGGCGGAGCCTCCGCCGTGCGCTCCTTCTCCGGCCTTATCGCCTGCCGCTTCCTCGCCGGCATCCTCGGCTCGGCCGGCATCGCCGTCGGCGCCGGCACGATCGCCGACATCTGGGGCCTCGGCGGCGGCGCGGGGGCTTCGCTGCTGTTCATTCTTGGTCCGTTCCTGGGCCCCACGCTGGGCCCGCTGGCCGGCGCGTATGTGCTGCAGAACCGCGGGGGCGACTGGCGTTGGACGCAGTATGTCCTGCTCATGGTGGGCGCGCCGATCTGGGTGGCGTCGTTGCTGATGCGGGAGACGTCCAAGGCGTGGATTTTGAGGAGGGAGATGGGGGAGCATCAGGATATTACGCTGTCTCGGTTGGGTACGCTGGCGAAGGGGGCGGTGATGCGTCCGACGAAGATGCTGTTCACTGAGATTATCGTGTCATCCCTCGCGATCTACTCGGCGTTTGCGTACGCGATGATCTTCAGCTACTTCGCTAGCTGTTCCTACATCCTCCAGAAGCTGTACGGTTTCAATCTGCAAGAGGTGGGCTTGAGCTTCATCAGCATCATCATCGGATACATACTTGCAACGATCATGTACGGAGTGTTCGATGCGAGGTTCAGGGGCCCGGCGCTCAAGGCGGGAACAGCGACGCCGGAGCAGAGGTTGTACGCGGCGCTTGTGGGCAGTGTTCTGCTGCCTGTCGGATTATTCTGGTAAGCCACCTTCTAGTGAGCCACGATTTGGGAATGCTGACATGGGTTTTAGGTATGCGTGGGAAGCACACGCTGGTGGGAATTGGGCTGCGTTGGTAGCAGCCGGGATCCCGTTCGGCATGGGAGCATTCTCGCTCTTCGTACGTACCCATCGAGTTTCATCAGACCTCGTTCCTAACATGATCCAGCTTTCTGTCATCACCTACATGGTCGACTTTTACGGTGCTAAGGCGGCTGCGTCAGGTAAGCATCCCAAATTACGCTTCTTGAATCACACTCGCTAATCCCCAAACAGCATTGGCCGCCAACGGCATCCTTCGCTACATTCTCGGCGCAGTATTTCCCTTGTTCACTATTCAAATGTATGAGAAGCTAGGCGTCCACTGGGCCGGCAGCGTGTTCGCCTTCCTGTCTCTGCCACTACTTCCCATTCCCTGGTTGTTGCTCAAGTACGGACCGAGGTTGAGGCAGCGAAGCAAATTTGTCACGAGCAACCCTTGAGTAGGAAGAGGCATGGGTATGATTTTAAAGGTCACCACTTTCATCCCTGCATTTAATGGACAGAACGCGCTATCAGGTAGCTTCAGATCTAGACATCTGAGACGTGTACTTTCCGTCATTCAAAACATTGCCGTTTTGTTTCTCCCATCCCGCGTTCAATTGAGTTATAAGGGGCACGAGCCCAGTCAGCGCATCTAAACGTGATTCACTCAGTAAAGCCCGTTGATTTCAAGTTGCGGATCCGGACAAGGTGGATCGCGAACCTGATTGAAGGCGTTGACGGCCGAAGGCGGATGGATGGGGAGGAAAACGGCTCATCTGGTCAGTCTGATTTGTCCTGTTGTGCCATGATTACAACATTGCTAATCTGTTTGGAAAGTACAACCTGTTCTTCTGGAAACCCATCAATCCTCTGCGTCTCGTTTGTTCAATATCTGCTCATAAAAGGACTGCCCGCTTCACCAAGCAAAGGCCAGTCACATTCCAATACTCTGGCGATAGAGCATGACCTGATAGAGAAGGCTGGTCCTCAATTTCCCAGAAACCCACCAGTGACCACTCTTCCAATCCCTGACAATGTCCAGAAGTTCCAGCACACTCTGTCCTTTGCAATTCCGAATGCTCGGCTTGGCCCCTGCCATGATGAGAGTTGTCAACATGTCGGGAGCCCAACTGTGGATAAAGGGATATTCGACGCGGTTTTTCATGGCGTTAATTATGAACAAGAGAAGATATGCCAGCGGCGTGTTTCCGTTCTTGTCAATTGCATTGACATTGTCACTGCCACGATTAATGTCCTGGTCTGAGCACCAATCATGTCCCCTCGCGTGGATAAAGCAGTCGCGAATGAAGGCGTGAAGGAGCAGAGGGCCGCCGCTGCTTGTCTTGGGACAGATAGCCAGCATTGCTCGAGCTTCGTCCCACGGTCCACCAGTGTTGATCGCCCTTTCTACAATTAGACGATATTGAACAGCTGTATCCGGATCCAATTTTCTCTTCATTGCCATGAAAAGCTCAAGAATGGATTTTGACTCCTGCACCACGGCGGACGGCGCGGGCATGCGTGTGAACCTCGTCGACTTCTGTCTGCATCCGGCTCTGATGGCGATGCTCAATGGCGTTTCCCCGTCGCTTGCGGGGACATGAATTGCAGCCTTCATGGCGACCAGGCGTCGACAAATCTGGAGGTGGCTTTGATGCGCAGCAAAGTGAAGTAAGCTCCAGCCATCGTAGCTGATTTTGTTGTTCAAGTTATTGTTCATGTTTTTGACATGGTAGAGGTCGCTTTTCATGTTCATCCAGTCCTTGTTGAGATGAACATTTGGTTCCATTTGCTCCACAACTGTACGCGCACCTAACGATATCGCGGTCGCGAGAAAGTATGGCTCTTTGAGAATGCGACAAGTTGAGTCAATATCTACGAGCAACCGGTACATCTTGTTCTTGAGCTCGTGATCGGCACGCCAGCTTTCGAATGCCATACTCCACAATTTGGCTAAATCGTCACGCTTGTTCGCCACATCCAGCACAACATGGGCACCGCGTTCAAGCAGACCGCGTGCAAATTGATGGCACCCCATTCGCATTGCTTTCATGATGAGCGTTTCGCTTTTGATGCAATGATTTACATCAACCAAGCCCTCTGAAATCAGAAGAAGGACCGCGTCGGTATAAGATGGTAAGAATGTCTCGTGTCCGAAATATGTACGTTTTAGCAACGCTTCGGCTGCAGCCACGCCGCCTTCTAAATGCGGTCCTGTTTTCTTAGCGTGTTTCAGAATGATTGAAAATGTAGGTAGCAAACTCGTCGACCACGCCTCAAATTCCCATTCTGAGGGGCTTGAAGATTCGAACATCCGGCTTGCCGCATGGGCCAACGCATCCAAGCTGTCGGCAGCTGGATCGTGTAGATCGCCGCCCGATTCGAGGAGGAAGATGAGAATGTCGACCCGATGTAGTGTGGAGGAAAAGAGAACAGCGGTGTTCTTGGTTGTACTGTCAACCCCAGACTCAATGATATGACTGACAACCGCTAGAGCGGCATCTGAAGATGGAAGGCCGACGGGAACGTTCCCCACGCAATATGGCCGCACCCTGCAGCATAGGTCGAGCAAGCTGTTTGCATTGAGGGAGTGATGGTGATGCACTCGCGTGGCCTCGTCCAGGTTCGTACCGGGGCCAGGTTCATGAAGGATGGTGTCGGTAGCGGCTCCAGCTTCGATAAGGGCAAGGGCTTCTCGGTAATAGCAGTGGTAGCAGGCCTCGACGAGTAGGCTGTGTCCTTCTCCCAAATCGTGTTCCAGGTCAGCCCCATGACGCAGCAGTATCTCCGGAGCGAGTTCGAAGTTTTCTCACTTCCAGAAGGCTCTCCACACCAGCGTTCCATTGAAAACATCTGGATGAGTCTCCTCAATGTCATCAAGCTCACGGTCGAGACAGAACTCCGCAATCTCCGGGTAGGAGTGTCTCATGGCCGTGATGAACCTCGGAATTGGTTGGCTAATTTTGTCTCCGTCAGACAATAGCCGTTCACTGATATGAGGACACTTCTCGAGAATATAGCGAGCCATCTCTTGATGTCCATGGCACAGCGCAATATGGTAGGGTGTCCAAGCTGGAAACATCATTGTCGAGTCAAAGTCGACTGTCCAGTCGTGAAAGTGAAGACAGCTTTGATTGGTTGTCTGACGCGTGAACACAAAACCCTTTCGAAGGCATGTTGAGTAGGGCACCAAATTCGACAAGAATTGCGAGCGCTTCAATGTTACCGTGTCGTGCGGCGATGTGAACCGGGAACCAATAGACGGCTTTTGGCTCATCCAAGATGTCGTGATGGTGGAGATCGTGGTTGTCCCATCTGACAACTCCGAATATCTCGACACCCAATCTCCTCAACTCGGTAGTCTCGTCGTCATCATAGTCGTCGTCCTCCTCTTCCTCATCGCTTGCCAGCTCCGCAATCTTGTCCTGATACTCGCCGAATTCACCTTCGCTAAGCCAATCTGCCCGAAGCTGAAATGGCTCGCCATTTGTTCGATAGTGCCGATGAAAACGTTCCTTCGCGGGTTCGTTGTCTCCAATCCACTCCTCGTATTTATCTTGAGGGCGATAGCGAAGGACACCGAACTGAGTGTGGAACCTGCACAAGGATAGAATCTTCTTCATGACCTTGAGATACCCAACGTCTGTAGCCCAGCAGAGAAGATAGGGATGTCGCAAAGTCCCGAGGTCGTAGAGTTTTGGTTCCGCAACTAGGTTGAAGAAGCGATCGGCAAGTGAGAGGGCTGCGAGCGCCTTGATGGCCGGATCCATGTCAGCGTAGTTGAGCATCCGGTAGCCTTGATCAAATAGAATCTCGACAATGGCGATCTTCAACTCCGGGGGGAGTCGACCGAGGTTTGCCATCTTGGGCGTTGTCAGCGGGTTGTCGGTGGGTGTCGATGGGTTGTCGGTGGTGAAGTGGGAAAGGTGGACGAGTTTTCGTGAGGGACGACTGTTTGGGCAAAGGTGAGGCAGGCAGTCGCAAAGTGCAGTGATGCTGCCTTCGTTTTTGGAAAGAGCGACCTCTCGCTCAAAGCCTTTGAGGAAAGCGCGACCCTCTCCTTGACTTCCATGAATGCAATTGCCAGAACCATCCGCAAAAAAAAAAGACCGCCAATCCCATCTATTCTAAGCGTTTCTCCGCACAATGACTATGCTTGTTTCTGTTCATTTCTTTGTTAGTATTGACTCCAGTCGTGCCCATGCTTTTCTCATCTGCTTTGGTAATGGAGTCTTCCACTATGTCTGCGCGGATTCTTTCTGGTGAAATTTGCAATCCCTTTATCGCACCTCAAACAGTCTTTTATCCGACCTGTAAAGTTGGATAGTCTGTCTTGTTTCTTTGCTTCACGATGATGAAGTGCCGCCCGTCCGATGAAGCCCCTTTCCATGCTCTGTTTACGTAAGACACGGACCCATGACGTCGACGGCAGCAGTCAGCCACACCCGGCATTACTGCTTCAGCCACTGCGGCTGTCCCTCAATTCGAAGAAGCTGCTTCGCTGGCATCAGTACGAGAAACCACCCATGTCAGTATTCTGACGCCTAAGCTACCTTCCCTTCTCCTTGAGTCCATATTATTTGAGCGTCTTGTCAGTAAACATCACCTCCAGGGCATCATGCAACCGCAGCCTGCTCTGTGCCACCACGGATCTTCACCAAGACGCCGGTCCCCGAAAGTGCTTGCCACGCAACGCCCGCCAGTATCACCAAACTTCGCGTCGCCGAACCAAAAGCATGAGTCGTCAGCATCAAAGCCGCATCGGGGGTGCCACCGTCCGCGCGGCGGAGATATCGGTGCCGAAACCATCCTCCAACCCCGCCCCAACCGGGATCCAACCGCCCTCAACTCCGCGCCGTTATTCCTCGCAGATCGTCCCCGCATCGCCGCCACGCCACTGATGCACCCCAGATTGAAGCAGGCAAGGGTGCTTCTGCAGGAAGGGCCCCCATCGACCGCCACCAACAACACCATTCAGCCTCTCGCCTCGCCATTGTTGAACCTCATGGCAAGGACCTGTCATCTAATCGACTCAGCGCCGTCAATGCGAACCAGAGAATCTGCCATCGTATTCTCCTCCTCGCATTCGCTCTCCCGCTCGAACACACCCTCAGGACGCACACAGTCTGATGTCACCGGAGCCCAACGGCACCCCGAAATCCGCAAACCAACCACTCCTTGAAGGAACACAAACACAAGCCCCTTCATGTCGCGTCCCGTTGTCGTTAGGGGATACGCGCGAAAACAATGAAACAACCCCGTCCCACCGTCCCAAATGCCAGCTACGCTCAGGCCCCTCGCGGCCTTGGAGCTGCACACCCGCCTTGCCCCAACAGAGCTTCCCCCAATACGGCGTAAAGGGCGGGAGAGACTGCCGCCCCCCGTCATCATGGGGCCAACAGAGAGTAACGTCAGCGCCCAGAGATCGGACGGGAGCACCCGCGCCATCGATTGGCTGCGCCCTGCACCGTTAATCCCGGCGCGGCATCGGCTCCGGTGATGAAGAGTGGCGCCTGTTGCCTCGGCGGGCATGCACCCGGAAACAAGTTGTGCGCCTGCATAACTGGGGCATATATCATGGCCAGCACCCTCTCGCCAAGATGGTGTATTGATCTTGGAATATCGTTCAGACGCCATCGGGCATCTAGAAGAAATTCACAGGCATTTCGACAGACAGAGTCAAAATGATCATCCCAAGCGATATCTCGAGCCTCAACAACGTACGCCTGGCCGTGGCTCTGCCACTTGCCCTGGTGGCTCTTGTAAGTCTGCCATTAAGCTCGCCATCTCTAGATGTATCGACACTGACAACACCACCAGGGCTTCCTCCGCGCGATATACAGAGCCGTCTACAACATCTACTTCCACCCACTCTCCTCCTTCCCAGGCCCCAAGCTCAACGCAGTGACGCGTCTGCCCTTCACTCGCATGCTCACCGCCGGCCATGCACATAAGACCCTCTTCGACCTGCACCAAAAATACGGCCCCATCGTGCGCCTCGCCCCAGACACGATCGACTTCGCCGACCCGCGTGCCTTCAAAGATCTCATGGGTCACTCCAAGGGCGGCGGCTCCGGTGGTGAGAATTACAAGGACCCCGTCAACGCCCGCTACAAGCCCCACAGCATCATCAACTCCAACCGTGAGGACCACGCCCGCATCCGCCGCGTCCTCGCGCACGGCTTTTCCGCGCAGAGCATGGTCGCGCAGGAGCCCTTGATCCAGAAGCAGGTCGACTTGCTGATCCAGCGCCTGCACGAGAACTGCGAGGGCGGCAACAAGGCATTGAATATGGTGTCATGGTACAACTGGACGACGTTTGACATTATTGGCGACCTGGCTTTTGGGGAGCCGTTTGGATGCCTTGAGAGCTCCGAGTACCACCCCTGGGTGTCTGTCATTTTCGACAACATCCACGCCGGGGTGTACAGGAACCAGTTACAGCGGTACGCGCTGACGAGGCCGTTTGCGAAGTGGTTGATGCCTAAGGACTTGAAGCAGAAGCAACGCATGCACAATAAGCTGAGCCAGGAAAAGGTCGAGAGACGGATGGCGTTGGGCGAGTCGAGGCCAGATTTTGTGCAGTCCATGATGATGAAGGAGGGCCCTCTGGTAAGTTTAGCTGCCCTTGTGGCCAGAAGTGAGGTGACTGACGTGCGCTTGCAGGCAATGTCCAAGCCCGAAATTGAGCAGACCGCCGACACCCTCATCATCGCCGGCTCCGAGACAACGGCATCAGTGCTCTCCGGCGTCACTTACTTCTTGACGATGTACCCCGAAGCTATGGCCAAGCTCGCCGAAGAGGTTCGAACATCCTTCAATTCCGAGCAGGAAATCGACATCCTGAGTGTCCAGCGCCTCAAGTACATGCTCGCTGTTCTCGACGAGAGCATGCGTGTCTACCCCGTCGTGCCGTTCGGTCTTACCCGAGTCGTCAAGCCGGGCGGCGACTACATATGCGAGACCTACGTACCCGGAGGCGTAAGTTTGAAGGGAACATTTCCACAGTGACAGAAGCTGACAGATTCTACAGACGAGAGTCATGGTCTCCCAATGGTCCATCTACCGTAACGAAAAGTACTTTGCCCAACCGACCACCTTCATCCCCGAACGCTGGCTCGGCGACCCCCGCTTCGAGAACGATGATCGAAGCGCTCTTCAGCCCTTCTCATTTGGACCTCGCAACTGCATCGGAAGAAAGTCGGTACTCCCCAATCTCTCTTGGCGTAGCATATTACTGACCATTGATTCGTAGCCTGGCCTACTCTGAAATGCGCGTCATCCTCGCTAGAGTCATCTGGAATTTCGACCTTAAGGTAGCAGAGGACAGCACCAACTGGACGGAGCAGAAGCTCTACGGATTGTGGAAGAAGGGACCTTTGAACGTCCATCTGACACCAAGGAAGATGGAGTAAAACGCTGGTCATTGGATAAAAGCATCCTTGCTGCGTCGCCTTTGGTGCAAAGATGCAGGACGGAAAATGGGACAGTTGCATCACAAGGTTCACGGGATCCATAATTATTGTTATTCGAAGGCATTTCATACATTGCTCTTTGTAATCAGATCTCATTGTTGTACGAAAGAAAGAGAGGTGTCTTGGAGTCTTGTTGTGATGGCAGTTGTGTCACTCACAACATCTGTTGTCCCAGACCTAAGGCAATGTTTGGCATTCTCCGTATGGACTCAATCATTGGGAGGGTATCGGCACTCTTACGGAACGTCCATGTGAATTTCCAGACCGAAGAAGATTTGGAGGCATTATTTTACTGAAGCCCTAAATCAGGAGCTTGATAGGACTTTACTTCCCCTCAACCCGTCAACAACAAAACATCCACCCTGCTTGCTCCTAGCTTTCCCAAGTCCATCATGAAATCTCCTTTCATCTTCTATCTTCCACCGCCACTGCGCCTTCCACCGCCACTGCGCCAGAGGTCCTCTGCCACGGTTTCTTTCATCCCAAAAAAGCCTATATTCTCCTTCAAGTGTCTGCCCATTGTCGCAAAGACCTGCAGCCACCCCTGAGGAGCAAGGCTCCATTTGCTGAGGACCTTCCATAGCCCATCAGCATGAGAAAGAAACAACCCAAACCACAACAAAGAAATCTCAGCCTATTCTCCTTCCAGTGCCAAGGACCTGTCCTGATGGCTGCAAGTCCCACCAGATCTCACAACAGAGAGAGCTAGTAGCGAAAGTGTTCTCGCCCAGCCGGTTCAAGTTGATGTTCATCTGTGCCCAGCACTGCCACAGTCTGAACACACGCGCTTGGGCTGCGGCATCAATGAACTTCGGAGAGCCCTTGGAGTCCTTGTCGAACATGACGAGCACGGGACCCCAGGGGCACAGCAGTGTGCCCCATTGAAACAAGCTGCCGTCCGCACCAAGATGGTGCTAGAATATTCTCCTTCCAGTGTTGTCCCTGCCGATGTCTCAGGCCCACCAGATTTGACAATCGAATGAGCTCCCCTCTTTTTGTAGCTTGAGAGGTTGCTTCATCAAGAGCCATGGGCAGCGACGCCGCAGACGAAGAGAAGGGAGCTAGCTAGTGAAACAAGCGGCCATCTGGGCGGCCCACCCGTTTGGGGCAGGTGTCCATGGAGCTGGTGAACGAAGAGGACGGACAAAGCCCGCTGCGATAGCCACCAGATCCCACCCCAAATGACGTGCTGCTGATGGTGGGGACATGGCGGCACATCTTGGTGCCGATACCTGTAGTAAGTTGAGCAAGTGAAGCCTTTGAAGATGGAAAGGAGCTGAGGACATACCAGTGAAGCCGCTTCCGCCAGTAGGGATCGGCTTGTGAATACTACCAAGAATGATGGCGTTGCCCTTTCAACCCAATGATTGCAACAGAGCAAGCAAATACTTCTTTTGTTTCATTGAAACCACACCCGATTGGCCCTTGAAATTGTAGGTGTAAGAAACACAGTTCGAGAGATGACCGGTGGGCGGGACCGGCCCCGTCGATCAGGCGAAAGCCAGATCATTGTGTCGAAAGACACTGCAAATCGACTTGTAGTGGGTCGCGAAGGTGGTCTTTGCACTGGGGAATGTTGTCTTCTTGCTGATCTCGGCAACATCATCCTCCGCGTCGTCAGCGGTTGCAGCGGGCAGCGAGACAATCGAACGTCCTGCGAAAGGGTAGCGAGTATCCCGCATCAGGGCCGTCGTTCGATGGGGAAGGTGGCAGACGCAGCCGCCACCGAGAATCGATCGTACGGGGTAGCGGTGTCTTGGGTGTTCGAAAGTCTCTGTCTCATGTTAGCGTTTGTCTCGCGGGTTCTGCTGGGTGTGTCCTACCGTGATGAAATTGAGAAGGTCCCCAGTTGAGCACTTGGAGACTTGGGAACACGCGAACTGCGTGCTCCGGAAGGTCGGAGCTCCTGGCGCCGGAGCCCACCCAGACGAACTTGGTGGCTGATCTCCGACGCCTCGGAGAAAATGAAAGGCATGGGTGTTCGAAAGTCTCTGTTCAACGTCAGCATCGCGAAGATTTCTGTGGGTTTTGTGTCGTACAATTGAGAAATAGGAAAAGTGAGCATGTAGTCGGCCTCGAGGCCCAGACTTAGTTGAAGGCCTCAAGGCCCGGTCGAAAGGCGTGGGTGTTCGAAAGTCTCTGTTGGAAGTCAGCACGCGTGCAAAGCTTTCTTTGGAGGCATACTCTACCGTCGGGAGGCAGCGAGTTCGGGAAAGCTGAACGTCCAGACGAACTGGACGGGCTCCGAGGCAATATCGAAGCCGGCAGCCTGGGTCTCACCGTTGTTGATAGCCTGCCACTCAGCCGTCAACAATCAGTGCAAACTCCAGACAGCTTCCTGCTGTTATGATAGCGCCCGTGGCATGAAAACCCACCATGAATCTTGGAGCAAAAACCTGTTGACGATGGACGCGGCACTTGATGCATGGTGCGGTACAGCTTTAGAGCCACGTGCTGCATCATCAGAAGTCTGTGAACAAAGCCCAGAAATGGAAGCTGATGGTGGAGGCTGGGTGGTGCTTGGAGATAAGAAGGCTGTTGAAGATGAACGCGGCACTTGGTGCATGGTCTTGTAGAGCTGTAGCTCCACGTGCTGCACGACTGGGAGTCTGTGAACAAATCTCAGAAATGGGTGCGGACGACCGGGTTTCGGACTGAGACCGAAGGTAACGATGGCCTCGACATCTGAATTTCTGCCGCCAACCACCCAGCGGAGTTGACCTCGCCATTGTCGTCAACGTCGCGTGAGATCTGCTGCTCTGCGGTGAGAGTCAAGTGTCGAAGTTGCTCCAGTGGCGAGAATCTGGAGATGAGCTCCTGGTCAATAAATGGGCAGATTGAAAGGGCCCGCCGTCCTCACTGGTGATGGTGACGCGAACTGCCGTCGCAACCACTGCGACGAGGGTGGCATGCGGGTTGTCAGAACGGCTTCGGAGAAGAGGCACCATCTTCTCCAGAATGTAGGGCATTCCAAGCCGGCCGTAGCCCTCATTGGCAATGTGGGTGGCCTGTGAGAGCGATCCGACCAAACTGTTCCATGCTCAAAAATCTTTTGACAGGTTCATGAACGACGAGAAGGGTTGCACGAAGAAGCGAGCGCCAGAAGACCTCAGGACTCTATTCCATTCCCCTCATTCTCATCCCCTTGTCCCCACCATTACCTGGAATGTTTGAAAACAAAACGGCAAGAGGGGGGAACTGGAAAGGGGATGACGAGGTAGTTGAGCACCAACACAGATTTCGACACTAAAAGGGTAGCCCGCGCCAAGTAAGAGAAGCTCGGTACCCTCTTAGTGTCAAAATCTGTGCTGGTTGATAGCTTTCTAGGCTGGAAGGCATGTCGGCGAGGAAGGTGTCAGGGAGGAATGACATCTGCGAGGAGCATGACTTCTTGCGCGAAGCGCCCCATGAATTGGCGGCGGGGAATCCGCGAACCTTGGGTGTTTGGCGTGGCATGCCGAACAAGAAACCCGTAGTAGCTCATCTTGTCGTCGCTGCGCTGCCCGTTGAAGTTGGACACTTGGGTAAGCTGTGATCGGGATGTGGTAGAGGATTTGTCCGTCGATGGGCTTCCCCCAAGGCAAATCCATTCTTGATTCACTGTGGTTGCCAGACGAGCGTCGCTGATTGTCGGAGCTGGGGCCGGCGGCCAAATGCGCAGTTTGGCCGTATGTTGGGTCCCATCGGCGAAGCTCTCTGTTGGCCAGGCGAGCGTTGCTCAGTGTCGATGTTGGACATTTTGCAGAGAACTAATTTCTGAGGTTAGAGCCAAGGAAGAATCAATGTCATCCCGCGGGTGGATGCGGACGGAATGGGGTGCTTACCTGGATGCCATTCAAATGAGGGAAAGGAAACCACCAGACCCAGACATGTCATTGCCGTTAGAAGGAGGGATGACGTATGCCCGGGCGGACAACAACCACACCTGGGGCGGAGGGAAGGCGAAAGGCACCCCATGGACGTTGAACATGGACGCGTGCCCTGTCTGTGAAATAACTTTGGTCAGCGATGGTTTCAACGAAAGGGACACTCTTCCTGTAACATACGGGCGGAGTTTGAATGAGCTGTTGAACGAAGAGGACAAAAAGGCCCGTTCTGCTTTTTGTGGGCGTTCTTCTCCCGGAAATTTCGGCTGCTTTGTGTGCTGCGAAGTGGAAGTAGGGGTTAAGTTTCCCATTGAGCGGGCTGGTGCGACCCAAAATTGGACGCAGAAACAGGACCTGTTGTGGGCGTTAGACATCAAGCAAAATAAGGAAAAAAAGAAAAAGAAAATCAGACTTCGATTCAACCCAGAAGATGATGGCGAGCAGGGTCTCTGAGCTTGAAATGCTTGTCTGTCAGTGTTGGTACCTACCCGAGTTGATGGTTGGTATTGTTGTTTGGAAGTTGGAAAGTGGGTAATTTGGAGCTTTGATTCGAGCCCGGAAGGTATGGTATGTAAATACCATCTTTCGGTCTTCCCCGTCTGTTGGAGCTGATGTTGTTGATGATGCGAAAAGTTCGCCGAGATCCTGTCTTCAGAGGGGGTTGTGTGCTGTTGTGAAAGTTCTTGATGGGTGCGTGGTTGACGATGGGTGTTTTGGGAGGATTTTGGGGGAATGGATGGTGGAGGTTGCGGTGGTTTTTGTGGGACTTGCTTGAACTTGGACGTCAGCAGCCCAGGATTCTTCTCCAAGGTACCTTAGTTAGGTAGAGACAGGAAGGCTGGTGGTGCGAGGGTCGGGATGGTCAACCTCCAAGCAGCCCTCTAAGGCGGCATCTGCCTCAGTCGGATTCCAGACCATATCTTGTGTGGTTGTCAGTGCTAAGCGAGGGTAGGGTTTTTTTGTGAAGGTTGTCACCAGACGAAAATTCTTCAATCGCTCTTTCTTCAGGTGGTGTGAAATTCCTTGATCGTTGTTGCTGATCGGGGATGAAGCTGCCGACTGCAGTCGGTCTTT